CGACACAGTATAGTCAGGCGTTTTTGGCACGAAAAAACGACATAGTATAGTAAGGCGTTTTTAGCCGAAAAAAACAACCATGTCGAAAAAAACGACCATGTCGTGTTTTTCGGCTAAAAATGCCTTACTATACATGGTCGTTTTTTGGGGCTAAAACGCCTTACTATACATGGTTGTTTTTTTGGGCTAAAAACTCCTTACTATACATAGTCGTTTTTTTCGGCTAAAAACGCCTTACTATAAATGGTCATTTTTTTCGGGTAAAAACTTCTTCATATACATGGTCGTTTTTTTCGGCTAAAAACGCCTTACTATATATGGTCGTTTTTTTTCGGCTCAAAATCCCTTCTATACATGGTCTTTTTTTTCGGCTATTTTTCGGGCTAAAAACACCTGACTATACATGCGTGTTTTTTTTCGGCTAAAAACGCTGGCGTGTATACCTCTACACTACCAGTGACTGTGACTTGTTCTGCACTGTAGGCGTATTTGACATGCACTTTCGAGGGTTTCCAGGAAAAAGTACCTATGTGTTGTATTTTCACACGTCACTGAGCAAGGTTTGAACCACCGTTGCCTGGCCCCAAACCCGGCGAGCGTACCTCTACACTACCAGTGACTGTGGCTTGCTCTGCACTTTAGTGGCATTTAACAACAACTATTGAGCGTTGCCAGGAAAGTCACTGGTGTCGTATTTTCACATAACAATTCACCTCTTCAAATAGTTCGGTGTCGAGAATTTTTATCCTTTTTATTCAATTGTTAATGCTTTGAAAAGCCTGACAGTTGCCTTACAAAAAATTGGTTGATGTCAAATAACACTAGAATGATTGGGATATAACTACTGTTGAATAATCCACTAGTATGGCAATACTGTAACTGAGGTTTTTATCCAAACAATGATTGTTGTTTTTCTTTCTTAAAATGTTGCAAGAAAATAACAGGAAAACGTAACTAAGCGTTTGATGTGGTATTTTCACGTCACTGAGTGGGGTTTGATCCCATGCTGCCGCCACACAAATCCGGCGATTGTACCACTCAACCATTAGCCCCAAAGAAAACAACTATGTAAGGCGATTTCTTTGCAGAAAAAACGACCATGTAAGGCATTTTTAACCGAAAAAAAAACGACCTTGGGTAGTCAAGCCATTTTTCTAAACGACCATGTATGCCAAGGCCTTATTTTCCCCCCCAAACAACCATGTTTAATAAGGTTTTTTTTTTAAATGTATGACGACCGTGTCGTGTCCCACTTTCAAACAAAAAAATACTTTGTCGCCCTCTTGTGGCGCGTATAAGCACAACGCAAGACGTCAGTCAGATCAGATCAATATCAGCTGAATTTCTTCCCTCAATGCTGTCAAATTAGTGCAATACGTGGTAAAATATGCAATTGCTAATGGTAACATGTAACAAAAAAAAACTGCAGTCATGACTTACCATCCAATCACAAAAAATGTCTCTTTAAATACACATTAAATTCCATGATTCGATTTGGGGTACTTTAAATTACACTAGGTACTTAAAGTATCAATTTCTCGCCCCCCCAAAAAAAGTGAGTTTTAGCTGCACTGGACAATGCTGACATACTGTACATTTGAAAAGGTGAGGTTGATCAACAACATTTAAAGAAAATATATGACAAAAAAAAAAATTCTCAATAAGCACCTTTCAAAACACTCAAGGACACTTTATAATCAAGAACAAGAACAATAAAACCACAGATAAAATTATAAAAAGAAGAGATGAATTTCAACTCTACATACATATATCAGCAAAGCTCAAACACCTTTTGATCTGCATTGTGTAAATTTACACCAAAATAAAAGCAGGGCACCACCAGCATGTTATGTTCTCTTCATTCTGCCGTTGATCCAAATTATTTGCATGAAAGGATAGTGAATGTACTACAGATGAGTTACATAAAATGGGCAATGTGATATGCTCTACCAGCTGCATTGAAGACGGGGAGTTGTTTCGTGGCCTGCAGTATATCGTCCATTGCCACATTTTCGCCATTTGATAATCAATACAGCTGCCAGTGACGTGGCGACGACCGCACCCAAAACTCCTCCTGCGACAATCGCTGTGCATAACACAAAACATTTTAATCATCCCATTTCTTTGTCCGCCAAAAATAACAAATACAGTTTACAGTACCTGCAACAATGTCCTCATTCTCCAAGAAGCTCCTGGGGTTGCCTTTTGGAAAAATGGCCAATCCCATGTCCTGGCCGAGCTCTTTTAATTGATTCAAGCTAAGTTTGGAACCACTCTAATGACATGACACAACATGAAACGTATTACAAAAAGTATTGATCAACAAGCTCGGACAACTGGTGACATGTGAGTGTTAAGTAATAAATAAACGTGCGTTTGTGTGACGAGTCTTACTTTCTGGGTTTTGGTTTCCGAGTCTCCATCCATTGAATTGTCATCTGGTAGAGAAAGGGGGACAAAAAAAACGATCGACTTAGACTTTTAAGATACACATATATAATTCAAACAGAAGAGCAAGTTGCGTGTCACTTAGCAGGATGATATTGATTTGAGATCATGCGTTACCGTCGTCAGCGCTGTCTTGGTTCAAGCCCGATCCAGCGAGGTCTTCAGTCGCCTCACAAAACTAATGCAATGAACGGGAACAATGATCAAGAAATGAAGATGGAGAATACAACTTTTCATAGTACGGCAATCGAAAAATGCATCGTCTCAGTCAAAGGAGCCGCCCAACACAAGTCGTATGATTTGTTATCTTCCTGGAGTAATTTTTTTTTTTTAATCGCCGAGCATTTGCAGATTTTTTCCGGTACCTTGTTTATAAAAGGGTGTACATCGCCTACTACTCGAAGTCACAGTAAACCAAGATGCAATAACTGTATGAAAGATAAAGATAAAAACGTTCAGTTTTGAATGACATACACAAGATACATGCAGGTATCGTTTCGGCAACGTGGTGTTCGTTGTTCTAAGTTGCATATTTCGCTACGGGGAAAAATATTACAAACAGCTCTGTGTGACGAAGTACTGTACTGCAAAAAAAAGCATACATATTCCGTATAACTATTACCGGTGTGGTCAGTAATGTGTGTCAGGTGATTTGCGGAAATGAGGCGAATCTGCGAGTACAGAAATGAGGCGTTTAAAAAAAAAATCAAGTGAATATCAAACTTACCGATTTAGCGACAGTGGAGAGCAGAAATAGCGTGATGAATGTTTGCGTCATGTTTTATGCATGAAGGCAGAGTCGTTTCATTTTCTTATCGGTTCTTGTCGTTCACGCCCGCCAGCCACCAACGTCGACTTCTTCGTCTTCTAGCAGTTTCATGGCGATTATGGGGGAAAAAAGAGCATTACCGCCACCTACTGGTACAAAGCGCGAACCGAACAAGATCGCTCAACCACTATTTAAAACAAAGCAAATCTAACCCTCAATTTAAATCCTCTTAATCTCCGCCACTACAATTGTTGCCGACTTCAGGGTCGTTCGCAGGCTTCTGCAGATATTGCTGATTTTATTTTTTATATCAGCTATTAGTAGAGAATGGGGAACATTAAATAAATGCAGAAGGGCGCACGAGGACCCGAGTTGATGCTCCTAAAATGCATTTCCCTCAAATTAAATTAATACAAACCTACACGTTGCGCTTACCTCCACGTTTTCAGTCTCCGCAAATTCAACACTGGCCCACCTGCAATGTCTTTTTTTTTTTTTTAAAGATGCTCCTATTCTGGTCCCGCCTTAATCAAGTCATTTCCCACTTTCACTCAAACAAAAAAAAAAAAACATTTTTAGATCAAGCTGACAAGCTACATAGAAACGAAAATGACAAAATGCAGTTAAATGTTAGAAGAACAGTTTAATCATACATAGTCACAATTCTGCCTCCAAAAAAAAAAGTTTGTTTTTCTTCATCTAACAGCTGGAAATGTACATAAGGCCACCTGAAAATGTACATGACTTTGACAGTGTGACAAAACTCATATGTTCATATTTATATAATTGACAATATTTTACAATGCTTTTTTTGCTTACAAGGTAGTAGCCGTTCCAAAATACAGCCTTTTTCTGTACAAAAATATTTGCCATATCCTGTGAGGTCAGCAGACAACTAAAAGGCAGCCTCTGATTTTGAGGATTTTTTTTTTTGTTTTAAAAATCCTTTTTTTTTTTCCTTGAAAAGTGTCACACATCAGAAAGACTATCAACAGTGGATGTTTACAGCAGCTCCAGTACAAATAAGAGGCTGGCCTTTTCCCATAGATTTAAAAACAAAAATTACATGCCAGATTATGAAGCCTGAAACATTAGGATTTTTTTTCTCTTTAAAATAACACTTGCTCAAATAAAACTGTGTACAGAATATTCAAAAGGGGGGTGTAAAGGAGTGATGAATATACACACGCCAAAATGCACACGCTTGTTTGCCTTTTTCTCCCCCCCCCAAATGTAGAAGACATCCCATTTACAGCATAAACAGTTACAAATGTACAACTGTACAGGGAGAATAAAAGCATCACTACAAGTTTGCAAGGCCTGTTAAACACAAGACATTTTTTCTCACTTTAACTAATAATAATAATAATCTTACAATTACCACATTTTTTCTCACTTTAACTAATAATAATAATAATAATCTTACAATTACTGACTGCACATATACTACATATATTCTACAATCCAAAAAAGCCATCACTACAATTATTACAGGACAGTTGGATAGATTTGAGATGGGCCCCCACCGGCATCCAATCCAAAGAGTTAAAAAATACAAAACATTGGCGCATTTAAAAATCTGACTTAAAAATCCCTTCTTCCAAGTCTCAGTAATAATTCCATCTCATTTACAACACTGGGGGAAAAAGCCCCCCCACTTTTAAAAATGTTGAGGAGTCTTCTGGGGTTGGGGGTGCGAGGGGATTCGTCCATCAACAGCGACCGGAAAGCAACAATTAAGAATCACACAAAAAGATGCTACACTAAAACTATTTTTTTTTTGAAGCTAGAGATGATTATTTAGTACATAAGTTAGCTCAGCGCAGTGTTCATTTTCTACTCCAAGACACTAAAAAGGATCAAGAGGGGAGCTCAAACGAAAATTCAACCTGACAACGGTACGATATTAAATAATCGTCGCTCTGATAAGTTTCGTTTCAAAACCAAAACCCCTCTCTCATTTAATACCTTCTCTTGTTAGTACCTGTTACATCATGTGACAAATGCAAGTTTGGGCTCAGGAAGTCTCCCCCGCAAAAAAGCAGACTTCCAGCTGCTGACCGATTCAATCGCTCAAGGGAGGTCACAGGGGGAAGGCCCCATTTAAATATAAAACCACTAACGTTGATTTGTTCTCTAACGTCAGCCCGACTAATTTCGAGCAAGCACAAAAGGACTTTGTCAAAAGGCCCGTGGCAACTAGGCTGTTTGGAATCAGCAGCTTTGGCATTGGGGGGGGTGGGGGTTACTATTGTTTCGACTTTGACACGTGGTCAAACGTAAATATGCAATTTCCCGGACTTACACAAGTCGGCTTGAAAAGCAAAAGGGAATTTTGTCACTCGGTTTTAGCTTTTAGTAGGTCACTTGCTGGTTGTGAATTGTAAGAAGTTTCGGCAAATGTGTGTTGGTTTTTTTTTTTCCTCTACAAAGAATTTACATGGTAAAAAAACAAATGTACAATATGAAAACCAGTCAAATACATCAGTTACATAATTAATGGCCCTGTGCTTTACCCAACAAATAAAGCTAGCTCACTTATGCCGGTCATGGCGGGCGGGGTGGAGGGGTCAAATGGTACCTCACCTGTGGCAGCACAATAGCAGGTGTCAGTTGTCACAGCTGTTTAGGGTGAAATTGACTTTTTTTACCCCCCCCCCCTCAAAAAAAGGAGATCTTAATATGCTTGGGGGGGGGGGGGTCGATAATGTCGTCTTTGACTACATGAGGCCGTTTGTGGGGCCGCCGATTGGACCCAACTCGGAGCCACTCTTCATGTAATACTTTTCCAGTTTGGCCAAAATGTGTTTTCCGTAAGTGTACTTGCGCAAGGTGGCGATGTGAGGCCGGATCTAAGGAGGACAAGGTTGGGGGTCAACAACAGGTCATTTTCTTATTTTCATGTCATCCTTAATAATCAATATAATTGATATGAGATGAATACAATTAATATATTACTAATATAGGATATTAATATTTGATCAAAGACTATATTGGATCAATAATAGTGTTGAATACCGTATTTTCCGCACTGGATTACGAGGCGCAATGAATGGCCTATTTTGAAATGTTTTTCATATGTTGGACGCACTGGATTATAAATGGCTATCGGCAATGCATCCACTATTCCGTTCGACTCGAGAGGCGTTCGTGACTGCCTCCGAAAAATGTAAATTAACGATTACTTCAATGAAACGACGAAAATTGAAAATAATGCATCAAAACAGAAAATGAAGCGAGGAAATCCCAAAATAAATTCTATAGCCCTCCTACAGAATTAATTTTGGCATTTCCTTGAGCGCAGCTCCAACAGAACGATCAGATGTCAGTAAAACGTAGGAGACTGGACTGTCTCAGAAGTGTTTGTTATTTATTCCTTTGTTGTGTATTCACAAACGAGGAAGTCACGAAATAAATTCTGTAGGGGGGGGGGCCTAAAGAATTTATTTTGTCATTTCCTGGCTTGATTTTCTGTTTTGGTGCATTATTTTTGTAGTTTCATTGAAGGAATCGTTGATTTACGTTTTTCAGAGGCGGTCATGAACGCCACCCGAGTCGAACGGAAGAAGAGAAGGCATGGAGACGGACAAAGACTTACCTTTTTTTGTTGAGACTGTGAAAACCATTAATAAAGTGTGCATTTAAAAAAAAAGCCCACCACAGCTCTCCTTTTTTAGGAGCTGCAACATAAACTTATTTAATAAAGCAGCAACACAGTTGCCTGAACCAACACAAGTTCTAACATTGGAAGCATGTCTCCAACAAGGAGCCATCTTGGGGTCGACTTATTACCGTAATGACCATACACAAGACGCAATGGATTTTAAGGCGCACTGTGAGCTTTTAAGAAAATGCAAGACTTTTCGGTGCGCCTGATAGTGCGGAAAATACGATAATCAAATTCAAATCAGCATCCCATTTATCTATCATTGACTCATATCTACTACTTTCACTAACAACAAGGCTGCAAACAGAGACGAGCTACTTGACAAAAGCACTGTCAATGTTACAAACTCAATGATTTGGTTCCGAGTGCTCTTGCAATGATTGAAATGAAATTAAAAAAAAAAAAAAAAAAAAAAAAAGGCAAACAGTGAATTTAAATCTCGCCTAGAAACAGACACTTAAGCCGGATCATATTCACACGATGTTACATGTGAAAAAAGGGAAGGGAGAAGAAAAAAAAATCCACAGTGAATATTGCCAAAAATCATTTGGGAAGGTTCTCTGGAAGGGGCCAAAATGCCTGGCTGACTTCGTGCGAAATCAAATTGGCAATTTGGCCTTCGGACAAGCGCACCTACCTTGTGCATGATGATTTTCCGCTGAGCGGGTTCGGCCATGTCGATCATTCTTTGGACCACGTAGTTGGCGTACTGGTCCTTCATCATGGTGTACAGGGCGCTGTGGGGGCCGTCCTTCTGGCAGCACACCTCGTCGATCAGCAGAGCTCTCTCGGCACGCGAGGAGTGGATCACGCACTTTTCCACAACGTTGCTGATGCGCAAACGACACCGCCGTGACACAGTCAATCGTAATTCCACTGCTTTTTTTCCCCCAGTTTCACGGTTCCGGCAGTGCGGCATCGTACCTCGCAAATTTATGTTGGCTCAGTAGAAGGACTTTCCCACGCACTTCCGCAACGATCTTGCTCTTGTCTTCCGGCCTGCCGTGCTCCAAAACATGCTGAATGACGTAGTTACCATACTGATCCTGCAGGGGGCGGCAAAGGACGTGCAAGATCAACGACGGGATGTGCGGGATCAACGATTTACACAAATGCATTTCAAAGAAGTGGAATGACCCCCATTCATGTGACACTCGTGCACTCTATGGAACCGGTGAGGTCGGTCATGAAGAAACTCATGCATGGTCACGGCGGGAAGATAAATGAGACGCCCCCCCGCGGAAAGTTGATGATGTCATCACTGCAGAAGGTCAGACAAAACAGATGCTGCTGGTTTGCAAAAAGGGACCGCGACCGGGCAACCAAACCAGCAGCATCTTTGCCCCTTCGGAAAATTGGTGATGGACACGTTACAGGATGAGGTAGGTTGAGTCTGAGCGGAAAGGGAGACAACACCACTCGGAACGGTTCCGGCCTGTAACCTCATCGTGCACATTTGCTTTCAGATGCATTTCCTGTCAAGTCTGTTTATTTTCGCTTGTCTGATTTTTGCAATCCAATTTTGTTTTTTCCCCCGATTCAAGCATTTGAGGTTTCAAAAAGGAGTAAGCTCCGAAAAGAAACACCGGATTTAACAGGAGATGCTGCGGGCAAAGGAGGACCATCGCACAGAAGGGAAGCCTTGTGAATTCTTGGTGCGATTAAGTGAGAAAGTAGAAAGGCAGGGGGGGAAAATTAAAAAAACTGTAGATTAGGGACGCGGAAAAGTTGAGAACTCCATCTATTGTAATATTAAAAAATTATGAGAAGAGGGAAGAAGAAAAAAAAAAACATGGACATCCTTGAGAGAGAGGCAAATTGCTCTGACCTTGAACAGTGCATCACGGGACACTGTATAATATGTTTTGGGTGTCATCTCCAATGATACGCCTTGATATTTCTGGATGGAATAGGTGAAGGGGGAAGGGGGGGGAGGGTGGATGTTTGAATATTCACGTCAGATGTGATGAAAGCTAACAAGACAAATTTTTTTTTTCACAAGCACAACAATGATGAGTGACGTTCTGGGAGGAAAAAAAAATAAAAATACCATTTAACAAGGTGCACATGTTTACCTGACCCAGTTGCTCAGAGTGCTGATGCAACTCTTCCAGTATTGGCAAAGTCTGCTCCTGGGTGCAGTGCTCCAAAATCCTTTGGATGACTCGACAGCCGTAAGGGTGCGTGGAGAGGACAAACACCTGAAAAAGCAGCCGCGGGTAAAAACACTTTTTTTTTTTTTAAGCAGTCAATTTTAGCGGCTTTGACACTTCAACGGATGGATATCCCTGCTGACACACACAAAAAAAAAAAAAAAAAAACCTTGCTGCTAACAGAAAACCAGTCCGTCCTGCCAAATTAGCAAACCCTGCAACCACTTTTTTTAAGTGCTTTTCTGCAAAGAAAAAAACAGACAACATGGGCAGAATTTTTGGGCTTTCTGTCCGATAGAAGGCAATTATGGAGGTATGAGTCAAAGTGATCACCGACAAAAGCCTGGTGCCCAATTCAATGTTTAAAAAAAAAAAAAAAAAAAAGCTGTGGTTTATGTTACGTTTGAAACGTTAAACAATTTTGGCCGTTGCCTGCGTCATTCATAAAACGAGTACCGCATTTTCCGCACTAAAAGGCGCACTGGATTATGAGGCGCGCTGTGAGCTTTTCAGAAAATGGAAGACTTTTCGGTGCCTCTTATAGTGTGGAAAATACGGTATGAGACCGGCCTGGGTGGGTGCGACGTTACTTCGACAAAGCTTTGAAAAATGAGTGATGGCTTGATTGGCATCAGGAAAATAAATAAATAAATGATAAATAAACAATAAAAAATAAATAAATAATAAATAAAAAATGATGCAAATCTCAGAATGGAAAGGAGAAAATACGATTTATTTTGAATAATGTGACGGTCATTTCAAAATCTGAGATTTTTGGGGGAAAAAAAAATATCACCTGAGCAAAACAGCGATGAGGTTATTTCAAGCGCTGATGAATTGAGGCACGGCATTGATGACAGCGGAGCTTGCGACCCTTAATTAACACGACACACATACCTGGCCTTGGAAGGCGTCTATAATGAACTGCAGAGCTTGCGGCTGGACACACTCGATGCACTTTTGCACCACATGGTTACCATTCTGGTCCTTGACGCACTTTAAAACATGGCCATCCAGCTCACGAACGATGTCACTCTGAAAACCCCAAAAAAATCGTTTGCGAGGAAAAACTGAGACCTTTTCAAACCCGACATCAGCGCATAGAAATGAAAGCCTTGAGTCTTTTACGATGGGAAAAAAAAAGGGTCAAACAGATTTGAGGAAAAATCTCACTTACAATTACCTGCTGGTCTGAAGAAATGGACTCTAAGGCTTTCTGAATGACCCTGCAGCCGTACATCTGTAAAGCCAGCGGGAGGACATGGCCGCGGATCCGAGTTGCCAACGCCAGCTTCTGGTCTGCGCTTCCAAACTGCAACACAGAAAACTCAAAACATCTCAATCTGACATGACTCGACAAAGCAAGCCAAGTTAAAAAAAAAAAAAACACAGCACTGCTCGCTAAACGTCGTCACCCGTCTACCTCAAAGAATTTCTGGATGACATAGTTGCCGAACACATCTGTCATCAGCTGGTATGCGGCTTGTAGGATCTCTCCGAAAACCATCTGTCTCTCGGCGGGACTGGCCCTCTCCAGTTTCTGCTGGATGAATCTGTGAGGTGAAATTACAAAAAATAAATCTCTTCATCAGTCTACTTTGTTGGATTGAAAAAAAAAAAGTCAGAGGGCAATTTCTTAAACCAGGAACGTTCGTTTCGCAAACCTGGATCCGTGCTGGTCTTGCGAGAACTCCACCATGTGTCCAGGCAGGTCTCGGAGTTGAAGGTTTGGAAAGCGGTTGTTCCTAAAGTCTTCCAGGAGGCGGCTGCGGCCGGACGGCATCACGTCCGAGCGGCTGTAGCGGGGCCGAGACGGTGGGAAGAGCTGGCTGCTGGAATTAAATAGGCTCGAGGTGCCGCCGGCGCTGCGGTACTTGGCCTCGGCTCCGGGTGCTGCGGAGATGTAACGCCCGCTGCCGTTTGTCAAGCCACCTGAGATGATAGGATAATATAGCGGTGATAGTAAAACTGCAACTCTTTCGATTTTGCAGTACAGGGTGATGCCCAAATGAGTTTTTTTTTTTTACATAATTCTCTGGTCAATATGAATAACGTGATCGGGGTAAGATTTTTTTTGAATGCACAAACTGAAAAACTGTTCTAAAAATAGCTCACCAGTGATGAGACAATTGTGATTTCCTCGGATTGTTGTTGCAGTGACCACAGTATTGAATTTCCTATTTTGTAATTTTTTTCATATATTGGATGCACTGGATTATAAGACGCAATCTACAATGCATCCACGAGATGGAGCTAAGCTCCTTCCGTTTGACTTGAGGTGTTCATAACCGCCTCCAAAAAAGTACATTAAGATTACTTCAATGAAACTTGAAAATTACGCATGAAAACAGAAAATTAAGCAACGAAATCTCAAAATAAATTCTATAGCCCCCCCTACAGAATTTATTTTGGCATTTCCTTGAGCGTAGCTCCAATAGAACGATCAGAGGTCAGTAAAATGTAGGAGACTGGACTGTCTCAGAAGTGTTTATTCGTTTGTTGTGTTTCCACAAACGAGGAAATCACAAGATAAATTCTGTAGGGGGGGGCTATAGAATTTATTTTGTGATTGCCTCGCTTGATTTTCTGTTTTGATGCATTATTTTCCATTTCGTAGTTTCATTGAAGGAATCGTTAATTTACGTTTTTCGGAGGCGATCATGAACGCCTCTCGAGTCGAACAGAAGAAGAGAAGGCACGGAGGCGGACAAAGACGTACCTGTATTTGTTGAGACTGTGAAAACCATTAATAAAGTGTGCGTTTTAAAAAAAACACCACATCTCTCCTTTTTTCGGAGATGCAACAAAAACTTATTTCATAAAGCAACGACACAGTTCACTGAACCAACAGCAAGTTATAACATTGTCAGCATGTCTCCAGCAAGGAGAATGCCGATATTTGGCAGAATGGAATTCCGATAACCGTAATTGTACGATTAATTTAAAGGGGGGGGGGGGTATAACTTTTTGCTCCCTTAATTCTTACAACAATATAAATATGAATTACAGGCAGAACATTTGACTGTTTTACAATATTTGGCCCTGGCGTTTTTTTTAAATACTTTTTTTCCCCATCTGACTATTTTAAAAACTAATATCAGCCGGGCCCTAATAATACCAGCATTAAAAGTAATTTGAATAAATGTATCATTTCAGAAGCGTGTATCGAACTGGTCGCCCCCCCCCGTATTAATCAATAACCAAATAGTAGCTCTCGACTTGAAAAAAGTTGCAGAGCCCTGGCCTGTTCTTATTAAAAATATCAAATATTTTGGAAGACCCTACAGAGCAGCGAGTTAGCGGACAATGAAATCTCTCCATTCAGCTTCAACTCTCGTGCAAATTAGTGGGTCGTCGTCAATGGCGGAAACCATGCTGGACTCTAGCGATGCGGCAGAATGACAAATATGCTCTCACCGAGGTGAAGGCTGGAGGAGGACCCGTGAGAGGAGGGCAGAGAAGGCGGGGGAGTGAGAGGCGAGTGGCCGGGGGTGAGTCCGATGGGGCTGGGTGAGGAGGAGTAACCCAGGCTGTTGTAAAAGGGCTGGCCGATGGGAGTTAAACTGCTGCTTCCGCGCTTGTAAAGATCCGAGCTCGTCAACAGGGAGTCCCTGCGAGACACGCTGCTACTCGTTGAGCTCGACACTACGGCGACAAAAGAAGAAGGGCGTTGGAATAAAAGCAAAAGTGGAAACATCACGTGAACCTTGGGCTACTGACCCGACGAGCCGAATCCTCCGAGGGCAGACGCCAGACCCACGCCGAGCGAGCTGCCGGTGCTGCTGAAGCCCAACGAGGAGCTCTGCGGCGGCGGCGGAGCTGATGTGTGCGAGAAAAGCGAGCTGCTCTGAGAGGTGTTGGGGACAGAGCCGGAGCCGTAGAAGGAACTGGACTGCAGGCCGCTGCTCTGCGGGGGAGCCTGCTGCTGCTGCGGCTGAGGTTGGGGTTGAGGCATGGAGCGGTACATGCCGTTGGCCGGAGGGCCTGGCATGTTGTTACCGGAACCGGACGCGGACACCGCAGCTGCTGGTTGGAGAAAGCAAAATACTGTACTCCAAATAATGTATCCATAAAGATGAGATTGTTATTTCAGTCTTTTTTTTTTCTTTAGGGGTATGCTGTGAGATTTTTCCAATTTAAAATGTACACTGGCTCCATAATAGTGGCTAAATATTGTATTACGTATTCTTGTATTGGATGATAGTGCTTTACTTGTACGAACACATTTTTAGGACTTTTCAAAAACAAAAAACTACTAAAGAATGCAGAGGAAGGCGAGTTACGACCTGATCTTTTTCTGAGGGGTCTCACCATGTGTAATAGAATAAATACTAAGACGTAAATCCTACTAGCGCTCGAGCAGACAAGAGTTGAACTGAGAAAATTCATGCGGACCAAAGCCGGCAAATATCAGATGTCAACTTTTATTTGAAACTATTGTCCTTTGTAGGTTGCGACCAATGAACTCAAATTAGAAGTCCCGCTCATCCAGATAGCGACAACGTGCCATATTTACTTACCAGCCTGGGCTGCTGCGGGATTGATGAGGAGAGGCGTTTGGACTAAACGAACTGGCCCGCCGAGGCCGGTTCGAGCACTTGGGCCCATCACCAGTGCGCCGGTCTGGTCGTAGTAAGCTGCTGGGGCCAACACCTGATAACCTGAGTGGGAAAAAGCCAATTTGTCAACAGATGATCTGAAACGCGAGCTGCAGATTGCAGGCCACGGTTGCTGATGAGCACGTGCAACCGACCGGGCATTCCGGCGTACGCCAGTGCGGGGTTTGCGGCGGCAGCTGCTGCAGCCAGAGACTCCTGCTGACTTGGTTGACCTTGACCGGGCGTGAGAGGACGCTGGTTGTTTCCCGTGCGCATTACCTGCCGGCATGTTAACGTCAGAAAACACAGCGTGGTCACTTATGTACAAAGCAAAACTAGTTTCAAACGCCCTTGAAGGGAAACCAGACAATGTGAGGCGTTAACTGTGGTGCGCTTCTTTATGCTGCATTGGAAGGAAACAGCGCAGGTGTTGAGGTGTGTAAGCTCTTTTACGGTCTTGCCTTGGCGTTCGCGTTACACATGGTGCTCACCTGAGGTTGGCCCGGCCCTGGTCCCTGATTGGATGCTTGCTGATTCGCAGAGTGATTGGCAGTAGATGCGGCCTGTTGCTGAAAAAGGTTGGCCGGGTACACGCCCCAAGGAACGCCATAATATTGCGGTGGAACCACCGTGGGCCCTGGGAGGGTGAAATAAAGAACACTGTTGTTGTTTTCCAACTTTTGGAATAGTTGGCACCTTTATCCACGTGACGGCATTGAAAAGACCGGACGAGGTGTGTCAGGTGATCACCTGCAAGAGTCGCTGCTGCCGCCAGCCCTGCTGCCGTGTATGGATCAGCTCCAGGGGGTGCGGCGTTGATGATGTAAGGGTTTGGCACAAACGCGGGAGCGAGGCCAGCTAAGCAAAGTGAACGAAAATCAACAGAAAGGTCGGTTGCAGTTTCTCAAAAGGAAAAAAAAAAAAAAAAAAACTTGACATGACTAAAATACATTTGAGTTCACTTCTGCACAGTAATCACCTTCACAAATAGTTTGCCGATTTGAAATTGGCATTTTTTTATTTCTTCTCATTTATAACATCAGAAGGCAGACATTCCACGGGACCTTCATATCAAGTAAAAAGCGTAAAGAGCCGTGAGGTGGAAGCGACACTTGCGGTCCTGCATTTTTGGCTTGGTTCACACAGCGGATGTCAAAAAGCAGTGTTGCACAGATCAGCTATTTAGTGCCTTTTGCATTGTTTAAAAATGAGCGGGGGTGGGGGATCCTGGACCCAAACAAACTGCTCCGTAGAATAGATTTAAAAATAAAATTTTATATATTATACGGCAACGTTACCAAGGTGCTGCTGTTGAGCCGCTGCCAGGGCATATTGTTGCTGCTGGGCTGCTGTGAGTTGCTGGACCGTGAGGGGATTTGACCGCTGGAATAACTAGAAAGGGACCAAAGAGATTGCTTCAAACTTACAATTACGAGTTCTTCATTCAAAAAACACACACACACACCTGCTGCTGCGAGCTGTAGTCAAACAACCCCACTGGGGTTCCGGAGGAGTCCACTTGAATCTGGTTCCCTGCATATTCAAACTGGAGGGATTCGACACCGGCTTGTTGTTCCATGCCACCCATGTTCTGGCCTTCCTGGTTCTGAAAGTCCTCCACTGGGCCCTTGTTGTGGTTCTGTTGTTGGAGAGCGTGGACGTGGGCGTGGGGATGAGCGTGAGCGTGCGCGTGGGCATGAGCGTGAGCATGAGCATGGGCGTGAGCGTGGACGTGATGTTGGGTCATCATCTCCAATCCAGTCTGGTTCGGGCCCATCCTCTCCACGGCTTCAGTTGGAGAAGCTTGACGGCTTCCTGGAGTTGGACTGAAAGACATAAATGCCGTTAGGATATGAGTCCTCGGGCCTTAGAAATATTACGAGCCTTTTGGTAGGTTGGATAGTTTGCCAACCCTCTCCCCCCAAAAAACTCCACACATACTTGAAGTCTTTGCAGTCTCTGTCCATGCCGTTCAGTAAACTTCTTCCATTGGCTTTCGCGGAATCGCCGTCGTCTCCCACCTTCATCTCAGGGCTCTTGTCTTCCTCAAACGGAGAGACTTTCTCGGGGCCATCATTCTTCTCTCTCCCGTCCTGGTCGGTATCGCCTCCACCCTGGATTAGCAAGAACACAAGGTTAGGTCGAGGTGTCACTCAACGGTGGAATTAAGTGCTAAAAATAAAAAGACATTTTCAGGCATGAGACGTTCGTGAAAGTAGAATAATGTCAAAACCGCGAGTGCATTTCAACTCACGTAGCCGCCGTTCCTGTAACGGCCGTCCATCTTGTCGCCGGGAGACGAGCTCAGCACGTACTCCACCATGCTCACACCCAAGCCTCCGCCCTCCGAGCGGGGAGAGAGCACCGAGTTGGCGTCGCCGTTGCCGTGGAAACCCTGACCCGGCCGTCGCTGGACCATAATTGGCTGGGAGACTGAATGGTCTAGAGAAAAGGCTGGCATCAAACATCTTCAAAGCTGGCCATAAAAACTTTTACAGGTGGGAATTTTTTTTCAAATTCGTTAGACAAAAAAAAATTAAAAAAAAAAAAACATTCGGGTATGACGGTTGGAGTGACTCACGTGATGACCCCCAGGCATTGTCCCTCCACTCCTCTCCAAGAAGCATTCCTTTTCTTCCATCCTTGGCCAGTTCATCAGAGTCCCAGAGCTTTTTCGCCGGCAAAATCTTCAAAGAAAACAAAATCGGATTAATTGAAGCTTTTTTTCCCCCCTTAAATTTTGAGTAGTTATTGCGTTTGCAAAAAAGTCCTACCTCTCCCATTCCTCTGGACTCCAAAGCCAGAGCTTGAAAGTCATAGTTCATTTCATCCACAGCGCGGACCTGAGCCACAAAGAACACAAACGCGTAAGCAGCACAGTTTTCAATTTCACCACTGCTCCCTGACCCTTTAATCATCAATTAATATGTCGATCATTTCTTCGATCATGTTCATAAGCAAATGCGAACAACCTGATCAACGTGATTGGGGTCCCCGGTGGGCCAGCGATGCTTGCCCGGCGCGCAACCTGCCAGCTGCTCCCCGGCCTGCCTCTGGAAGAAGTAGCCGACCGTAGCGTCGTCCTGCGAACGACCGCTCAACGGCGGCTGCGGTGTTCCCGGCGTGGGGTTGCCCGTCCGATCCATGCCCTGTAAATGGGGGCCCCCTGTAGCCTGGCCCGCCACCGCGGCTAGGGGCCCTCCACCGTGGACCCTGACCCCTCCGGCCTCAGGAGCGCCATTTGCATGCAGCATCCCACCTCTTGTCTCCTGCCAGGCCACGTCATTCATACCTAGGATGCTGCATGGAATGCTCATTCCACGGGAAAGCCTAAAGAGAAGCGGGAGAGGTCATTCAATGGACACATCAGGAGACAACACACAATCTGATTCAAGATTTGGAGGAGAAAATGAATTTTGGTAACATTATTGTCGTGTTGTTATTGTCTTCATGACTAAAAAGTGTCTGGGAAGGCTGATATTTTTTGACTAATTTCGAGCAACGGGTCAGTTACATCACCATTGACTTGTGACTCCGGCTGCAGTCTATTTTCACGCCGTTTAGTTTGGTCGGCACAGCCCTTGCTTTAGTTGCGCCTAATCGGTCATGAACTCCTTTATCAGACACGTATGAAAGCGAGGAACAAGTCATATCACCAGTTGCTCCAATCTGAGAAAGCCATGTAACGAACGAGGCAGTGTTTTGCAAGCTCTGGATCTTTGACAAAGCTCTTGAAAACTTTCGCTGTCTACTGAGAACTAAAGGGGTTGTCAATTCCAAAGCCAATTTAATGGCTTAAATAAGTGTCTTTTTTTTTTTAAAATGACCACAAATTGCCCAGGGCCCATCCTGTCTGTGTTGGTTTTAGCTCAAACGATTGCTGTGACTCTGTTATTTTGTTGTTGGAATTTAAATTTGTGAAGAGATGAGCTTACACTCACAAATGAGTTGCTTGACAAAACGCTGCATAATCCATCACCAACAGAATTTCTTCATGATAAAGTTTGTAGCTTTTGTTTTTTGAAATAGACGTTTCAATCATAAGTTAGCACATCCTAGCAAGGAGGCTGAGCAGTTAAAAACTTAATGGTTAAAGCAATATTAAATGAAAAAGCTTAATTTATAATCCAATATAAAGATCAGTTTTGCTGACACTGCCCGAGATGTATTAAATCTAACAGTTGCTGTGGATACACAGTAGTTTTCTAAAAAGGGTCCTACGTATTTAGATTGCCTTGTACGAGATGAAAAGGGGGTAAAACATTAACAGTTCTACACAACCACTTCGTCAACAAGCAAATCGCAATTTCTTGCGCGTGTTCTTTCCTAAAAGAGACTTCTTGATTAGACTCCATTTAAATCGTTATGCAACTTCATAAACCGATGTTTAGTGACCCAAACAGTAATAGCTAGTCTAATAGAGGCCCGTTCATTACAAACCGAGTGCTGAACAACAAAAAGCAGCATGGGAAAGGTATTAATGAGCACACAAAAAGAACAAAACAAGTCCCGCTTGTTAGCATTCGTTACTAGCTTCGCTCGTGACCGTAGAAGCGGCGTTGTAGCATCGCTACGACTGAGCCTTATGTGTATACATGTAAAACTGCTACATATGAACACAGACCAGCAGACAAAATGACAGTCTTGCTCGCACGATAACCATTATTCAAATATTACCAACAACATACCGATTGTTGCAGAAAACTGACGCCAGGCTAGTTCGACAGACAAGCTAACTAGCGAGCTAGCTGCTATCAGCAGCTATTTTGGTACTGGTGAATATCCACGGGGAATTATTTTAATCATTCCTTAAAGTGAATTGGTTCCATTTTATCCTAACGTCCAATTTAACACGGCATCTAAGATCGTTTCACTATTATTGACATTAGCAAGCTACATGATCGGCCAGCTAACGCTAGCGGCGCCGGGCCTGTTTATTATGGCTTGTCTGTGCTTGACATCAAAGTTTACTTGAGAAACCAGCGCTGCGTTTTTTGATATCAGATGAGATTACTTTTACCGAATATGTGCGATAGATTTTAAAACGAGGAGAAATGTCGCATCGTGTGCTGTGCTAGCGCTAATAGCCAACTCGATGTTGTGTGCGAGCTAGAAACCAAGCAAACTCAGCGGCTACAACAACATGGCACCCCTTCAAGTTGCAAACAGAGGGGCCTTTACCGCTAAACAAAAGGGGAAATGCTCGCACAACGGCGGCGGTGTGTAAAACACGCGCGTCGCCGCTTTCTTCTGTCTGTCGACACTGAAAATAGGAGCTCGAAATACTTACGCGTTGTCGTATGGAGAGAGGCTCCGGGCTTGAGGCACGCCGTAAACCAGATTCTATATTGTTTTGTTTCCTTGGAGAGAGCGCTGATTTCTGTGCAAGGCTTTGATAGCCTCGGCTAATAGTTGGCCCGTGCTGCTGCCCCCTGCGGGTAAAGAGCATGTACTGCTTCCGTCGTGCGCTGCACAGCGGCGTGCAAAGGAAAGTCCCCTCCCAACTGCTTCGTTCGTTGCAAAGAGGGGTATTCCGGCTCTTTTCCACAATCTGGTGTGTTTGGCTCGACTCTCTGAGCTCAAAGGGACGAAAGAGCCTGAAAAGACTGTTGCTCGTTGCTTGTTGTGAAAACAGTCACCCGTGATTTGCATTCGCCCCCCTCGTTTTGTCATTTACTGCAATGCCACAAATTCATACATTTATGATTTTTAAAAATTCCATTTGCGTCACTCCACTTCATCTCGATTGCATTCTCCTCAGCTAACACTGACTGTTCAGTTATTTCCATTTTTTCACGGCCCTCTGAATAGGGATCGTCAGTCAGCACGGAAGGATTACTCGCTCTGTACTTTTTTGATACTTTACTGAAACACTTTACAGCAGAAGTAGTAGAAGCAGGTAATAACCTAAAATAATGTACACATAAATGAATATACATCACAATGTAAATGTGAATATAATTAACATTAATTCATTGAATGTCTTAATTTTACTGAATAACTTAATAAACCATGATTTCATACTATATATTATTATCGTCATCATTATTCATTATTCTAAACGCAAGAAACTATACAACAAAAACACATCAAGTGGAATCGAACAAAAGGACTACAAGTCCCAGCGGCCAAAACCCGGAAGTGGAGCGCCGGCATAATTAACTTCAATTAACTCCAGCCGTAACGCAAATTACCTCGTTTAAACATTAAGTGCAGCCTGACAAACATGACAACTATGCAAAAAAAAGAACTAAATAAAGACACTACTGTGATTGCAGACTTTTGCCCACGCTGGGTAAAATGCCGATTGAGAACAGTAACTGACTGTGATTGCGATGCGGCAAACATAAAGCACAACGGACCAAAGACAAAGCAAACAAACAAAGCGAACGTGCACGATTGAATCTAAAGGATAACTTAACTCTCCATATCTGATAAATAAAAACGGACACAAACGTAACTCACTACTGGGGCCATGCTGACCACGAAGTGAGTGTTTTCACGAACGAAACAAACTGCTATGCGGCTTTTTATACGTCACGCGAACTGTCACCTGTCAGTGGCAGCCCCGCCCCTCTTAAAGCAGCAGGTGAATCCACCACTGACCATGGTGCGAAAATAGCGCCTGGTTCACTCAGATTTAGACCACAGACCTAAAACACAATCTGGGTCAGGTAGTTCAATCTTTAAATTTGAATCATCTGAATTTACTGTCCAACTGTGTGGTCTTCTGCAACAAAAGGTCGGTTGAGAAAAAATGACAAATTCCCCACAATAGAGCTGCCAGACTAGTTTTACAAAAGAACAAACACAGTAAGTATGCGCCATAAACTGTAATGTTTAAAATTAGACTTGAGAAAAGCCTGGATTCTGTACTTTAGCCGAAGTTTGAAGTTTTCGATCACATTTTGTGTGACCGAGTTGCCGAATCGGCTCTTCAATGGTGATTCGATTCCTGGTCGTTTCTACCAACTCGTGAACGAACGACCCATTCTACTTCATTCCCTTTTTTTCATTATTATTATTTTAAGTGTTTAGAAACATCAGTATTATGCTCAACGACCTACGTGATAAATATGTTGACATTTTAAGTGTTTAAACAGTTTGAAAGAGTGCTAAAACATTTGGATGCAGTCATTCGGACGAGAACCTCCCCCGAAACCTCAGCGAGATCCAATCACCAGTTGCTTCACGAGCTGAAAGTTCCCTTCCTTATTTCCGATTGGATTGCTATATTTAGGAAAGCTCACTTTGCTTTATAAAGAGATCTCGCCGAGTTGTCACCGCACGGAAAAAAGGTGTTGCGCGGTTGAGACGCCCCAAAAAAACGCGACTTTTTTTGAGGGTCGATTCTTTGAAGACTTTGCAATGGGGAAGGACAAGCAAATGGCGGCCGAGATCCGCAAGAAACTTGTGGTGGTGGGCGACGGCGCATGCGGGAAAACGTGTCTCCTGATCGTGTTCAGCAAAGACGAGTTCTTGGAGTTGTACGTCCCGACCGTTTTCGAAACTTACGTGGCGGACATCGAGGTGGACTCCAAGAAGGTCCAACTGGCCCTGTGGGACACCGCGGGCCAGGAGGACTACGACCGGCTCCGCCCGCTCTCCTACCCGGACACGAACGTTATTTTGATGTGCTTCTCCGTGGACAGCCCGGACTCGCTGGAAAACATCCCGGAGAAGTGGGTGCCCGAGGTGAAACACTTCTGCCCCAACGTGCCCATCATTCTGGTGGCCAACAAGAAGGATCTACGCAACGACGAGAACGTCAAGAACGAGCTGTCCCGACTTAAGATGGAGCCGGTGAGGCCCGAAGACGGCCGAGCCATGGCCGCGCGCATCGGCGCCCACGATTATTTGGAATGCTCGGCCAAGACTAAAGAGGGGATCTGGGAGGTGTTCGAGGCGGCGGCGAGGGCGGCTTTGAAAAAGCAAAGGTCCCCACCGCCGAATATTTTCAACCGGTGCGCTTTTCTGTGACTGGGTGGCTCCAAGGACTCGCCGAGACGTGTTGTTTAAGGCCTGTTGGGGCAGTGCCGCTCCCTGACAAAGTGTGGCCCAAAAAAAAAAAAAAAAAAGAGAGGAAGAGGACAATAATGGCCCCGAAGACTGTTTTGGCCACGCCGTCGTCTTCTGGTACTGCAGGGAGTGTTTTGGACACAATCGTGGGTCTTATGAGCCGAATTTCACTGGTGGAGGAATGAAAACAACTTTTTTTTTTTGCATTTAAAGCTCACCATATGTAGCTGAGAACGCTTTTTTTTGTTAAAAAAGTGTATTTTTTTTTTTAAATATCCTGAAAGCTGAAAAAAATCTGGATTGTGTTACATAGCACTGATTTACCTAGAAATATTCCCAACCAGAGAAGATGGATGACGTTCGTAAAGCTATGATAGCTTGCCACAAACCGCAACCACTTGCCATCAGCCATGTAATAAATATATAGGAGATCGTTTACATATTGTTAACTCATTCACTCCCAAAGACGTTTTTAAATGTCTTTTCAGACTTGGTCCAGAATTGGCTGGTAGTGGATGAGTTTTAAGGGGAACAAAGGATGTGATTCTCCAGGAGGAAGAGGGTTTTATCTGTCCAATTGCATCATTTACAACACATTTCTGCACACGTGGAACATCACACCAAGACTAGTTGACTTTGCCAAGCAAATGCCTTCCACAGCACTTTTATTTTCATTCTTTCAACTACTGTGCAACGATTTCCGAGCGAAAAATCACATGTATGTGTTTCTGTGGACCGATCGTGGCGGTTAACAAGCTAGCCTATCGCTTTGCTAAAGCCTATGAACAAACTTCTGGGTCATGTTAACCCCACTGATTAAATATTTAGATTAAAGTTGGCCGCGTATCCTCTTTTCGAGTTCCTGTTTTTCACGTGAGCCTAAAATTTGAATGATGAAAGCGATTTCACAATGGGAATAATAGCGTCAGTGTTTGATTTGAAAACGAAAGACTGATTCACAGACTCCTTGAGCTCACGTTCTGCTCACAATTGACAGTACAAACTTAAAAGACATTAAAGCTAAAAGTAATGTTTGCACATGTTCACTTTTGTTACCGTGAAACAAAGTGTTTTTAAACTAAGAAGTTGCACAGCATTGAACTCGATAGTGTTCATTTGGGATGGGCATTGAATAAAATGTCCATGTCATTTTTACATCAAATTGAAGCAGTAAATTTGTAAATTTCCCCAGTGTGGGACAAATAAAGGATATCTTAAACATTAAACGTTGCCTTATGTAAAAAAATTTAAAAAAAAAAAGATTTCTAGTCGATGTACAGCATTTTCTAAGTCGACCTTGTACTACAGAAATCTTAATATTTTGGACTATGCAGTCTAGTGCAATTTTTTTCATGAAACCGGGGGTTCATTGTTTTTGTCATTCAGGTACGTTTTCAGCATATAGTCGTCGCTGGTCACGTTTGTTGGGAGGGCACTAACTAGTGAAGCGTTGACTCTAAAAAAAATCGGTTTTGGTGTAGACCTGAACCAAGTTATGTCTCTAAAGCCTGCAGTTTGCTAGCACGGGTGAGCCAATCGCCGTGGCTCACGCGGAACGAAGCCATTTGATGGCCGTGAAAATACAAAGTGAGACATTTTTGGGGGACTGCTCAAAAAAGTTGGTTTACGATGAAAACACTCATTCGGCTGGGACATGCACATGAACTGTATGTTAATCCACCTGAGTGTCCGAGGTATGACTATGAATGTATCTCCTTGTTGTGGACAAACGACACAAATGCATGTTAATTGCTTTTCGGTTTCTTTTTCTTGATTTGAATCATTGATGGCAAATCACTGTCCACTTATAAAATGTTTTAACTTTTGCCTTCGTGACACCGAGGGCAGAAAATTGGGAGTGCTGCAGGATTTAGTGTCTGATGGTAATCTTTGATTCTGAATCTTACATGACTTATGACTTGTGACTGCTGTCGGTAACAGTCGTCTGTCATTTTTTTTGTTTTTTTTTTTAAGAGTCTTTTAGAAATTGTAATTACGCAAAAGTCGCATTCCTGCCTGCCATGTGTTGCTGGGATTTTTATTTTGTTTTTTTGCTGACTTCCAGGGCAGGAATGCATTGTGCTGCACTTCCTGATTATTCCCACACTAGCCCCCCTCATGTGTTTGTCATTGTCAATGGATTTGTATTTACACGTATTACTCAGATGGGTCTGGTTTGCATTTGTCCATTTCTACAATTACGCAGAAGAAAACAACAAAAAAAAAAAAAGCAGAGTATGTGGCAATCTAAACCATTTTGTGTATATGGACATTGCGTATTTATGTAATACATTGCATTAGCTCATTTTTAATCAGGGGATTTGGAGGTTTTTTTTTTTCTTTTGGTAACCAAACGCGCTGACGTTTTTCTGAAGCAATAAATAAAATGTGGTTGCCATGTTTTTGTCTTCCTCCCTCTTATTTTTACCAGGAACTATTAAAAAATGACTGTACAGTATTCTTTCCCATTGTTAAGCGATTCGAGAGCATGCGTCACTCATACGGAGTCCCACTATATTTAGACCTGACGATACAAATGACTAATAGGTGTACGGCAGAAATGCGTTGGAAAGTTTCTTCCAAATAGTCTTTTTTTTTTTTTTTTAAACATTCTCTGTAGATTATTACAATTGTGTTAACAAAGTATATTTGTTAAAAGACAAAGTGACACCGTCTGAAAGCATATGGAGGGTAGATGGAGTTTGCAGTTAAAAACGGTTTTTAATTCAGGAAACAGGTTTTAAATAGAACAGCACAACATACAAATGACGCACAATACACAAAGGCGTGAAAATAAACAAAAGGCAGTCTAGTCTAATAATAACGACAACAGAATAGACCAGTATCATGGATACAGGCGACATTTAGTGTACAGTTTTGTATTTCCTTCTTGGAAGTGATCCTTCCGTGACAAAAAACAAAACAACCTGGCGCTACGGTGTAGTTCGCCATTGAAGTTTAGTTAAACCGGGGAACGAAGGGAAAAGGGATATCCAACTCCACCTCGCTGTCACCAACTCTGATGAATTTTTCAAAAATTTGACTATTCTCCTTTAGGATTTGAATGACGTTGCTGCGGAAGGCATTCAGATGTCTCAGCGTCACGTCAATTGAGGACTCGATGTCCGCTCGAAGCTGTTCGGCGGGAATGTCATCCAGAATGTTCTGAAGTTTTGTCGCCGCGGTTTGAAGATAGCCGCTGATTATGCGATGGGTGGTTTCGATCCGCTGAACGACACTCGTAAAGGTACGGGAGTCGAGGGCTTCCTGGTACATGTCGATCAAGAAAGCGGGGACCTCCGTTACATCTTGCGATCTTAGAATAGGGAGCAGCATTTGATTTAATTGAGAAAGATCCCAGAGAATATCTTCAACGGCGTCCCCTCCCACTTTTCTCATCGTGGCAATCACTTGGTCGCAGACTTTCCTTAAAGCTCCAAAAAAGTCCTTCAGAATGTGTCTTCCGGAGACGGGAATGGCTTCAAAAGATTCGGTTGCTACTATCGAGGCGGAAAAGACGAACTTTGAGACTTTCCGATTCGCCTCCTCATAAGCGTCAATAATAACGGTACTCCATTTCTGATAGATCTCGAGGCCCGACAGTCTTTGCGGATACCCTGGGATTCGGAACTTGGTTTCTCGCAGGAATACAACCGCAGCCTCGAGAAAAGTCTCCACTTTTTGTTGGGATCTTCGAATGATACGATTGGTCTGATCTTTAGCAGATGTCATCACCTCGGCGGGATTGTCGACAGCCTTATTCAAATATTCTGTACCTTGCTTCCTTACCCGCTCCAGAGTCCCCTCGAGGCGTCTTGCGTATCTGTTGATTTGATCGTAGGTCGCGGCAGCAGGAGTAATGACCGTTTCAGCGGCCGCAGGTACGTTCTTCTTCAGTCCCAGCATCATCTCGTATGGCATCTCCGTGTTCCAGGAAGTCTGAAGATTCAGCTTCTCAGAATTCGTCACAGACATCTTCAGGGCCAGGATATCAATGTCCGTTTGTGGTTTAGTCTGCGGAACAACAAAACGGTACCATATTTAAGAATGCATTCTTTTCTCTAAAATTCAAAACAAACAAACCCCCAAAATAATTTGACTTACAGGGTAGCGACTATAGAGTCTCGCTCTTGCTTGTGCCGGGTGCTCAGTTTGCACCTGAACTCCGATGTGACCGGCAGATGGGGTAGACAGAGAGAAAACGAGACTGTTTCCGGTCATCTCCTGGCGGACTTCCACGGTTTCGTAAGGAAGATTGACCTTGAGGGAATTGCTGATGGAGGCGTCGATATTTTCATAACTTAAGAGGATGGCGCTGTCATGGCTTCCTTCCAACACCGCATGTTTTACAACCAGGACCGAGGCCATCTTGAATCCCCCAACTAAGTTGACATTGGCAGTGCCCTCGATTTTCCCTGCCAGAACCTCCCACTCCGAAGACGAGGACGCATCGAGTTTGACCAGGAAGCTGTTCTTATTGAGAACGCTGGTGTTGCTTTTGAGAGTGATCATCGGTGCTTTCATGGAGAACTCGTGGATCAGATCGCCCATTTTTGGAATCTTGATGCTCTGAATTTTCGTCAGAGTGATTTTGGGAAGCGTCAGAGCTGGCATTGTAACAAGACTGGTGTCTGGGAGGGGGATGGTGAATGTTGACATCCTAATATTGATCACTGGGACCGTGTATTCAGGAATCGTCAGTGTTTTAGGCCATTCGGTGTAATATTTCTCAAACTCTGCCTGTGCTGTGGCATAGGATGAAACCAGAATATCGATGACCAGATCGGCATTCAGGTCGATGGTGAACATCTCCGGGTTCTTTGTGTATTTCATCTTGGAGCTCACGTCAAAAGTCTGTTGAGTTGTCGTCAGGAGAGTCCCCAGGCCAGCGTCTTCCCACAGTGAGAAGTCCTGTAGTTTCGGTGTCCTCGTGCCATAAAATGGCACCGCGATTTCAGGAATGGTGATTGGTTGCCTCAAGATGTCAAGATTTGCTTCTCCGTGAATCTGACACAAGAGGTGAATTTCCGTTTCACCGTGATCCGTTTTAAAGAAATGGGAGTATTTGTTTTGGTTGACTCTTGCCATTCCGGTCCAGCTGGCCTGCTGCACTTGAGAGTTGAACGTCACAGAAATGTCATTCTCAAACTCCATCTTTCCCGACTGCACGAATGGAAGGAAAAACCTGGAATTTCCCTTATTCTTGGTGTCGAGCGTGAGCTCGGTAGGCGTTATCAAGGCCAGGGCGGAATTTGAAAGAATTCCCTCGATCAGTTCTGCGTTATGGGAGGCGGTGAAATCGATTTGCAGGTCTTCAAGGCGAGCCTGGAACTTCATGTCAAACACGCTGGCCTTCATCACGGGTGTTTCCGTTTCGATTTTGGCGTCGATTAACGCGCGGTCGAAAACGCAGATCTCCGCGACGGCATTCTGATTGCTTTTGAAACCTTTGCAGTTTGTAGCGCCAGTGAAAGTCACTTTGGCCGTGTGCGGATCCAGGACCAAGTCGACGTCGCTGTTGTGAGTCGCCTCATCGGAGAAATCCCGAACTGCGTATTTGGCATTGGCCAGAGTGTTCACGGTGAGTTTTGCCGAGCCGGCTTCCAGTGCGAGATTCGTTTTTTGGGTTGATGACACGTGAGTGAAAATGTCGAGCGATGGCATGTTGAGGTCTTGATTGAAGTTTGTGTTGACACTTGCGGAGAGTCCATCTTCCATGGCCAAGAACACGTTGTTGACGAGTTCGGCGGAATACCACTCGAGGGCGATCTTTGCAGTCGTGTCAGCGGAGCCTTGACCCGACAGGCCGTAGACGTTCATCGTTCCCTTGTGGTCGACTTTAAAGAACGACTGATCCATTTTAATCGACTCTGAAATCGCCAGACGGCTCATTTTGGGTAGAGCCAAATGTGCGCCGGCATCTACGGTGAACTGGAGGGCCCTCAAAGTCGATGTGGCCCGAGAATTAAGATTCACTTTGAACTCCGGTGTGAGCGATGTCGCCGAGGTGTTCGCCAGATCTGCGCTCGTCCTGAGTTTGTAATGCGGCGTGTCGATTTGGAACTCTCCGTATAGTTTTCCGAAACAGGGAACCTTGCTCATATCCGTCACTTTTTCTTTGAGATGCAGCGTTAATGTGTCATAGTCGAAAGACTGAATTTTCTGCACCATCCTCAAGACGTAATCCCTCATGTCATCAATCATCTGTTTGAAGTCAAAGGAGTATAGATGAGTCATAAACTCCCGAATAGGGACCGTAAACTTTTGAAACAAAGGCTGCAGGTCAAATGACCGAAGAAGGGCAAATCCAGACTTAATCTTTTCCCTCACTTGATACGTCTTCATCATTTCGACAACTTCATCCATCACTGTTCCGATCAGCTTCTCAATTTCATATTTGGACAGAATTTCCTCGATTTTTTGATAAATGACCGCGAACCTATTAGCGATGTTATGTTTCTTGATCCAAGCCGCGATAGCATCCTTGACGGATTTCAGCACATGGATGATTTTTTCCGTCGGCAACTTGGTTGTCAAGTTCGTCAGGGCGTTTTCAACGGCGTGGAAGCGTTTTCTCACATCTTGGACGAAGACGCTGAAGTCAAAGTTGTCCACGAACTCCTTCATTTCAGATACTTTGTTCTTCATCGTCATACCGATCTCATACTTGGTGTTGACGTCTTTCAGCAAGTCCACGCCGTTGTCGGTCAGACTCATCGCTGTATTTTTTACGTGTTCGATCACGGCGGGGATGTGCTCGGTGAAAGGGATGTGGACGAGATGGCTGTCGGTGTTCTTGTCATACTTGACGAATCCAGACACGCTGTAGTCTTGACTGGCTTCGCTAAAGAGGTTTGTGGTGACCGCTCCTCGCATGTCAATCGCCAATCTCTCGGCTTTGTTGTAGGCCTCGAATTCCTGATCAAAAGTGTGGTCGTTTAGCTTCGATTTAACCTTCAGGTGAAGGCTTTGTTCTTGAAGGCTCATGGTGCCGCTGAGCTTGCTGTCCGCGGTGGTCTTGATGGCGGGTAGGCCTCGGATCTCGTGGGCGGTCGAGCCTCTGTACTCAAACGACTGCGTGAAAAGCAAGGGTTCGGCTTTCAGGAGGAATTTACTATACAGATCGCCACTCTGCTGTCCGTAAAAAGACACGCCGCCGTTGGAGTTGAGCAAGGCATCGACGGTAAGGGAGAAGGGCTCGGCGGCGGCATTGACCTTGCTGTCCAAACGAAGAGACCGAGATTTGTAATCGGCGACATTGCTGAATTTCACAGTCAGGCCTGCAACCTCCAAAACTGTGGCATGCGCTATCTGAGATCCCAGTAGTTGACCGTTGGTGTTGCACTTTGTGGACAGGATCATGTCCACGAACTTGACTTCGTAAGTGTGCTTGAGTTCGTCCTCCGACGAGCCTCCCTTCAGCGTTCCCGTCAGCTCCACGTTGTAGGGCTGCGCCTTGAACTGGGCGTCGTTGTTAAAGTTGATCTCCATGATCTTGAGGTTATTCTTGATCATAGCGGAGGCTGTAAACGGCTCCATGGTAACTGTGATGTCGTGCGTGTAGGAGTTTCTGGTGTTAAGGAAATTATCCGTCTTGGTGTGGAGGGTTAAAGATCTCGACGTGAGAGAAAGGGAATTGGAATTTTCGGTCCTCATTTCGTTCAGCGATCCAACTATGCTGCTGGAGACGATGAGGCCATCTTCGCTGACTCGGAAATTCATTCTGTTCCTCGTGTTGAATGGCGAGACGTCGCCGTTAAAGACGCCATTGAGGTAGACTTCGGAGCGTGCCATTTTCCCTTCGATATTCAAGTCCACGTTATTCCCTCGAATGCCTCCCTTGGTGGTGAGAGACAAGGTGGCGCCGTCGGCGGCAAATCCGCTGTGGAAAATATTCTCAAAGATCAGTCGGTTGCGCTGAGCAGTCGTGGTACAGCTGGTGGTCACACCGTTAGCATTCAGAGTCAAAGTTGCCTTGTGAGAGGCGAGGCTTGAAAAGATGTTGAGGGAGGCATCGGCGTTGAGCTCCAAGCCAGAGGGATTCATTGAACCGGTGAGCAATGAATAGGCGCGGTTTACCGTATCGTCCGCTGTATTTCCTAGACGGAGGCTGGCTTGAGCTTCCGAGGCGGAGAACTCAACTTGGCTTTGAAGCGTTCTCCGACCGGCCTTGCTCACCGATTTGGAGAGAAAGCTCAGCTTGGCATCCTTGTAGTTCAGGTTGACGTTCGTCGAGTGCTGAACGGGGTGACTGTTAATGTCCGTGTTTGACTCGATGTTCAGATTCTCATTTGCATATACAGCCTTGATGTTATTTGTAACTTTCAGGATTTCGGAGTTCGCTCTCAGCGTGCTCTCCAATCTGAGTTCCTTCTTTGCACGGTCAGATGAGAAGGTGTTGAGATAAGTGATGCTAGCGGTCAAAGATCCCATGGTGAGACTTCCATTCGCATTGATATCCCCCAACAGCTTGGCGGAATCAAGCGTGAGGTGCTTGGTCATGTCCAGAGACGTCCGCAAGCCGAGCGGGGCAGCAGCATGGATGTTGTATTTTCCCGATGACGTTACATCGTCTGAGACGATGGCAATAGTCTCCTCCACATTAACCCTCATACTCACAAACGTGTGCTCCAGGGAGCCGTTCAGGGTGAATTTGAGCGTTTTCTCATCTGTATCGGTAATTTCTGCAGCTCCTGAAAACAAACAAAAAAAAATGCAAAAAGCAGTGACATTAAACACTACATCAAAAAAAAAAAAAAAAAAAAAACAGTGACATTAAACACTACATCGCTGATATTTTTTAATGCCTGTTGAAAGAAAGAAATCAAATTACCCTCAGATGTGAAAGCCAGCAGTTTGATCGGACTGGTAGCCTGAAGCGTGAACTTGGCCAAATAGTTTGGAGAGTCCACAGTATTGTTACCCGCTGACACGGTTGCCTCCCAATCGTAATAGTTGCTGTTCACCTTAGCGGACGCATGCATCATTCCGATCAGCGGCAGGGTGAGCTCTTGCTCAGAGGGGATGGTAAATTTGGGGATTCCGATCTGGTGCGGCGCGAGCAGGGGCGTGATGATTGCGTTCGTTGCGATGAACAGTTCCTCCGAGGATTTGCCTCCAAGTGGCAGCGGGATTCGGATGGTCGCAAAGTTCTTGTTGAACTGGTAGCGGAATTTGCTTTCCCTGACGATTGGATGAAAAACAGACACCAGTTGCTATGCGAGAGATGTCTTTTTTTTTTTTTTTAATGTGTTAACATTTATATCAAAGTCTTGCAATTTGAAAAGAGTGTTTTTCTTACATATTCATGAATAGGTTCTCGGGCACGGAAGGCATTTCCACCTTTGCAATGTTGTTCTTCAGAGTCTCCACGTAGGGGACATCAACTGCAATTTTGTTCATCCAGATGTTACTGGCCTAATGAGAAAACACAATTATTGTTGTTTTTTTAACGCTTGAGTGTTCTTCAGAGTCTCCACGTAGGGGACATCAACTGAAATTTTGTTCATCCAGATGTTGCTGGCCTAATGAGAAAACACAGTTGTTATTTTTTTAACGTTTGAATGCATATTAAGCCCAAGCGAACTCACCTCAAGCGCCTTTTTGACAACGTGACGCAGTTTCATGTCAGTGCTGGCAAGCTGATGATCCAAAGCATCCTCGGCAAATTTACTGAGCCAGGCCCCTAGCGCTTCGGTAGAAGGTACCAGCACTTTGGTCTCAGCATTCATGTTTGACAGCAGTTGAACCTCAACCTCATCATTGCCTGAAATACAGAAAGAAGATTGAATCTTTTCGCTTCCGGCATGAACGCATATATTCGAAATGAGTCCAGCGGCGCATATTTTTGGAAGACATTACCGTATTTGAATGTGATTGACTGAATCGATGAGACCTCAACCTCATCATTGCCTGAAATACAGAAAGAATGTTGAATCTTTTAGCTTCCGGCATGCACACATACATTGGAAATGAGTCCGGCGGCGCATATTTTTGGAAGACGTACCGTATTTGAATGTGATTGACTGAATCGATGAGGTCTCGGGGAGATTCATATCACTTTTGATCTCCAAAATGATTTCTTGGCCTTTGGGGCCACTTTCAGCCACGGTAGCAGAGATGCTAGCGTCTGTCTTCAGAGCGGGCACAGCCAACTGAACCTGGAGCATGCCTCCAGTTATGGAACGCAGTCTAGAAAATAGATATGAAAATATCAAATTAGAGCGTGGATCAAGAAAACTACAGATGACGGTTAATTGGAGCCTCGGGCCTTCGTCGGGTTTCTGAGTTTGTGGTTTGTTTTACTCACTGGGCGTGACCAGTTAGAGTGAGTTGCGGCACGTTCTTGTTGGAGATCTCAAGGCTGAGGGCTTTGCCTTTGTTGCTGCTGTCAGTCAGGCCAATCTTGACCCCGGCTTCGACATCCAAGACGGGTATCTGGATTTGGCTGGTGAAGACGTTCCTGTTCCTGTTGTATTTCATGATTGCGGAAGCTTCGGCATCCTGATTCCCTGCGGGGTTGGGAGAAAAATAGCTTCACGTGACGCTGAGAGAAGAGGGAATTATTCTCAGAATAAAAGAGTTTGTGGCGATCATCTTTCTAAACGTGGCGCCGATACCTTCAGCTTTCAGAGTCATCTTCAGGGAGTCGACCTTCTGGCGGCCATCTTTTCCTTCATTGAGGAGCATGTACGCAATGGTGGCTGTGTAGGAGACCTGAGGCTCAATTTCAATTCCAAACCTGAGGTGAAGAGTACATTTTAGTTCATTGGATTGACAAAATAACAAATAACTTTCTCTTTGGGGTTCACTAATATCATTCCACCCTTTTCCACTTACCTCGTCTCTCCACCCAGGGGGAAGTAAGGCACATCGCTTTTACCCTGTACATCAGCTTGAAGTTTTTTCGTGCAATACTTGAATCCGAAGAGGGAGTCACAGTTTATTTCACTCGTGCTGTGCGGGATTACGGCAGCGTTGCCATCGCCCACAATCATCACTGTATTACTTTGTAAAACAGATAAAAGAAATTGTTTTTAAAAAATAAATCAATAAACTCTCCCTGACTGACAGCCAAAAAATCCAACAACAACAACAATCCCGATATTATTACAGAGGATAATCAGCTACAATGCACCCATATTTTGTATTGCTGAAAAATTCACAGGCATGCACTCCAAAATGTTTCCAACCCATATTACCACATTTATTTTGTTTTACCTGATGCTCAAAAGTTTTGCAGGGCCCCGCGCAGCCGGGATAGTGAGCTCGACTTGGTTTACCTCCACGACTAGCTTAGCATTGAATTCGCTCTCGTGATACAAGCCGGTGTGCATCTCGACAGCGGAGGCAACAAATTCGGGGGCGTGGACGCCCATCTGGGTCACAAACTCAAGGCCGACAGATGGCTTGAACAACAGTTCATTCTGTGTTTAAATGGAACAAAATATTGAATCAATAGAGGCCAAGTGATACATCCAATAAAAAAATGGCTTCTTGATGAGAATAGAAATGAGAAAATACCGCGGCCGGGGAAAGGCGAAGTCTTTAAATGGAACAAAATATTGAATCAATAGAGGCCGTGTGATCCATCCAATAATAAATGGCTTCTTGATGAGAATAGAAATGAAAAAATACCGCGGCCGGGGAAATGCGAAGTCCTCCCTTAGCTCCGGGAGTAAACGTGCCAGACAGAGAAAAGGTCAGAGGCAAGCCAGTGGAGGTTGGAAGGACAAATTTGTTATCCATGAACATGTAATGGACAAAGATCTCATTGTCGGTGCCTGACATGAGGTTGGACACAACCTGATGGAAAGGAAAAAGAAGAAATATTAATGGTCTCATGCTGTCCTTACATAAAAAAAAAAAAAACGTGATATGAAAGAAGAAATATGTCATACCTGTTTCGGGAGAAGCTTCAGGAAAATCTCGGCGTACATTTTAGCATTTTCAGCGAGAAACTTCAGATCGCTGGCCTTGATGTGGCCAAACTCGGTTCCCATGATCTTCAGGTAGGCCATGGCCTCTGGAGATTCTTGATTCTGCAAATCTTTTACCAGCTTGTTGAAATTGCGAACAATTTCTTTCATAAGATCTTCGGGAACCTGAGGGAAACAAATATTTGGGATCCTTTAAAGGTGACGTTTGTGTCGTGTAAAAGGGAAAGAGGTGAACCCCCAAAATACCTTCTGTCCTTCTGCTTTCAAGGGAGCAACCCACTTTTCCAGAACTTCCATCATCTTGATTGGCACCTTCTTCTCGGCCCAGCAAAGAGCCTTGGACAATGTGTCTGGGAAGAAGCCGTTCTTTCCAAACAACGCCTCAATCGAGGGCTCTGAGCCTTTTCCTTCGATTCCGAGCTATCAGCACCAAATGCAAGATTCGGAAACAGCGAAAGCGAAGGTTTAACTTGTTTTCAAAATCATTCATCGGCCGTTTGCCAATTGTGACAATGACTCACCTCCCACATGTCCACGTTGTAGCCAAATACTTTCAGGGTGGATTCCATCATGACTTCTCTTGGCAGCTGGTTGCTGGGGTCAAAGATAACATTGCCCTGGAAATTGGCCTGCATGTTGTCGTTTGCCAAACCCAGCTTGTAGTTGCGGGACTTTGTCGTGTAGTCATGGTGTGTCTCCACATCATAGTCCTGCAGAGCGTCCGTTATCTTCTTGCCAAGCCTAAAGAAAATAAACAAATACACAAATAAATATATTTTAAATCTATTTGTACCGTTTTTGGTTTGATAATCAAGGATATGTTTATTCAGTCGAAATAAATCTTACTTCCGGGTCTCAGGATCAGCGGAGGAGATAATGTTGTAGACGTGGGAGGTCACGAAAGATTTGACCTGCTCGTTCTGCTCCTGTTTCAGGATCTTCTTCACCATCTCGATGTCACTATTGAGGGGATTTCTCATGAGAATCAGGTAGGCTGCAAGACGTTTCTGCACAGCACCCCTTGGGTACTGGCTTACCCGCTGGAGGTTAGAGCGAACCTGCACCGAAAAGGACACTTGATCAGTGTGACAAAATGTACTGCAAGGATTCCAGTATAAAACTAGAAAAAATATGTCTTGTTTCTTCGGACAGCTGCGAGTTACCTCATCTGTCATAGACATACGTCTGAAAGCCTGGATGGCAGCAAGCTGAACAGCGAGTGTGGTTGCAGGTTGTCTCATGCATTTCAGCAAGGTGTTCTTAATGCCGGGGTCGGCCACTTCGATCACATCTCCGATGTTACCGACAACCTGCAGAGAAATTGTACGTAAAAGTTGGTCTCTACTCTGGAGCTACATATCTCAACTTCCAGTTATCTGTGAACACTTCCGCAAAGATTTGGGAATTCTTCTGTGCATTTATGTGGAATTCAAATTCAGTGGCAACTCACCCAACTTGAGCAAGGAACTCTCTCGACAAATCCAGGTCCAGGAATTAAAAACATAGCCACAGATGCTTCTACTCAAGAGCTCATTTACCTGACGGCTTAATAGAGCAAAAATGTGGCGTGTTTTTACTTTCTGAACCTGGATTTGCCACCTCTCCCGAGGCTGCACGTAAACCCTTTTTGTCTACCTCATTGGATATTGCACAGTAGGATCCATGTGTACATGTTTTAGCTTCCCGTCATGTGTTTAAACTTGATTACGCACCCTCAAAGTCAGGAAGGTCAGGTCTTTCTCGCCAGAGCAGTCTGGGCCCAGGAGGGAAGCCGTGAAGTCAGAAACAGCAGTAATCTCCGGAGTGACTTTTCCCTCAGCCTGGTATAGCCTAGTGACAAAGTTTTGTATTAATTTCTTTACACAAGAGATCATCGACTAGCACGTCATGACTGGCACCGCTACTGATGTCTACTTACCTCCTGACTACATGACTCAAAGCATACATGATGGGCTTGCTCTTCCTGTTCTGAGCCATGGCCAAAATATCCTTGACCATGAGGCGTGAGGGGTTAGGCATCAGTGCAAGGGCATGAACTGCCATGTCGACTTCAAGAGCAGATTTATCAAAGGTCCCGAGGACCCTCAGCATGGCGCTGGTGCACTCTGGAGTACCGCACTGGACAAGAGCTTGCATGGTCAACGAGCCGGATATATCCATCATCTCAAGTGCAGCGGAACCCAGGATATCAGCCTTCAGGCCACGCAGTTCAGAAACCAGTTTGTGGAAGAGGGATGCACGCTGCTCTCCGTTACTGGTCTGGGATAAGGTCTTCAGCTGCTGCATTGCAGTCATGGCAGCATCTTTAGACTGCTTAGGAGACTTGTCATCAACATGGTCCATTGGCAAGAAACGCAGGAGAGCCTCATCTGTTCAGAAAATCCCGCCCCCCACAAACCATTACACTGCAGATAATGAACATTGGTGGAGAGATTAAAGCACATTCTGAAAAACGGAAACACTAACTATGATCAAAGATTCTGTCATTAATCTTGGTCGTCTCTCTGAGAGTCACAGTCTGCTTCACCAGAGTGGAAATTCCATATTCGTTCCTATGCGGGACACAGAGTTACAGCAGATGAACTAACAATAGGGCAAACAGCAAAAATACACTTTTTTTTTTTTTTAATATACCTTTTGTTTAGGATTATTTTGTCCACTTACTTGTGGGAGAGGGGCAGGAAAATATGCTTCTCTGTACAGGTTCCACTGGTCATGTGCTTCTTCTGGTTGTCGAACTTGTAGTTGCAAGTCTGGTGGCTACTGATCATCTTGGACAAAGGATATTGCTGGAAATGGAAAGACAGAAATAAACAACGAATTTGGCTCAGTTTGGCGTTAAGAAGGTAACTTGAGGCTTTTTACCATTCCTGAAAGGAGAGCCAGGGGACTGCTGGCCTGTTTGTGAGCGCTGAAGCCATCACAGCTGGAAAGATCCCTGCTGATAGTTACGTCGGTGGCGATGTCTCCTCTGGCGTTGACTGTGAAGTCGGTGGTGCAGATGCCGTACATGGTGGGCTGGATAGAAATGATGTCAGAGTCATTCAAATTGAGGAGAATCTGTCAGTGGCGATACAGCATTATGGCTGAGGGTGTTTCTCTTTCTTTTAGTTCATGCATTGTTCTTTTTAATTGTAGACTGATACTGAAACAGAAATATTTCGACACACTAAATATACTTGTAACAGACCAAGACAAACTAAAGTGGGCACAGTTGTTAATATGCTAACATTTAGCAAGATGGAATCCTGAGTACTTAAAACACAAAAAAACAGATCAATGAGGATTTAACTTTGTGCCTTCTGTGATGATGTTTGTTTTACTTACTTTTTTGTTTTTTTATTTTTCCTTTTGTAACTTTTGCTTGCCTTTTGTCAATTCGTTATTGTATTGTATGTTCAATAAACAATTAACCTTCTGGTCAGGTAAAATATTCAAAGACAATGGATCCAAGGCAAACATGGCAACATTTGGGATGCTAACACATAGCAAAAGATTGATAACAAGTATTCCAATGAAAACATGCTAATAATTCGTATGCGAACAAATGGCAACCTCTCATCCTACGGAAAGTGCCGAGCAAAGCTATCACGTATCTTGTTCAGTAGTGGTGGTGTGATCATGCAAATTAATGAAAAGCCTAATTCGCCTGATTAATATTTCAGATGAGTGGCAGACTGTGCCATGTGACAGGTTGCTGAAGAATGACGTGGCATTAAATTGCTCTCACAACTTTACCCTCGCTTAAGGTGAAATAAAAGGAACAAAATGTGTGGTATGTGACATTTAAATCGCATTTTGTACAACATAACCAAATGTTAATGGACTATAAATTGAACAAAACAGAAAAATAAAAGAGTTTGTGAGTTTGTGAAAGGAAATTACTGTCTACCTTCGCCGAGGCACGTGACGCACTTCCGCAGCGTGTTAACGATCCTCGCTCACGTGTAACCGTTTTAAAATGCTTCTCTCGGCACTCCAGATTCACATTCTTTGTCAGTGTCCTCGGTGAATTGTACACGAAAAAAAATTGAAATCGAATAATAATAATAATTATAATAATTTTAAAAATGAGATATATCGCAACAGCTCTGATAGCTAGCTGCAATTGCAGACTGCTGACCACTAACAACTTCCGGTGATGTAGGTCACGCGCCACCGTAGGTTAAAGGTGACTTGCTTTTTTTGTTTTTTAAATACTTTATCTGACAGTGAGACTGGTAGGATGCTCAGGGTGCAGTGTGTACTAACACAAAAATATATCCTATTAATAACATAAATAAATTTGCCTCTCTGCACACACACCCACTTGCGATAGACTTGGGACCAATCTATCGCGATAGACATATTGGGCACCCCTATGTCATCGACTATGCAATGGGAGCCAATCCAGAGTTAGATTTCAGAGCTGTAAGGGTAAACATGTTTTCTCTTTTACTGCATTCTACTTGAATCAAATTGTCAAATCAATAGGCCAGATTATATGAGCAGATGATGCCTCGGGAGAGATAAAGTTATCTAGGACTTTGCCCCGCCGGCTGACGTGGGAACACAAAGTGACCCACGTGCATTGATCAACTATGACTGTTCCAGATTATCTAGTCATTGTGCAATGTGTTTATCGGTGAATGACTCTTCGCAGAAAACAGAATCTAACTTTCAAAGAACAACAACAGGCCTTCTCACCATTTTCTTATTCCTCTCTTCTTCCACGACGGGAACAAGAAGAGAAGACATAATTCCTCTCTTGATGTTCAAGATGTTGAGCGCCTCATCTTCCTCGGGGAAGAGTTTCACATCAGTATGTCCCTCAACTGTGATCTTCAGTGGGTTCCTTTTGACATGGACGCATCATCAGTGACAGCCTCATTCTACCTTTGTTGGTACATATACATTGACAGGAACAATAATAAAGAAAATAATAATAACTTTGAGAACCCTGGCAGACCAGCAGGGCTGATGTAGGTTTGTAAAAACAAAACAAAACAAACATCCCTGGATAAAATAGCTGCTGGTTTTCAGTTTTCAAGATGGGGAAGTAGACTTACTTGGCCATGGCGGCTTTGAAGGCCTGATTTCCAGCAGCGGGGCGGTACAGTGCGTTCCCATCGTCATCCACAGCAAAAATCTCACTCAGAGAGCATTTTGGGGTGCGTAGGATGAAGCTGCAGGTCTGAGGCACGTCAAGCTCAACCTGCACAGTAGATGAATCACCATTTAGTCACGTTTACCTTTCCCTGCAGTCAGGACAGGGTAAGGACTACTAGTTCTGGCCCGGAGACGAACTTGACAGGAGATTTTGGGACCGCTCTTGTTGTCGGTGGCTCCGGGAACGCCGTTGAAGGTCTCAGCCTCGTAGTCGTACACAAAGCGCCTGAAGTGCCTCAACCTTTTCGCCACTAAAATGTATATTAGCGGTCTGTTAGACTTGAGCAACACTTTGCTCCAGTTACATTTTTGAGAATAAAGGGGTAACTTACAGAAGCATGTTGGAGATTGTTCGTCCGCACGTCCTACATCTTGTTCTGGAAAGATAACCACCCCCACAAAAAATAATGCATTCACTCAGTTCAGGATGACAATGAAATCTCTACAACATAGTTGTAAATATAAAATATCTACTGCCTATGTTAAAATATATTTAAATATCACAGTACTTACGGGCAAGGGTATATGTGCCCAGAAGCAACAAAAGGCAAATCCGGGTCCATCCCATGTTGGACTCAGCACCTGGAAGCCTTGGTAAAAAAAAAAAAAAAAGAGCCTTCCTCTTTCACTGAAGACTAATCCTTGTGCTTTATTTTAAGGCTTTTTATACATTTGCCGTCTTACCAGACGTGATTTAGGGACTTCCAAATGTGTTGTCACGGTTCCAAAGTCTGATCAGTCCTTGTGGCAGGCCAAAGGTAAAATGTTTCACAAAATAAGACGTGATGTCAGCACTGGGTGGGGGGTGATCGGTGTGATACTTTTTTGGAGACAGCAAACAGCCTTTTTACACTCATAAAAGCTTGTTCTGTCCATAACCGTATCTAAAACGATTCCATTAAAATTCACCGCACGTAAAAAGAAATTGTACCGAAACTGGATACATTTTCGAAACAAACAGTTCTTGGCGGTCCTAAAATCTTAAATACAACCGAACTGTACTCGGGCAGGAATGCTTTCATGTACCACTAGAGGGATCCTGCGTACCACTCGTGATACTAGTACCACACTTCGAGAATTATCGTTTGAAAACTTCCACGAGATAACCTTTGATCTTTAATATGAATCATACTGCCGAAGAAAAAGTTGACTCGGATGACGTATTGTTTTAAAGCAACATTTAAAATTCATCGACTCTTATTTCTGATTTCCACACTCGAGAACATATCATGAATGTCATCACTATTTGTATATACAGTTCTGCAATTTTAACACTGGACATTCTTTTTCCGGGTCATGTCTCACGTTTTGTGACATCTGCTACCATCTACGACGGTTCAGTTTGGAATTAATTGAGATTGTCATCGAATTATTATTTTAATAATACACGCGGGCTGTTATGGTTATAGTTCTGCACGTCACCTTACTGAGAATATTTTCTCAAGTCTTTTGGTTGAAATGTCTTCATATGAGGCTGCGCATGACAAACTCCAACCGCAATCAGAGATGTGTTCTTAAGTCAGTTCATCACCGTGTCTTCTAATTGGATCATTGTTTTCTTGTATTCGGTTTGTGTGTCGTGCTATGTTGCCATTGCCAACTTTTAATACCAGTGATGACTAAGCAGGTGGGTGAGTGAGCGTTTGTTGCATTGAGCCAAAAGCGACTCAACCTGTCAATCCATACGCTGATGACTCACCTCTCCCCTATTGAGAAAAGCCAGTAAAGGCTGTTTGAGCAGGATTGTGTGAGAGCGTTGTGCGCAAGATAACCTCATCAGACAGAGGAAGACAAGTCAAACTGAACATGATAGTGCAATGTAATTTATCGCAAACGAACTTGCGGACTTGCATGCTATGGCTTTGATTGAAACCTGTGAAAAGAATATGATTTTGCACCCTGCAAACGGCAATGTCATAAACTGACAGTCCTGTTTTTCAGTCTGGGCTCATAACAATCGTCGTCACTTTTCTCCCACTTATGGCATCGCCTGCTTGAAAATATGAATGATTAAGTAAATGTTATTTTGCATTTGTATGGCTATTAACATTTCTGATGTTTTATTTGTAAAGAGTTATGTAAATGTTTATTTTTAAAATATATAGATATATAAGAATACCTGTATGAGAGTGTGGTTTCAACGCTCAATTCTAATCTCAATATAAAATGATCTGTCAGGTGATTCTACACAAGGATCTCATTTGAATGCGTCGGGGGAAACTAGTGTAGTAGGCTTGAAGCGATCATTCAAAATCAAACTACAAACTTTGAATGAAGCCAAGGATTTTGGAAACGGCTCTCGTGCCAATCCTACTTGTTGCGACAAGGTACGTGTTGTGCTTCAAATATAACGCTCGACCGATGTCATGGTTTTGTTTCATAGGCAATGCAGACAAAACATTGAACTCAGCTGGTTCACTTTCAGATACTTTATTGACAAATGTCATTTATCCCGTGAGTACGTAAAAGGTTACATGCACAACAGATTAAACAAGATCATTTAAAACTGTTATACCTTTGTCATAAATATGGCTAAGCAATCTAAGTGGCAATACTCCTTCCAAAGAGGTGGGAGTGTTTTATACTAATTCAGACCTGGGTTTGTTCGTCATTGTTGAAATGCAAAAGGGAGGTCAATTTCAAGCCTTCCATTTGTGAGTTTCACCCGAGCCTCCGGTGAAGCTTCCGTCAGCAACCCGGAAAGAGTCGCGTTGACCTGATCAACTCCCTTGATGAACATGTCAATGATGGAACCATACGCATTGTTGAGCTGCTCCGTATCAAGGGCAGAGATCTTGTCAACGATAACCTTGATGAGCGTCACGATATTGCGGTAAATGTCATTGATTCGGAGGAACGCTTGATCTAAATAGTCAGACTTGATCGAGTCAACAAACTGCTGAGTTTTACCAACGACGGCTCTCATGGTCTCACTCATTTTCACCAGCGCTGTGTCAAGACTCTCCATATTCTTCACAAAGGCCACTAGTCCATTCATGATGTCCCGCACGCATGTTTTCACGTGTTCAAAGATCTGGCCAACGGTAACCGCATCACCAACTGGCATGGAGACTTTCATGGTGGTGATTTTCTCCACAAATGAGTTATAGTAGATCTCCATGGACTGATACATAATCTGGGTGTTTTTGTCCAGAGTCGTGGCAATACTGTCGGTCATTTTCTTCAGGACCTCAGGAAGGGTGGTCATTTCATCAGACCCTGGCAGTTGGAACTTGGTCTCCCTCAGGAGCTTAACGATAGTGTCCACGATAACCTGGAGGTTTTGCTGGTATTGGACAATGGTGTTTCTGAAGAAGATTGACAGCTGGCTCATCTGGACATCGTAGTTTATGGCGGCGTTATAGACATCACCGATGCGGGTAACGATGACATTCTTCAACTTGTCCACGTTGCTTGTGATCTGATACTTGCGAAGAAACTCCGTGAAAGCAGAGACGATGGAAGGGACTCGCTGTTTCAATTCTGAGAGAATGATTTTGGGTGCTTCGGTGTTGTAGACAATCTGGAGGTTCATCCTATTTGCGTTCTTGGAAGAGGATTTTATGACGAAGATGTCGACATCGGCCTCTGGAGCAGACTGTCAAAAAAAGAATCCCAAAAAAAGAACTGTTAAGCAAGACTGAGCAAAAAGCAATTCCATTTCCAAAAGCGTCAGGTTACTCAACTCACAGGATAACGACCGTAGACTCTTGCGCTCAATTGAGATGGGACCCTGCCATTCATCTGCAAGCCCAGGAAGCCAATAGATGGAGCAGATAGTGAGGCACTAAGAACATCTCTGCGAGCGGCGTAGCGAAGGTTGACATCAGTGAAAGTTGGGCTGGTGATGTCCACGTTGAGGGTCTGGCGAGAAACACTGAAAAAAGGAGATTTTAAATTGAACTGTGGTCCTGTGACTGAGAAAGAAGTACAGTATGCAAAGAAAGAGAAAATCTTACCTTGTGCTTTGGTCAATGACATGGTTGGCATCCATGTTGAGGTCGGCATGTTTCAGGACGAGTTTGTTAATCACGTTCAAAGCGGCATTCTCAAAGTTTACCGTCGAAGAAGCTGTTGGGGAAAAAAGGGTTTTGCGTCATTCAGTACTTGAAAATATTGCAGTAGAATACATATAATTACACTCAAGGAAGATCATTAACTCACCATCCATGTCATAATCCAAGATGACGAAAGTGGAAGTGGCGGAGGATTTAAGTGTGCCTTTGAAAACTGGAGCGTTTCCCTCCAAGAGCGCATCAAAATTTGAGGTGTACAGTGGGCTGATGAACTTGCCGTTGGTGGAGATCTTCTGTTTGGCGACCGTTACATCAACCGCTGTTTTCTCCGAGATGGTGAAATCTCCCAGGGTGCTTGGTTGTGACAGATTAATCTCAATATCAGCAGTCAAGGAAGAGACTGGTGCGATATCAACGGTCGCTTGGACAAAATGTTTCCCGTTGGTGTTCAAACTGAACAGGTTGAGCTCATTGTTACTCAAATGCTTCAGCGTGGCGTACATCCGACTGAGGGAGGCTTGCAAAGACACACTGTCACTTAAATCGAAGTTGATCACTTTCGTGGGGCCGTGGTTCAGCTTGACATCAGCAATGACCTTGGAGGTGGAGCGCAGGCCGTTATTCAAGAACAGGTTCACGTCACTGTCCAGGACTCCGAGGACGATATAGTCATCAAGGACTTTGCCATCCACATTTGCCTTCATGACTGTCTCAATGGAAATGTCTTCACTGGTTCTCTCCAGCTTCAGGCTCCAATCGGTGTTTGCTTTTCCAACAGCCTTGACCACTGGAATGTTGTAATCGCCCTTAATGTTCACAGTGGAGTGAGCCTTGGTTTTGGATTTGGTGTCCCCAACCAGACGCTGGTTCAATTCCAAGCTCAGTATAGGCAGAGAAATTCGTGCAACAGAGGCCACAGAGGTAGCGGCTTCCAGAGTCTCACTACTCACACTGAAGGTGCTGTCGTGGGTGCCTTCAATGTGCCGATTTTCTAGGGACAAGGAATTGGCCAGCTTGATTCCTCTTTTGCTGGTCAGGCTGGCAGTACCATCAAGTTTGGCTTTTAAGCCCTCAAACACTGAGGTCGTCGTAGCTCCCAGACGGAATACAAGATCATCTGCTGCATTCAGTCCAGTGTTGACATTCACACTGATGACAGAAGACTTGAAGGACAACTCTGTAATCAGGTCACCCACGGGGGGGATCTCGATCAGGCTCATGATCACCGCAATGGGAGCAGCCTTCTTTTTCTGATAAACAATCTTGGCATCCAGATCCACGTTTTGCTTTGGCGAAATCATCAGGTGCTTCAGTCCCATCAGTTCATATAAATTCACGTCCTTTATTGCTGGGGTGCGCATGTCGACAAAGGGGATTTGGATGGCAGGAACGCTGATGGGGTTGTTGAGGAAGTCAAGATTGACATTACCATCCATCGCGATAAAGGCGCCGGCCTCATTTCTGTTGTTGTCCACAGTGAGGTTGTAAGTCATTACAGCCTGATTAAGACGAGCGGTGTAAATTGTGTTCAGCTTCTGGTTGTTGAGTGTCAGAGCGGCGGAATAATCGTTGCGCAAATCAATCTTAGCAGTAGGTGCTCCAAAGATTGTAACCCTGCTATTGAATTTGTTTTGGAAGTCAGCAAACAACTCGTCGGGAAGGGCAACAATGTTAATTCCATTGGAAAGGAGTCCCCTGACCACTCCGGTCAATTCTGTGTCATGGTTTGCTTTAAGATCGGCCTTCATGGTAATGAAGTTGACATTTCCAGAGGCGGAAACCACACTGCTCTTCACGATTGGCGCCTTCATGTTACTGAGCAAATTAAATTTGTAGATGTAAGGGCTTGCCTCGGCTGTTACTTGCTGTTTCATTGTCGCTGTTTTTAAGTCTGTGTTGCCGGAGAAAGTCAGTGTGACAAGGCTTGGGCTGAGTGACAAATAGAGGGTGCTGTTGTGGTTGCTCTCCTGAGCAACAGACTTGCCGACATTGTCAACAGTCAAAGTGAGGGTGTAACCGTCTTGACGGACGATTGCTTTCTGGGTCACGACGGCATCACTATTGACACTGACGATTGGAAGGTCGACAAGATGTTTGTAGTTAGTCTCAAGAGAAGCAGCCATTCCCTCTTCCATTGCAACGAAAACGTGGTTCGTGACATCAGCGTTGTAAATTGGAGTGTTCACTTTCACTGCAGTCTTTGCTTGGGCCTGGCCGGAGAGACCATAGAGAGATAGAGAGGCTAGGTGGTCGACGACGAGAGCAAGATGGTTGATCTTGAGGGTCTCTGCGAGCACAACGCGGCTCATTTTAGGAAGAGCAATCTGAGCAGTTGAGTCGATTTTGTAATTCAGGATTTCAAAGCTGGGAGATGTGCCTTGGGAAGTGATCATGGCTTTGAATTGGGGTGTCATGACTTTTTCGGTGGCGTTTTGGAGCTCGGCAGATGTCTTCACGGTGTAGATGGGAGTATTAAACCGGATCTCGGCAGAGAGTTTGCCAAAGCAAGGGACGATAATATCACTTGGGATCGTTGGAAGTTCAATCTCAGGAACTGAAAGAGACTTAACAAGCTTATCGACGGGGAAGTGTGGGAGAGTCGGGAAGGAGATCTCAGGAAGGGTAATTTCTGAGAGGTTTATCTCAGGCATGGAAGGCAAGTAGTTCATCTTGAGGTCTCCGAAGAAAGCATCAATGTCAATTATTTTGAAGTCATAATTCAAGATGAAATCGATAACTTGGAGGATTCTCTGCTTGATGTCATCAAAGGAAATGGTGGTGGCTTTGATCGTATGGAAACCCAGAATGGTGAACTCAGGAATGTCCAGCTGTGTGGGGATGTCAACCTGCTGAAGTTTATCCATGTTGAACTTCATGGAGGGAACCACAAGGTCAGTGAGCGGAACGGTGAAGGATGGAATAGTCACCTCATACTTTTTCAGTTCGCTTCTCAGTGCGTCGTAGAGTTGCTGAAGCTCACCGATGATCTTTTGTTCAGGGAACGCTGACCTGATTCCATCTATCACACTTTGGCAAGTATCAGTGACAATCACCAGAACTGTCTTGTAGTACCTCTTCATTACCTTGACGTATGAGACAAGCTCAGCTCTGAAGTCGATATTTGTAACTTCTTTTTTGATTTCTTCAAAGAATCTCCTGATATCTTCAAATATAGCCTGGTCCATCAGTTCCTTTACAGATGTAAGAATTTCTGCAACTCTGATTTCTCTCAGACGATCCGAAAAGCCTTTAGCAGAGGTCAAGACAACGTTGGCGAAATCCTTTGCTGCTTCTATTTTTTTGGGAATTTCCAGAGCCCTGATTAGATCATTAACATAAGTTGTGCAGCTCGCAGTGATTTTATTAACCTTATCCACAAATGCCTTATAATCCAGTGATGTCATCTTCTGCATGATAGACTCAGCGAAGGACTTCAGGTCTTGAATCATATCCTTAACTTCAGTAGATTCCATGTAGTCAATGACGACCTGGAAGAATTGCTGGCATTTTGCAGGGATGTTTGCATCCTTGACCATTCGGGCAACAGTGTTGAGGGTTTCTTCAATTCTAAACTGCTTGATGACCTCCACAAGTTTTTCAAAGATGACTTGGACCTTTTTGTCAGCTTCAAGCTTGACAATGAACTCCTTTATCTTGGAAGACAATGCATTGATTTTGTCAAAGATCTTGAGATCCTGGATCAGTTCCTGGATATACTCCATCATCTCATTGAATAGCTCGGTTGGGATCTGACTCGTTAAAACCTTGACGGAACGGCTAATGTCAATATCTTTAATGATCTCCTTCAGTTCGGCAACAAAGTTGACAAGATCGAAATTGTCAACGGACTGCTTCATGATATTTAGGCAATCCTTCAGATTAGACACAATTTGGTATTCCTTCTCAATATTATGCAGGAATGCCACACTAGAGCCTCTCAATTTTTCCAAGTCGATCTGCTGGATCATCGTCTTCACAGTCTCGATAAGATACAGGACCATTCCCTTGATGTCATACTTTTCATTAATGGCATTGAGCAGTTCCTGGATCTGTGATGCTACGGTTTCAGGCAGGTTGCCATCAACAATGATCTTCTCCATCATGGCAAAATAGTGTTGAATGTAAAAGGTGACCTCAGTGATCATTTTCTCAAAGTGAACCCTAAGGCTTCTGAAAGCAGCATCCGCATCCTCCATGGAAATCAGATATTTGGGGGTAAGGTCACTGATGTACTCCTTCAACTGAATGACTTTGCCTTCAATGTTAAGTTGGGCAACAAACTCACTCACACGCTGAGGAAGAGCTTCAAGTTTTTCTCCGATCCGCTCATTCTTGATGTAGTCGCGAACAAGTTCTGCAACACCGACAAGGACATCCTTGACACCTTCCAAGAAGACAGGCACGTTTTCCAGCAGAGGGAACTGAATGATGTGACAGTTTGTGTTCTTGTCATACTTGAGGAAGCCTGAGACACCAAATTCCTGGTTGTCTGTGGATTCTGCGTTGATGATGTTTGTGAGGATGTTAGCGGAAATGCTCATGCCAGTTCCCTCGGCGGTGTTGTAAACGCTCATGTCTTGATTAAAGGCGTGATTGTTGATTTTCGACTTCAGACTAACAATGGCCTTCTGTTCATTCATAGAAAGACCGGCGTCCATCTTATTGTCCAATGTGGTCTCGAGGGAAAGTCCGTTGTCTAGCGCCTGGCTCACTGAGGCTCGGCATTCATGTGAGGTAGCAAAAGCCAAAGGTTGCGCTCGCAGGAGGAACTTGCCGTAGAGCTGTGCACTGTGCTTTCCGTACAACGCCAAGTCTCCATCAGCATTGAAGATGGCATCGAGGTTGAAGTCGAAAGGAACAATGCTGGAACGGATGTTGTGGTCAAAGCGCAGAAGCTGCGAGTTAAAGCGAGCGTCATTGGTGAACTTGGCAGCAAGACCGATAATCTCAAGATCTGAGGTGTGGCTCATGTAGGTTCCAAAAAGATTTCCAATTGTGCTGCACTTTGCGATGGCAGTCATGTCAGCATAGTTAATCTGATAGCTGTGCTTGATCTCTGACTTATCATAGGTAGTTTTCAGGCTTCCGGTCAGGTCAATTTTGTAGGAGCCGGCCTGCAACTGGGCATCATTGATGATATTAGCGGCGAGAAGCTTCAGGTTGTTGTTGACCTTGGCAGATGCGGTGTAGGGTGTCAGGTTAATGGCAACATCGTGAGTATAAGAGGCATACTCACGAGCCTGGGCTTTAGCCTTAGAGTTCAAGGTAAGGCTAGAAAGTGTTAGCGTCAGATCATTGCCATTATCAAAGTTGAGGTCAAACAATGCAGCCTTGTTATTGAAGGACAGAGTTGCTTTTGTAGTGTCCAGCCCAGCGTTAAAGGTGTTGTCCAGAGACAGTGGGCTACGAAGCGTGTTTGTTCCACTTGTGACCAAACCGTTCTTGTCCAATCTCAGGGTGGCTTTGTGCATGGCCGTGTTCTTCAGAAGCTTAATGTTGGCATCGCTGTTTACAGTCAGACCGTTGACATCAAGAGAGGAAGTGAGCAGTGAGTAGATCAGATCTTCTCGGTGGTCTGCGTTGGTTTCCACTCTCAGAGCAACTTTGCCTGCTCCAGCAGAGGCTTCAGCTTTGTGGTGGATTTTCATACCAAGAGCACGGGCGCTTGAATGGCACTTCAGTGAGGCTTTGCTGTCTGCGAAAGAAAACTCAGCGGAATGCGTCAAGGTGTCTTCAAAGGCATTGGTGTTCGAAACAACCAGGAGATCACCATCCACAAAGGTTGCGGTGATTCTGTTTTTAGCCTGAACGATTGTTGATTCCAATTCAAGCAAAGAATCGAACTTTGCATTTGGTTTGAATGGAATAATGTAGAATGTCTGATTTGAAACAGTCTTGGCAGAGAGGGGTCCGGCCTTGAACGTTCCCTTAAAGCTGCTATCAACAGAGATTTTCTCAGCGTTGATTCCAGTCAGAGAGTTGTGATCGATGTCGACATTGAGGCTAAATGGGCTTGTGGCTTCAATCTTACTATGGGAGTGAACGTTAATTTTGTCAGTGATGGTTGCATCCTCAACAAAACTGACACTGGCTTCAAGAAACTTGTGGGACAAAGAGCCTTTCATCTGGGCTTTCAGTGAGTCAGTGGTAGCCAACAGTCCAGAGCCTAAACGAAAGAAACCCAAATGAAATTAAGAGTTGTTACAGCCTTGTTTAAGACTCAGTTAATCTATAATAGTTAAAAGTTTAAAAAAAAATACCTTCGATCTTGAATGAGAGGATTTCAAATGGAGAGGTTCCTTTGACATCAAACTTGGCAGAGTAACTTGGAGCTTCCATAACATCCTTGCCGGCTGCGAATGAGGTCTCCAAGTCGTAGAGGTTGCTCTTCATCTGTGTTGAAACTTCAGCTTTGCCAAAAAGAGGAACAGTAAAAGTGAGCCTCTCAGGGACAAAAACCTCCGGGATTGGAATCTCCATGGAGACGATCTCCAGTCCAAACTCGGGCAGAGACAGGTGAGGTGTTGTTAAAGCCGGCGGGAAGTTGAGCTCCTTTGTTGACTTTCCCCCAAGAGGGACTGGGATGGCGACGGTGAAGCGCTCTTTGTTGAAGTAGTACACAGCCTTTGTTTCACTGTAAAAAGTACAAAAGTTCAATTTAGAAATGTTTTGGAAACACCCAATCACCAATTCATGTGGCTCATTTCGAACATACGTGTTCAGGAATAGTGTCTCTGGCAGAGAAATTTCAGGCATAGCTGGAACTCTGAAGTTCTGGAGGTAAGGGATCTCAGCACCGTACTTCTCCATGTAGTTGTTTGCCGCCTAAGAGACAGACAGCAATCGAAGCTGTTACACTTCAACAAGAATAAAATCCCATTTGCAAAAATAGTTGGATCTCATACCTCTCCAAACTTCTTCAAGATGTGAGCGACCTTCATGTCGGTCTGTCCCACCTGTGTGTCAAGAAGGTCTTGGGTGTACTTCTCAAACAAATCCGTGAATGGGCCAAAGGTGACGTCAGTGTTCATGTCAGATTTGAATCCAACCTCAACCTTGTTGTCATCTAAATAACGGGCAAAAGTGCAAACAGTTTCAGATGAGCTGAAGTATTACTGATGGTTGTTTTTGATAAGGCAGAAAGCATAAGAGTGCAAGCGGAAAAATATATTACCATATTTCATTGCAATCTCCTGCTTGGACACAGCATCCATGACTTTCACTTCACTCTTCAGTTTCAATTCTAATTCCTCCTCTCGCTTCATGTCAGCTGTGACTGAGGCGTCAACGTTAAGTGTGGGGACCAGAAGCTGAATTTGAAGCATACCTTTCTTCATCACCTCAAGACTGAAAGAAATACCAGCGAGTCAGAAGCTAATAGACGTCATATGACATCTTTGTTCCTCCATGAGACACTTGATTTCTTACTTGGCTCGACCAACGAGAGAAAGCTGAGGGATTTTTTTGTTCAGAAGATCCAAATAGATGGAATGGGTTCCTTTGCCTCTGGTATTGCCATCAACAACACCCAGTCTCAATCCTGCTTCCACATCATAGTCCGGAATCTGGATATCAGCTGTGACCATGTGCTTCCTTCTGTTGTATTTCATGATGGCTCTGGCTTCCGTGGGCTCGGCGCCTGTTTTGGTCCAACCAATTCCATAATGTCACTCCAGTGAATTTCACTTTAAGTAGCGTATTATCGTCTTGAGTGTGATGTACCTTCAGCTCTCAGAACAAACTTCACAGAGTCGATCTTATGCCTGCCCTCATCTCCCTCCTTCAGCAGCTCATAGGCAAGAGTGGCAGTGTACTCAGTGACTTCACCTGTAGGATGGAGCTCCAGTGCAAATCTATTCAATAAAAAGCATAAAATCATTTCATGAATGAATCCGTTTTTGCTCAGTAATCTATATCGAAAAATGTAGCTGTTCTTTGTGTAATCTCACCTGCTGTCACCAGCGATGGGGAAGTAGGGTGCTGTGTCTTGGGAGAAAGCATCTGTGTACTGAAGAGCAGTGCAATATTTCATCCCAGCAAAGAAGGGGGTGCATTCACTGACATCGACTTTGTTTGTCACCATTGGGGGGAGAGTCACGACCCTCAGGTCATTCACTGCCACCAGGGTGTTTCTAAATTTGAAACACAGAGAAGGAGTTCAAATAAAATATTTCACTTCTGACATTGTTACACCGACACCATTTTTTGTGTGCAGCTTACGTCATTTTGATGAGCTTGGTTGGGCTTTTTGGAGCAGGGATGGTCAGCTTGACGTGGTCACGTCCCATCGAGATCTTGGCCTGGAGGCCACTCTCGTGGAAGATGTTGGAGTGCATCTCTAATCCAGAGTTGAGATATTCAGGAATGTAGGCGCCAACGTGGGTTGTAAACTCAACGCCTGCAGAGGGCATGAAAGCGACTTCACTCTGTCAGAGAAACACAAAAGATGCACAGTCGTTAGAACGCGACTTACGTATCATTTGGTACGGTTGAACACATTCAGCAAATAATTACCATGTCGCGAGCAATCTTAAATCCAGCCTTGACACCAGGGGTGAAGGTTCCAGACAATGTAATTTTCAGAGGCACGCCAGTGACAGTCGGCAGGAAAAAGTCATTGTCCATGAAGATGTAGTGGGCGAAGATGGTGTTGTCAGCCTTTGTCATCAGTCCCTTCAGGAGCTGCGCAAATACAAATCAGATTTAGATCCCAAACATGTTTTGTAAACTGTGCTCCTCGAGCCACATTGTCTTTCATTACATCAGTAGGGAACATCTTGAACATGCTCTCAAACATCAAGGCAGCAGAGTAGGCCATAGCTTCCAATTCACTGGTCTTCAGATATCCAAGCTCGTTTCCAAACAATCTCAGATACATCATCGCCTCTGGAGACTTGGTAGTCTGCAGCTTTCTCATCAGCACGTTGAGATTCTGCCCAACTTCTTTCATGAAGTTCTGAGAGATCTGAACACAGATGTGGAGATGAAGTATTATTTGTTGTTTGACACAACCAAAGTGGAAGTTCTTTCCAGCCGACTCAAATACCTGTCTCTTCATCTCAGCATTCCTCAAACCAGGAAGGAAGCTCTGTACAATCTCTTTGACTGCATGCATGTTATCCGAGACAAAGTACATCGTCTTCATGGCAGTGTCGGGGAAGAATCCATTGTCACCAAAGAGTGCTTCAACCGTTGGTTCAAATCCTTTACCCTCAATACCAATCTGTAATGATCGTACAAGTCACAAATTCATGTTCTTGAAACTTTCGCTGACCGTTTGTATTCTGATCATTGAGAATATTTACCTCCATCATGTCAATGTCAAAGCCAAATGCCTTAAGAGTCATTTCCAGCATGGCTTCTTTGGGCAGGTAGCTGGTGCCCTCAAAGATCATGTTTCCCTCGACAGATCCCATCCGGTAGTTACGAGAGAATTTGGTGGGGTTCATGACGGGTCCAATCTCATTGTCCTGGATGGCATCGCGAATCTTTTGTCTGAGTCTTGATAAGAAAACAGAGATAGAATTTAAACGCTAATGGTCTCAATTCTGTCGTACCCTGACAATGACAAAATAAATAATTCTTAGCAGCTTGTCACTTACTCTTCTGTTTTAGTCTCAGTTGAAGACAAAATATTGGTCATGTGGGATACCACAAAGCTCTTGAATTGGGTATCTTTCTCGGTGGGCAGGGCAGCGGCCAAACGCGCTAAATCACTTGGCAGTGGGTTCTTCATAACCACAAGATATGCAGCAATTCTCTTTTGCAGTGGGGTGGCACTGTCCAAAAGGACCTGAATGAGAAGCTCTCTTCCCTGTGACAAAGCAATTGATCCAATTAGCAAGTACGATGATGAATTATTCAAACCATCCTTTAATATCTCAAAAAATTAGCACGTGCCTCATCTGAGATGGGAGTCAGCCGGTAAACCTGGATGGCAGCTTGCTGCACTGCCAGGGAAGCAGCTGGCTGGTTCACACACTGGAGCACTGAAGATCTGAGTGCAGGACTAGCAGGCACAACAGCGGGAGCCATGTTCCCAATAACCTAGACCAACACCGACAAAAGTTAGTTTTATCGTACGGAATAAAGAAACAGGCTTTTGATAATGAGTTAATGTTTCCATAAACTTATTAAACGAGCCATTTGCGACATGACATACCCTCAAAGTCAGGAAAGTGTTTTCTTCGTCACCAGCGCAGTCGCCCAAATGACCAGCCAAGAACTCAGCAACAGAGCGAATCTCAGGGATTAGCTTTCCTTCACTTTTGTAAAACCTGCAGATGAAGAAATGTCGGTTTAGTTCCTTCGAATTATATTTGACAGTCAATGGTCTACCCTGAATAAAGGTAACAAAGCTCACCTCTTGACTACATTGCTCAGGGCGTACATGATGGGCTTGCTGGGCTTGTACTTGACCATTTCGAGCATGTCATTTATCAGCAGGGCAGAAGGATTAGAAACAAGTCCCAAAGCAAAAACTGTGGCGTCAACTTCAATTGCTGTGGTTTGGAAGCCCCGAAGGATCTGCATGATGGCACTGCTGCACTCCGGAGTTCCGCACTGGGCCAGAACTTGGTAGGTCAGGACACGGGACATAACGAGAGCCTCTGGAATGGCACCGCTCAGAGTTTCGGTCTTCATTCCGCGGACCATGGTGACCATCTGACGGAAGAAGTGTGCCCTCCTCTCGCCCTCAGTCTCAGGCAGATTGACCAGTTCACTCATCAGATCCAGATAAACTTCTTTATCCTGGAAGTATGTCTTGTGCTCAACGGTGTCCATATGAAGACCCTTGACGTTATCACCTGTGACACACCAGCAGCATCGTGGTCATCAGTGGTTCTGCTTTGAAGATGGGAATTAAAACATCTCAGGAAAAAAAAAATGTAGATTTACCATGATCAAAGATTCTGTCGTTGGAAGTGGAAACGTGCACCAGGGTCAGTTCTTGCTTTCCGACATTCGTGACGCCATATTCACCCCTGAAATTGTAAAGCACTGTTTTAGGATCCGAACTGAGGCAGAAAATGTGCTATTTTACTGAAACAGCGGGCATTAGGTAAAATTCAGATTTACTTGTGGGAGAATGGGATCAGGATGTGCTTCTCTGTGCAGGACCCGGAGGTCATGTGTTTCTTCTCGTTGTCAAACTTGTAGTTACAGGTCTGTGAGCTTCTGACGAGCTTGGAAAGGGGGTATTGCTGAAAATGAAAAATGAAATAATAATTTTAAATGGCATTTTCTTGCCCTAAACTCTCTTGTTTCATTTCATGCATGCCTTTTGTATTTTTTTTTTGGTCTTACCATGCCAGAGATGAGTGCCAAGGGGCTGGTATAATCTCTTGTTGGGACAAATCTGTCACATGTGGAGAGGTCCCTTTCCAGGCTGATGTCAGTTGCAATGTCCTCCCTAGCGTTGATGGTGTAGAAGGTCTCGCACATACCGTGAACTGTTGGCTAAAATGCAAGAGGAACAAATGCATCCAGTACTTGTTTTACAATAGAAGGCATTGTTAGTTTAATCGAGGAAATAGATATTGTTGTTGCTTTTGGAGATTGCCAAAAGGTGTACCATATTCTTATTCTTGTCCTCTTCCATCACAGGCACAGCCAGGGCTGAGATGATACCCCTCTTGATGTTCAGGGCGGTTGTTGTCTCACCTTCCTCAGGGTACAGTTTCACATCGTAGACACCCTCAACTACAACCTTGAGAGGATATCTTCAAGATCGAGAAAATATGTTAACCAGCTTGTTTATGGACAACCCAATATTTGTTAAAATGTTCCAAATTTTTGGTGGTACCTTTCCATTTCATCAGCAAAGGCATTTGAGCTGGGGGCAGCACCGAATGTGGGGTTGCCATCTGAGTCAGAGCCAACCACTTCACTCAGGGCACAGCCAGTGGTGCGCACGATGAAACTGCAAGTCTGCGGAACTTCGATTTCAACCTGTGACACAAGACCCACGTCGACATTAATATCATAGGTTCACCTCCATCGCGTTTCAACTTATTAAAACTGACTCGTTGTAAATGTAATATTTAAAATAAATAGATACATATCAGAAAAGAGACTGGACTGCTCCTACTTTGCATGTTGCCCTGGGTCCATTCTTGACTGACGAGGCTCCGTCGATGGCATTCAGAGATTCCGCTACGTATTGGTATTCGTACTTGTGCAGGGTCTTGTACCGTTTGGCCACTTGAGGAGAAAATAACATCAATTTAGTAAGCCACTCATTGCTGTCGTGTGATAAATTATCAAGCAATCGATGCAACTTACGCAGACACGTTGGCTGATCTCCATCTTGCGCAACTTTAAACAAGAAAGAGTATCATTGTTTATTGATGCCAAAAGAGAAATAGCTCCTAAGATATGTTCTATTTGTGTGGCTCTTAGAACGTAGGCATAAGATTAATTAAAGACTCTTTTAATGTATGTATTGTGTTATGAGTTGTTTTTCTGCTATTAAAAAAATTGACATATATATATATATATATATATATATATTTTTTTTTTTTTCTTCTTCAATCGAAGGCTTTATCAAATCCAGTTTTAGTTTGAGGAACTACTTTATGAAAGTGCTGATGATGCATTATTTCAAGACTTTGTGACGTCTCTCTTTTGTACAGATAAGGGTGTCCAAACAACTGATAAACAGTAAAGTACAAAGATGGGTAGAGTAGTAATCACGATTCGAAGTCCAGAGTGAAAAACAGACACCGGGGGTTTAGTGCCGAGACAAAGGCATGTTGATAGATAGGGTCACCGTAATCCAAAACTGATTTACCCACATATATTTTTAGCAGCCTTTTCCTCCATGAAATTTGTTTTGTTGCGGTATAAATGTGTCTGAATATGACATGATTGTAATAGCAGTGTTTGCGATATTGGAAAAGGAATATTCTGTCTAACTATTTTATATAGAACTGAGCATCACAGTCTGTTGTCATTAATGTGGATTGCAAAAAGCACAGGACCAATTATCGCGCCTTGTGGAACACCTTTGATCAATGCCAGGTAAGCCAAACCTTTACACTGATATAGAATTCAACACACAGAAAGAATGATGAAGATTCCAATAGTCTGACAAATCCCTGACTTGCATTTTTTAATGTAATCATAGAAAAAGAGAAGACTGACTTGAAAAAAAAATCCTTCCCGGCAACAATCTGAAAACTTCAATTTCCTTTTCCCTCAAAGGTAAATTTTCTCCTCTGTGAAATGTCCAAATTAATGAACCGGATTCAGATGGTCATCCACAGACTCTTTAGCATGAGGACGCTACAAATAGCATTATCTTTAGCCAACATTGATCATAGAAAAGTCGCAACAGCAATCTTAATCTTTATACCTAAATAATATGAAATTGAACGTTCATATTATTAAATACAATACTGTATATTTAAAAGGACGACCAAAGACGACAACTGTCACAAATACTCACCAGCCAAGGCTGATGTGCTGAGGATCAGCAGAAGGCAGAGCTTGGAGTCCCTCATGGTGGGCCCGTATAGCCCAATTCCTTCGGACGTTTGGCGAGTACTCAGATGAGACTGAGTCGTCCGAATCCCTGCGGAGCTTTTATAGAGCACTTACTGGGAGGAACGCTCAAAGTCCACTGTGACCTGCAGTGTGGAGGGACAAAGGGAAAAGGTTTGACAAGGATACTGCGTTGCTCAAAGCAAAGGCTTACAACACAGATTTTTCTGAAATCGTTACACGGCGGGGTCCTCACTCAAATGTTTGATCTATCGAGACAAGTCAATGAGTTTAAGTTACTTTGTTGTTTGTTTGTTTTAACTCAATGTCTGCGCTTGACCAAAGTGGTCAACCAAATCAAATGGGGCTATCGTGTACCATTAACTTGTTTCTACTACAAGACAGACTTAGACAACATTTTTCTTCAATTTCTTAAAGCGTTTTTTTAATCTGGTGATTGATTTATTGACTCATTTGAAACAAGTTTAGGAATTTCTAATGTTGATTAAATACAAATTAAAAGCAGAGCAAGGTGGCTTTTTGGGCCCTTTATTTTGTATTGTGCTGTTTTGTTCTGAAAACAAGTGGCCCCACAAATATGCAAATTAAGACTGTCACTGTCACTGAAAGGGTTACAAAAAGAATATTTAGACAATTTTCTTGATGTAATATTTCGTTAATTATGAAATCAAACAAAACACAGATTTGAGTCATTTCAGAGGACTATCTGTTGAAATCAAAGTTTAGCTCCTCGTTGGCAGTTCCTTGATTGCACTCAGTACTTTTTATGATTCATCGCATTTTGAAAATGGCCACACCCATGAAAGCAAGCTTCACTAAATTACAGCCAAAACATACCAGAAAGTGTGTCGCAAAGATTCACCGAAGAATCGGAAAGTAAGCGACACTTTAGTTTGGGTGTCATCTATTCTCATTAAATTTGAAAAATTTGACTGCTGTTTGGATTTCGACCATTATTTGCTTGCGCCATTTTGTTTTTTTTCCTCATTCCATTTTTTTTCTCTTTTCTTTCAGGCCACAGAGATGATATTGAGTGGATATGAAAGTGAAGATGTTGGGCAGTTCCTCATATCCACATTTGAGCTATTAATAAAAAGATAAACCTCATAGGAACTGTAAAACGGCCAAAAACATGGAACCCACAGAAACAATACATCAAGGACTCATACTTTTCAAAAACATTTCAAACGGTCCTCAGCAGACTTTTTTTTTCCAAACGGGAAAAATAAAAAGGTTCCCACAACATTTATAAATGCAGTCACATTACAAGTAGATTACAAGTACAAAAAAAAAAGACAATTTTAATAGTACCTTGTTGTTCTTGTGTTGCTGCTTCCACTGCCACCAACCCAAAATGAAAACTGTCCCCCCCCTCTAATTCAATACTAGCTGTAGAATGAACTTTGATCAACAAATATTCAAAGGTTCCTCTCAGGCTTTATTTGCTGTTCAGGCAAACATAAATAAACATTTTAACTCTGCGCTAAATGTTTTTTTTCTTTATCCGTGAACCTAATTTTGAGTGGAAGCATATTTGGCGGCATCATTTGGAAATTTTAACTTGAAGATGTGGGTTTGTATTGACTGCCATATTTGTGGTTTGGATCCAAAGGCGGGTTTGGGGCGGGGGGGGGTAATCCTTGAATACTTGATAAGCTACACTGTGTGCGATTTGTCTGAGTGATTCAATCAGGAGAAAGCTCAAATGCTGTATGAAAGGACATTTTCGGTGCTACTTTGCTGATGACGAAAAGAAAATTCTGTCATTTGTACCCATTTTTTTCTCGCACGTTACATTTTTTAACAGTTATAAAATATTTGATCAACTGTATTCTATTTTTTGTGACCTAATTGACATATGTAGAGTGGTGACTAAATGATTGGTCAATCTGGAGGGGGCAAACAGTGGCCCGAAAGTCCAGACATAACCGAGTCATGCACAGAGTATCTGCCGTGTCGTAAATCGTAATGTGCCCCCTGCAGCAATGTTGTGCTTCTATTTTATCAGGGAGCGAGTGATAACGCTTTTCGAACCTAATAAAACAGGATTGACAATCTAAGAAGACAGGACAAAGTTTATCATATACCTTCCATAGAAGGCGTGCATGCTATCGTGTTGTTACGTATTGCATACATTTTCTGTACTGCTTGTCCTCACTATCACAGCCTATTTAAAAAAAAAAATCGAATTAGATAGAAGGCGTGCATGCTATCGTGTTGTTACGTATTGCATACATTTTCTGTACTGCTCGTCCTCACTAGCACAGCCTATTAAAAAAAATCGAATTAGGTTTTTTTTTTTTTTTTTTTTTAGAATTACGTGGCTGGTCTGATCACGTATGGCCGAACAGGCTGGAGATTTTCCCAATTGACACAGAGCAGTCACTCTTGACGACCTTATTTTGAATTACGTGGCTGTTCTGATCACATGTATGGCCGAACAGGCTGGAGATTTTCCCACTCTGAGGCAGAGCAGTCACTCTTGACGACCTTATAAGGATGCTTCATCTAGAATTTAAAAAAAAAAAAAAAGGATTTTCATGAAAGGGCAGAGGGTCAAGTTTTTTTTTTCTAAAGAAAATTTGAGGCATAATGCAACAAGTTTATGACAGCAACCAAAGACTTTACCCTTACCTAATCTAATCCTTTCCCATGTGTACAGTATGACATTTGGTCATCCAGCTAAATCTTAACATGAACTTTTTCAACTAATCATGCTTTAGTGTGCATAGTCCAAAGATGAACTTTATGTTTCGTTCCTTACGTGTTATTCTGCATCATAAAAACTCTGCCATAATGGTTCGGCTGGTGTGTTTTCTAACCACAATGGGTAAAAACACAAAATAAAAAAAATCTCATTGTTTGTGCTATAGACAGTGGCGTGTGTTATTACGGTTCTTTAGCAAATCGTTTTGGACAAGGCCTCGACTTGCAAAGCAGTGGCCTCCTAAACTTGCAGACCTCTTAGCACCCTCTAGTGCACAATTTCGAGAAACAAAAACTTCTCTGCTCACCTGAAAATGTTGTTTCCTAATAATTTGGGAGGGGGGGGTTCCCCTTTTCAATTCCAACGGTTACGTTTAATTCAACAGTCTACATGTGTGCGCTGCATGCGCCCTATTCATTGATCTGCGATGCTAGTGTATGAAGTGTTGCCTCCCCTCCACAAATGAAAATCACTTTTGTTTCCCCCCCACACTGTGCTGGAAGAAACCGTTTGTCTCATCGCAACCCCCTCTCCTCCTCCTCCAACCCTTGTTGTCATGGTAACAAAATCAGTACTCCCCATTGCCGAATGTGGAGTGAGCAATGGGTCATTTTGCACGAGACAGTGCGGTCCCAACGTTTCGGTGTAGCGCCATCCCTGCCTTCAGATAGAATGAAACCTGCAATGTGCTTATGGGAACAGGTGTCAGGCGTCAGACACAAACGCACACACACTCACACACACGCACACACAGTTAATTATTGATCCACTGACTGAAATACTGACATACACACCACACTTCCTGAAGTGTCTCAGCTGCACATTTGAAGCTAGTCACATGTTCATGGTTAAAGAGCCTCCACAATTTAGAGTGTTAAAATATATGGGTCACAGCTTTAAATTGGATTTCAACAGGGCTCGTGAGATACAAACACACACACATATATACATATATATTAAATAGTCTTCTTTTGCTAAACTTTTTTTTCTTTTTCCTTTTTCTTTTTTTTTAAATTCAGTGTTAGTTTTGCAAGATTTTCTTCTCATACGCGTATTTGAGATAGGGAGCTAATAATAGTCGACGGAGATAATTTTCCATCGGACGCTGCGACTTTTTTCTCCGATGGAAGCAAGCAAGCAGAGAGTGGAACGAACCATTCCGTGCGTAGGGAGGTTGGCACCTACGAACAAGTCACACTTTCAGCATTAAACATTTCACCACTCTCAACATTCAGTTTAACCATTTAGTAGTGGAGGAATTCATATTAAAATATAGTTATTTCACAAGATGCCGTGAGAAATAACGTGTAGTTTGGGTCATAAATGAAAAGTAAACCCCATTGTTATTTTTTTGGTCGAGTCGGATGAAAATCGAGCTCGTGCCACATCTTCCCGCAGCCGTTAAAGCTTCTAAGCATCGCATGTAGGTTGTAGATAGACAAACAACTCTGAGTTGACAACATTTTTGGAACAACTCCGCTTCTGAACATATGTGTGATTTTTTTTTTCCGTGTTGGTTTGGTCCATAGAAGACGCTGAAGTTGATGGTGAATTCTGTCCGCTGAAGACGACGTCAAAGTGGACCGACCTAAGCGGACTTTTCTCCCGTGAAATTCCCAAATCCTCCCCTCAAAAGGTACATTTTATTTTAGTGTATTTAATAATAAACTTCTTGGGACGTAAAAGTCTTTCTAAGTGCGCGTTCGGGTGCCGTGCCAGTTTTCTCCTCAAAAAAGACACGATGGTAGTTTGAGGGTTACACCCATTGACGACCAGACTGCACCACATTCCTATTTCTGTCAAGTCTGAGTGAATTATTCAGTCCAATTACTTTATTTCAAATTCACATTATTGTACAACGTTACAGTTGCTTATTTTAAAAAAAAAGTGACAACTGGAAACCGTTATCATGCATCAACAAATAATTGAAAGTATCCTTTTTACTTCGTTACTCTCGTGTCAGACATCATTTGTGGGGTGGAAAAAAGCTTTCAAGAATCAATAAATGTCAGTTTTTTTTTTTTTAGAATTACGTGGCTGGTCTGATCACGTATGGCCGAACAGGCTGGAGATTTTCCCAATTGACACAGAGCAGTCACTCTTGACGACCTTATAAAGATGCTTCGTCTAGAATTTAAAAAAAAAAAAAAGGATTTTCATGAAAGGGCAGAGGGTCAAGTTTTTTTTTTCTAAAGAAAATTTGAGGCATAATGCAACAAGTTTATGACAGCAACCAAAGACTTTACCCTTACCTAATCTAATCCTTTCCCATGTGTACAGTATGACATTTGGTCATCCAGCTAAATCTTAACATGAACTTTTTCAACTAATCATGCTTTAGTGTGCATAGTCCAAAGATGAACTTTATGTTTCGTTCCTTACGTGTTATTCTGCATCATAAAACCTCTGCCATAATGGTTCGGCTGGTGTGTTTTCTAACCACAATGGGTAAAAACACAAAATAAAAAAAATCTCATTGTTTGTGCTATAGACAGTGGCGTGTGTTATTACGGTTCTTTAGCAAATCGTTTTGGACAAGGCCTCGACTTGCAAAGCAGTGGCCTCCTAAACTTGCAGACCTCTTAGCACCCTCTAGTGCACAATTTCGAGAAACAAAAACTTCTCTGCTCACCTGAAAATGTTGTTTCCTAATAATTTGGGAGGGGGGGGTTCCCCTTTTCAATTCCAACGGTTACGTTTAATTCAACAGTCTACATGTGTGCGCTGCATGCGCCCTATTCATTGATCTGCGATGCTAGTGTATGAAGTGTTGCCTCCCCTCCACAAATGAAAATCACTTTTGTTTCCCCCCCCACACTGTGCTGGAAGAAACCGTTTGTCTCATCGCAACCCCCTCTCCTCCTCCTCCAACCCTTGTTGTCATGGTAACAAAATCAGTACTCCCCATTGCCGAATGTGGAGTGAGCAATGGGTCATTTTGCACGAGACAGTGCGGTCCCAACGTTTCGGTGTAGCGCCATCCCTGCCTTCAGATAGAATGAAACCTGCAATGTGCTTATGGGAACAGGTGTCAGGCGTCAGACACAAACGCACACACACTCACACACACGCACACACAGTTAATTATTGATCCACTGACTGAAATACTGACATACACACCACACTTCCTGAAGTGTCTCAGCTGCACATTTGAAGCTAGTCACATGTTCATGGTTAAAGAGCCTCCACAATTTAGAGTGTTAAAATATATGGGTCACAGCTTTAAATTGGATTTCAACAGGGCTCGTGAGATACAAACACACACACATATATACATATATATTAAATAGTCTTCTTTTGCTAAACTTTTTTTTCTTTTTCCTTTTTCTTTTTTTTTAAATTCAGTGTTAGTTTTGCAAGATTTTCTTCTCATACGCGTATTTGAGATAGGGAGCTAATAATAGTCGACGGAGATAATTTTCCATCGGACGCTGCGACTTTTTTCTCCGATGGAAGCAAGCAAGCAGAGAGTGGAACGAACCATTCCGTGCGTAGGGAGGTTGGCACCTACGAACAAGTCACACTTTCAGCATTAAACATTTCACCACTCTCAACATTCAGTTTAACCATTTAGTAGTGGAGGAATTCATATTAAAATATAGTTATTTCACAAGATGCCGTGAGAAATAACGTGTAGTTTGGGTCATAAATGAAAAGTAAACCCCATTGTTATTTTTTTGGTCGAGTCGGATGAAAATCGAGCTCGTGCCACATCTTCCCGCAGCCGTTAAAGCTTCTAAGCATCGCATGTAGGTTGTAGATAGACAAACAACTCTGAGTTGACAACATTTTTGGAACAACTCCGCTTCTGAACATATGTGTGATTTTTTTTTTCCGTGTTGGTTTGGTCCATAGAAGACGCTGAAGTTGATGGTGAATTCTGTCCGCTGAAGACGACGTCAAAGTGGACCGACCTAAGCGGACTTTTCTCCCGTGAAATTCCCAAATCCTCCCCTCAAAAGGTACATTTTATTTTAGTGTATTTAATAATAAACTTCTTGGGACGTAAAAGTCTTTCTAAGTGCGCGTTCGGGTGCCGTGCCAGTTTTCTCCTCAAAAAAGACACGATGGTAGTTTGAGGGTTACACCCATTGACGACCAGACTGCACCACATTCCTATTTCTGTCAAGTCTGAGTGAATTATTCAGTCCAGTTATTTTATTTCAAATTCACATTATTGTACAATGTTACAGTTGCTTATTTAAAAAAAAGTGATAACTGGAAACCGTTATCATGCATCAACAAATAATTGAAAGTATCCTTTTTACTTCGTTACTCTCGTGTCAGACATCATTTGTGGGGTGGAAAAAAGCTTTCAAGAATCAATAAATGTCATTCAAGTAACAAATAACAAAGGCCAGCTGCACTTTGTGTCGTTATCAGATTGATGGAAATCTTAAGGGGAGTCAGAAAATTTGATTTGGTCTTATTGCGCTGTCTAACCACATGTTAAATTGTGACATAAAAAGCGGACTAACTGGAAAAACAAAAACACACTATGGACAACTGCTTTAGTCCACCCACACATTGCACCCACGTGAGCGTTTCCATCCAGCAATATAGTGCAGTTCACGTGGAGACCAGGAACAATTGTAACATTTATGTCTCTAACTTTGAGCCCTTTTGACGTGGGGGTCTTCAAAGTGCTCTGCAAACTAGCCTCAAGTGTCTACTAATAAAGGTCATGGAAAATGCCCGTGGAACGCAAACAGAAAATGCATGACGCAACCTCAAACCCAAGGAGTGAAACGTTACAACTGACCCCATGGTCTGGGTCAGTTTATCTTGGGGGTAAAAGGTGCCCCTGTGCACTAACTACAACAACAGTTTTTCTTTTTCTTTTCTTTTTTTTTTTTTGCGGTGGGGTGCACGTTTATTTTCCATTTCCCTTTCTCAGAACTCATCTTCTGCTCTACTTCCAGTGTAAGCTTGACAGGTGTGTCAGTTATGGCTGTTTGCTTTCTCTATCTTTTTGTTAAAGGGAGTTTCTGTTGTCTGACTCTTGGTAAGGGCCGAGCAACTGTTTGGACTAAAGTTCAGATAAGTCCGTGTTTCTTCAGAACAGATTGTGGCTTTCTGAGTGGCTTGGTTTCGAGCTGCAGCAGAAGTTCGGTCGGCTCGCTCGGACAGAGGCTAAGAGTGCAACGTTGGTATTCCAGTTGTTTTTTTTTTTTATATATTTTTTTTTTATTAAAATCAAATGTATACCCATCCATTCAAGTCAAATTTAGCTTATAGTAAATTGTATAATTTTATAAACGTTGCTTCTTGCCCCAGGCGAGTTTGTTACAACTGGCTCAGAGTATGTTAGCAAGGAGCTAGCTTGGCTGAGAGCTAGCAGTTAAAACATTACCACATACAATCTCGATGAAATGTGGCTAAAGAGGTACATAATCAAAATGATACATTAAAAAAAAAAAAACTCAGGTAGCAGCTCACCTGTTTTCTGGATTTGGTCATGTGACTTTCGCAAATTGAGTCCTTTGTCGTTGTGATGTCATTTTCAATCGACAGCAAGTGGCAGTACAAGACAAAATGGCCGCCTCTGGATAGTGATAGAAAAAAAATGGGTGGATTTAGTGATTTAAAAAAAATGGGTGAATTATTTCTGCTTGAGTTAGATTCCAAAAATGCAATATTAATCAGAATGCTATATTTAGACTAGTGGTGGCACATAAAAAGTAATTCATTGAGACTAGGCAAATGTTTTACATTGGAAAAATGTCACAGCAAAGTCTCATTCTGATCGATGGCTAAAGTTAGATACGCGATTATATTCCAAATTCCTAATTCATGTTTTTTTTTTTGTTTTAGCATAGCTAGCGATCAAAGTGAAATCGGAATCATGACTAATCACTGTGAGGCAGAAGCGACTATTTTTGAAGTGCACACTTGGCTTGCTATTTGGAATCTCATCTTAAAAGGTTACGAAAAAAGTCTTAGAATTGGCTTCAGCAAGGCTGCAAAGTTTTTGCATGACACCATATAACTTACCAACAATGGTGTTATAATGCCTAAAACGATGGTGTCCTAAATGGTCTTCGTATCTTCTGGGAAGACTTTGGAAGCATACGATTGTCTCGGTAAACTCATTTACCTAATATTTGTAAAGTCATGGCTAATTGCATCAGAGTATGCTAAGTGCTGCATCATCTGTCCTGCAAGAGCCCCAGATTGGCGGTTGCATTGGTTCCCTTTTTCTTTGCGCTTCAGCACCACTATTCGGTTGCCGTAGCAACTGGTGTGTCAGGGGACCTCATCCTGAGCCAGCGCACGATGTTCTCTGCAGCAGTTCAGAGAAAAGCACAAAGCGAGAAATGACACCAGAGCTCATTTATTCTTTTTTTTTTTTTTAAGACCAATTAGTTTCTAACCCAATTCTGTTTTTATAACCAACACACACACACACACACACACACACACACACACACACACACACACACAGATTCCCGAGTCCTTGTTGTCCCGAGGTCCGTACAGCATCCATGTTTGATTTCCATCCAATTAAATAACATTAAGGGTACAATTTTATTATTTTTCAAAATCGTTCGGCCAATCGACTGCAAACAAAAGTTGGAATCAGATGTCACACAGCAGTAAAAGTAATTACAGCCACCATATTACAGTATCCGTTTCGTCAAGCGGATGACACATCCGGCTAGGAAAAGCTCTGCCATCTCTGAGAGCAGAGGCAACGATTTCAGGAAATACGGTAATGAGGATGGAAACAAAAGACAAGTGTCATTTGTTCCGCTCCCTTGATTAAAATCATTCACATCATTTGTTCTACTCACACGCTATGACCGCATATGTTCCGAGCGTTGGGCTCGTCATCTGCATCCAGATTCAACAAGTCACTTTTCATTTGCTCCAGATTTGTTTTGTTTTTTTCTTGATGAAGTCACGTACAACAGTGGACCGTGCACACAAGGGATTGGCATTTAGGAACGGCAAACTCAAGGGTCGGCACATGAAGTTTCTCGTGAAAAGTCAGAGGTATGCGGGGTCGTGTTTCCTTTTAGCAAAAAAAAAAAAAAAAAAAATGCCATGAATGCCAGTCATGCTTTTTTTTCCCTAGGAAATGACCTAATTTGGTCAAGCAGATGCTTGAACAATAAATACAGTATTTACAATGAAACGTCCAATCCAAGCGCAGAAATGAGGGAGTGTGATGATTTTTTTTTTCCACGCGAATTTACACCTGCACCACCTGTGATGTTGCGATCACACTCTGATGCTCCTCGTGAAGAGCCAATTATCGTCGGGCTTGTTCATCAATTAAATTTTTTTTTTTTTGCTGGCTCCCTTAGCATCCAACCTATTAACTTCCACAAGGGATTCCGATACCTCCATCAAGCAGCATTTGCAGCAATAATTGAATTGTTTTTTTTTTCCAATACAATCATGCCACAAAAAAAAAAAAAAAAAACAAAAAGAGCAGGCGACTCCTCCAGCAGTTGGCTCCAGTTCAGCAATATCCACAATATCAATCCCAGGACGATACGGGCCTTATGTTAAGGTATCGGGCACTTGTGGAGGCGGCCGATACCAGGCACCGATACTAAAGGTAAAAAAAAAAAAACTCCTCTTCGGCAGTAGTTGGGGGTATACTGCCGTGAATCATTATCTGCATTAGAAAGAAAGGTCTCTGGTCACAATATTTTGTTGCGTTACATGAATTTTTTTTTTATTAACCCTTTCAGGGACAGCGGTTACTACAGTGGACAGCTTCTCATGTTATCAGGTTATGGGGTGCATGAAAGGCTTAAAAGTTCCACAGGTATTCAAAGAGTGAATACTCGTAGTGGTATCGATCCGATAAAAAAAGTGGTATCGAACATCCCTAATAATGACAATTTGGTGTAACTTCTATTCGATCACATCTCCCTGTCACCCATTTGTTGAACCAATGGATTATTTTCCCATTTGTATGCTAATGAGATTTGTCGATTCTACTTGATTCTCGACAGGAGAGCAGCAAACAAAAGTAGTCGTCCAAAAACCAAAGCAGTGGGAGTGTCGAGAGCTTCCAGGGACAGTGTCAAAAACATCAGCCGAGCAATCACCCCTATCGACGGGAGCGCTGCATCATGGGAAAACAGAACAGCAAGCTCCGGCCCGAGGTCTTGAACGATTTACGAGAGAACACGGAGTTCACCGACCACGAGCTGCAGGAGTGGTACCGCGGCTTCCTCAAGGACTGCCCCACAGGTCACCTGACCGTGGAGGAGTTCAAGAAGATCTACGCTAACTTTTTCCCTTACGGAGACGCCTCTAAGTTCGCCGAGCACGTCTTCCGCACGTTTGACACCAACGGCGATGCCACCATCGACTTCAGGGAGTTTATCATCGCACTAAGCGTGACGTCGCGCGGCGGGCTGGAGCAAAAACTGCGCTGGGCCTTCAGCATGTACGACCTGGATGGGAACGGTTACATTAGCCGGGCCGAGATGCTGGAGATAGTCCAGGTGAGGAGATTTTTCCACTGCATGGCACACAAAGCATATATTATTTCAATTTTAGTATTTATTTTATTTTACATCAATGTTTTTATCTCAGTCTTTTAGGTGTTCACAATGATGACGTCATTTTTTTTCTGAACGAATATGGCGTAAACATAATTCAATTAAGACATAACTCAGTCAACGATATGCTGGTTAATTAAATATGGAATTGGAAAAAAAAAAAGCTTGATGATAAACGGCTTTTAGAAACATGAGATGTCAAACGTAGGGATCATTTGTCTGAATCCACCAGCAGCTTCAGTTCCTAGTTTGAACTTCAGATTTCTGGTCTCGTAGGACTGTAGTCATATTTTCTCCCGACATCACAGAAGTTGCCCTTTCCGTGGTTATATTTACTCCTCCGGCGTGGTGAGCGCAGCTGCCTGCGAGGTCGCATCAATATTGGCTTTAGAAATGCATCAGAGCTTTTTTTTTTGTTGTTGTTCCTCATTTTATTTTTTGGTCTTCATCCAAGGCTGAGACCTTTTCGATTATTTCCAAGACAGATTCACAATTTCGGGGTTGTCACTTGGACTATAAAAAACATTTATGTGACTAAAGTCGCCTTCGTTTTCGCAGGCCATTTATAAGATGGTGTCTTCGGTGATGAAAATGCCCGAGGATGAATCTACGCCGGAGAAGCGCACGGATAAGATCTTCAGACAGATGGACATCGATAATGACGGTGAGACTCTATTCGGGATCCAGAAGGCTATTAGTGCGAAGGCAAATAGTCGTAAGATGGACCTTAAGCTGGATAAATGCTCAAACAAGCATTTACTACATCGCTGATTTAGTGTTGGGACACTTGAAGCGTTTGTGACTAATACCACAGCGCCACCTGTTGGCCAACATTGACCATCCCCCATCTGACTGTAACTTGTGCTGTGTGATGAACAGGTCGTTTGTCCTTGGAGGAGTTCATCAAAGGTGCCAAAAGCGACCCGTCCATCGTGCGACTGCTGCAGTCCGATCAGGGAGCCTCTCGTCAGTTCTGAAGCAAAAAAAAAAAAAAAAACGCACGTGCGCCAAAGCATGTACAGCACTCCATGACGTCTTATTGTTTACAATCGGGGTTTCCAAAAAACGGTCGACTCGAAAAGTTACAAATGTGGTTCCTCTGCTAAAATCAATCACGCGCTGTCGTGACGACGAACGTTTAATGACAAATTAATAAGCTCACAAAGTGACCCATTTTGAGTCCAGACTGTTGTTTTGGGAAACCCTGCTTTTCATAATTCTATTTTTGTGGCTTCTTTTCTGTGGACTGTTGCGCTTTTCTTCGTGTGTAAAATCTTTGATCCTGAAATGGACTTTACTCGTCCTCCAAAAAAGTCAAGTGCCATATCATATATATTTATATTGACTGGATTCCTCACATAGCAAGTATTAAGACTCTCGCTGTTGTTACCATTCAGAGGGAACTAATCGCATCACTGCGTTGGGATTTGATTCGCTTCAACGGTGTTGCTCGGGAATGCTCGATGGTTGTTTTACACAAATGATGTATATGCCTTTTAGTAACTCAACGTAGGTGACTTTAAATAGAGAGACCGTGGCTGTTTTTTCATGGTTTATTATTGTAACAAATGTTTTCACACAATTGAAATAAAGTTTGTGTAAGAAAAATCTACACAAGATGTCTGCCCTCCCTCCCCTCCCAACCCCCCCAGCCCCTTCATCCTAAACCCACTAACATTCTTCACTGGATTGGAAAACCAGGTAAAAAGAAAAAGATATGATGTCGCATGAGGGGGTTTGATGTTGAATGCGACGAGTCACATTTAAAAACAGGAGAAGAATCAATGATAAAACACTGCCCGTCTTCTTTTGAACATGCTGGACTGCAACTTTCAGAAGGTACGCCAGTCATTGACCCCTCCCCCGAATGTGTATTTGTGACTTGACAATAAAAAAAAAAAAAAAAATTGCAGGCATCACCCCCCCCCCACCCCCCCAGGAGTATTTCAGTGACTGCGACCAACCTGGCCTTCCATTCTTCCACAGGAGAAGGGGAGGTGGCACGCACTGGGACCAGACTGCATCCGACGTATACCAGCCGGGATCAAATCTGAGCCGCCTTTTGTTTTGATTCTGAGCTTCATAACTCAATCTTTTTGTCAAAGTCATCATCCAGCTCAACGTCGCTCAGGTCGTATTCCTCTTCCTCGGGAAGCTGGTTGATGAGAGAAAATAATTTGTGATTTATGAATGTGGAAAATAATCTGGTCATTTTGCGTTGCAGTCTGCGACACAGGAATTCATTGTGGATTTATCGGCCAGCCCTAATCTCACCTGTCCATCTTTTCCATCCCACGGTTCAACCGAGTGAATTTGGGGTAGGACACCTCCTGTCAACGTGGCGGTCGAACCTCGTCCAACAGAAAGCTCCCTGCAAACGACGAGCAAAGAAGGATTTTTACGTTCCCGCTGGCAATTTCAATGCTTTCATCGTACCGCTCACCTGAGGAAGTCGTGAATCCCGGTGTCACTGAAGGAGCCTTTGAGCAGGGCGAATTTCATCTTGCGCGTGTTGATGGCGGCCATGGCGGGGTAGCCGAAGCCGCCGATGCCCAGCGAGGCCTCCAGCTCCATCTGACTGCCGGCCTCGGCCCACAGCCAGCTGATGAGGGGGAAAAAAATGAGGCAGGGGTGCTATGATGAAGTCCCTTCTCTTATGAGATCAGAGTCCAAACGTTTCGGCTCTCGTTCTTACCCCCACATCTTCTTTTTGTACTTGTCGGCCATCTTCGCCATCACATCCAGGTAGCCGTTTCGACCAGAGGCGCCTTTTTCCATATAAACAGTACAAACACACTTGATCATAAAGGAAGCACGAGTCCAGTGGGTGACAATGTTAATGGAGTTAATGAGAACTAACGAACGCTAAAATTGAAAATAACATTTTTCCTTTATGAAAGACATAAAAAAAAAAAAAAAAGCTGAAACTATATTTTACGTTTGTAAAACTAACTATAAATCTCTTGTAAAGAAGAAAGGTCACATGGTGTGAGAAATGTACTGACATTTTTTTTTTAACCTTGCATTCTACAAATACTGTTAATGACTACAAATACTGGTGAGTGATATGGGTGCCAGCGAACGAAAGTACAGTTTGCTGGACACTGTGTGCTCACCTGTGTCCAGGATATGTGGCAGGATACCAATGATACACAGCTGACTGTCCTCACAAGTCCTCTTCAGGACATCTTCGTCAATAATCTGTAAGACAAAGACATTTTCTTCCCTTTTCATTTCGGAACAAGAACGTGAGCCTCGTGGCATGCAGTCAAAAGTTTCGAGAAGGTCAAATTACATTCGCCGACTAACCTCCAGCAGTTCAGGAGCAGGGGCATTATCAGAAAACAGATCCAAGGCCCTCGCGATGATGTCGCCGCTGGAGCGTCCCCCCTGGTAGTCCTCGGGCTCCTCCCCTTTGCGGAAAATCTTGATGGTGGGAAAACCTCGGATCTGCAAAAACAGACGAAACATTTCGGACTCTTACAGCAACTCTGTCGTGTTTAAAATTCAGTTTCAGTTAGTTTCATCAATGCGACCTGAAGATGATGTCAGGAAAAAAAAAAAAAGAAAAATTCAAAGTTTCATATTCACCCCATAGCGGCTGGACACAGCTTGATGTACAGTTGCATCCACAGCTCCCAGGCGAACTTTGCCTTTCGTCTGCTCCTTCACAGCCGAAGCGGCGGCTGCCCACTCAGGCTCCAGGCTGATGATTGAAAAAGGGCACTTCATCACATCACTTTACACATTAAATCGCTTTAGAATAATCAATTCAAAACACTGTGACTTCTGCAAAAGATATTTTTCCATAAAATGTTAGTCCAATGTCCAATCTGTGCAATATGGACAGCGTGTCGAAGACTCAAACTCACTTCTTGCAGTGTCCACACCAGGGAGCAAAGAACTCCACCAACCACACGTCGTCACTGTCCAGCACCATCTTGTCGAAGTTGTCATCAGTGAGCTCCACCACATCCTTTTTACTGCCACCGTCACTCCCACCGCCACTCTGCCAGAGGCAAAGTTTTACTGTCTCGCCAAGCTCTGGTTTTAGACATTGGCACCAGAAAAGCTGCATTGACTCTGCTCGTACCTGTTTGCTGTAACCCGAGCTGCCAGAACTGCCACTTAGTCGTTCTTTGACCAGAGCGCGCAGGGCATTCATGGCTCCATCCACGATGGCCTGGCTAGTTCGTCCACCTGAGGAAGGAGGGAGGGAGGGGGGAAAGTTGGAAAAATCTTTTCAAGTGAAATATACAAAGACACCTTGTCGGAAGTACCTTGATATTGTTCGGGTTTGTTCTTGTTGGCGCCAAAGATCTTGATCGTGGGGAAGCCGGAGATGCCATATTGGCTTCCTAAAGACTTGTGTTCATCTGCATCTACGGCACCAACCTTGACAATACCCTGAAAGAAAACACAGGCAGTACATTTAACACTCAATTGACCTTATACAAACTTTCCCGCATTTCCTCGAATGTTAAGTGTCTCAAGTCCGCCCCACCAATGAGCGACCAGCAATTATCACCAGTATGGTATCACCACAATTCACTTGGAAGAAGAGTTGAAAGTCACATTAATATACACTGATGTCATGTTTACTTTGAGGGCTGTCGCTGCCTTCTTCCAGTCTGGCGTCAACCTTTGACAATGGCCGCACCTGATGAAGACAAGGCATATCAACATTATCCACCTGTGCCATCCAAGAACTGTATGACAAACATGAGAACCATTATACATAATACAAAAAATATTATGAAGCTGGATCTATTACAATCACTGGCCACTCCAGACATAATAGCACAATTTGGTTGTGAATTTGGTTGTCGGGACACTCCGAGGCACTGTATTGAGCCCACCAAAGCTGCGTTTGTGCACTGACCAGGGAGCGTAGAACTCGATCAGCCACAGATTGTCGCTCTGGATCACCTCTCTGTTGAAGTTGGACGGGGTCAGTATGACCACATCGTCGCTGGGGGAATAAAAGGCTTCCACACGAACAAGCAGCGAGCAGCACAGCAACACTCCTGCACCAAGAACCACAGCAGCACGATCAGTACTTTTTAGCTAGCCATTGGTCTATCGCACAGTTACGTATAACCAGCAGAGGAGTCCTTTTGAAACACGGCTTATCCTGCATTGGCACATGCTTTATAAATCACACTTTCATTGAATTAAAGAAGCCTCTTAAATCACACTCCTATTGAATTAAAGAGGCCTCTCAATGACGCTTTCACGATTCAAGCTAGCCAACCAGCCAAACTTCACAATTTCCTAACCTAAGAATCTCGGTGCCTTTTAATGAACTAATTTCAATTTTTTGGTTACAATTCCCAGAAAGTAACGATTTCATTATTTTAGCAGCGTCTGCGTCTCCTCCGGTACTTGCAAACACCACGAAGGCTACCTCCCTCTTGATTCAGCTGCCTGAAATAAAGTCAATGGAGGAGATTCACCGTGGCCCACGCTGATTGGCTGAACTCGAACGCTGCAACCAAAAAGCGAACACCGATTGGCTGAAAAGAGAAGTTCCGAATGGCCGACCAATCGGAAAGCGCCGTGTAAGGTTTTTCAAGGAAACCTGACGTTCACAACAAATGATAAAGAAAAGTCAAAACAAGCGAATGACGTCTAGCAAATAAAATACAAGGAAACCATGCCAAACAAAGCCTGATACGCCACACATGCGTTCTAGCAATACATGTGTACAGTAATTGTAATATTCCAAGTCAATGTGGGTGATTGACAGCTGTACCGATTAAGACTATTAATTTGTTCAACTCAAATACCCCACTGTTATTTACGTTAGGTTTGCCAATGATACAAATAAAATATAACCGTGCCTCTGTTCACAATGTATTTTTTGCCTCTAGATGGAGACAAATAATCATCCAAAACCGTGAAAGAACCTTTTTGTACTGCATCCCTATTTGTAAATCACCTTAAAAAATAAAAGCTTATCTCTTATTTTGCTGTCGTACCGGAAGTCGCCCTTTCGATTATTATAGCTTGATTTAGAGTTGCGCGATTTCAATCCAACTTTGTCCACTCCCAGAGACGCCAAACCTCAGCGCGTGAAAGCAAGGACACTTAAACCACTGCTTCGGAATTTCTCTTTTTATTTAATTGCATCATTAATCACTTGTACTTGATTTTGACAAAAATATAGGGACACCCCGCCCCTACTCCAACACAATGTGGGGGACCCACAGGAGTCGGTACCGGAGCGGCTCCGGAGCCAGCGAGGAGCCCGAGATCGTGGTGAACATCGGCGGCCTGAAACAGGTGTTCTGCCGGGACGTTCTCAACCGCTTCCCGGACACTCGCCTGGCCGAACTGGTGAACTCGGTGTCCCCCCTCCCCACGGAGGACATCTCCTCCTTGTGCGATGACTATGACCCTGAAAAAGGAGAGTTTTATTTCGACAGGGATCCGGACGCCTTCAAATGCATCACGGAGCTTTATTACTACGGCGAGATTCACGTCAAGCGAGGCATCTGCCCCATCTGCTTTATGAAGGAGATGGACTTTTGGAAAATTGACTCGGATTTCCTGGATGAGTGCTGCAAAAGCCACTTGAAGGAGGTGGAAGAGGAGCTGGAGGAGATCGCCGAGAAAGTGAGGACCATCCTGGTGGACCGGGATGGAGACCCGAGCGTCAGTGGTTGGCAGCGCTTCCAGACGTGTGTGTGGAGGCTGATGGAGAAGCCCGAGTCGTCCTTGGCTGCTCACATCATCGCCATCCTCTCCTTCGTCTTTATCCTGGTCTCCTCCGTGGTCATGTGCGTCAGCACAATACCGGACCTGCAGGTGGAGGACGAGGAGGGGAACCTCATGGAGAACCCCATCTTGGAGGTCACACTGAAAAAAGGAACTTCAAAAAATAAATGCTCATTATATATATTATTATCTTAAAACTAATATTAAAACTAATCGTAACAAAACAAAATCTAAATAATTTAGAGAAAAAAATTAAAAAGACACCTCTAAAAACTAATTAAACTTACTGAATTAAAAAAAACAAATTTGAACGAACTAAAAAAAAATATATATAAGCAAAAATCCAACTTGGTAGCAGTACAATACAGATAAAAGAACATCTCAACTACCATAGGTGGGAAATATATTATTATCTTAAAACTAATATTAAAACTAATCGTAACAGAACAAAATCTAAATAATTTAGAGAAAAAAAAAACACAGATAAAAACTATTTAAAACTTACTGAATTAAAAAGAACAAATTAGAATGAAATTTAAAAAAAAGCAAGAAGCAAAAATCCAACTTGGTAGCAGTGTAATACAGATAAAAGAACATCTCAACTACCGTAAGTAGGAAGCAGTTGGTTTTTTTTGCAGAGGATAAAGAATATCTGCATGTGTGTTAAAAAAAATGGCAGAAATGTTGATCATTGTTGTGTAATTTTAAATTACACAAGCCATCAAAACGATGAATGGCTTCTTCAAATAATTCTTGATTAGTTTTATAATCATTTCTTTGTTGATCAAAGTTTTAAAACAGTTGTTCTGAAAGACACAAGCGCAAATAAAATACCATACAAAAGGTCAAACAATTTCAACCACATTAATTTTTTTCCCCCCAGTGCATCGAGACGGTGTGCATCGGCTGGTTCACCATCGAGTACGTGCTGCGCCTGGTCTCGTCCCCGAACAAAGTCAAGTTTGCGCTGGCCTTCATGAACGTGGTGGACTTCATGGCCATCATGCCCTTCTTCATGGTGCTCCTCCTCACCTCGCTGGGCGCCGGCGTGATGGAGCTGGCCAACGTGCAGCAGGCGGTGCAGGCCTTACGCATCATGCGCATCGCCCGCATCTTCAAATTGGCGCGCCACTCGTCGGGACTCCAGACCCTCACCAGTGCCCTGAAGAGCAGCCTGAAGGAGTTGGGCCTGCTCCTCATGTACATGGGCGTCGGGGTGTTCCTCTTCTCGGCGCTGGGCTACACCGTGGAGCAGCACCATCCGGAGACCTTGTTCACCAGCATCCCGCAGTCATTCTGGTGGGCCGTGATCACCATGACCACGGTGGGCTACGGCGATGTGTACCCCAAGACCACCTTGGGCCGTTGCAATGCCGCCATCAGCTTCCTGTGCGGCGTGATTGCCATCGCCTTGCCCATCCATCCCATCATCAACAATTTTGTCCTGTTCTACAATAAGCAGCAGGTTCTGGAGACGGCCGCCAAGCACGAGATCGAACTGATGGCGCTGCGCTCCGATCAGGATGGCGGCGGGAAACACGTGTGTGGGGTACTGCTGAAGAGCCCCCGCAAGGCTAACCGGGGCCCCGACCTCCAAGCTAGCCTTGAGAGAACAGCTGAAAACAAACATTCTCCGGTTCTCTGAACAGTTCCTCACATGGACAGGATGGCAAAGCATGCCAAAATGCAGCTCTGGAAAAAAAAATAAAATAAAAAGAGACCACTACAAAATAAACAGTTTCTCTGATTTTGCTATGTAGCGGTACAATGGAACCTCGGATGGTGAATTTATTCCATACCGCGACCAAACCGAAACATAAAATAATTTCAAGGAATGGAAATGCAGCTAATCCATTCCAGCTAGGTATGTGGTTAAAAAATAAGTAGAATATGTAACAACAACAACAAAAAACTAGCATAGCTTTTAACCTGGTTATAAAAGTATTTACACTTGCTAGCTTCAGTTTTGTTAGCAGCTCATTCCATTCCATTTAGCATAGTTAAGTGTATTTTTATTTTTTGGGAGACCATAAAGCCTCACTAACACTATTAACAGCAGTTTCCGGTGGCCAAAGATAAACCCCGGGCAGACATTTAACGGCTGGAGTCTGGCTTGAGACTGCTAGCTAGCTGTCGTTACGTTAGGCAGAGGTGACCGTTTAGCGCCTCACTGCAAGGCTTTTATTTTTACTTCTTTCCACTTTAATACACCTGTAGGTATTGAAAGAGGCGCTTTACAAAAGTGATTTCTTATCATTGTTATTATGACAATAGTACCACTGATTGATTTCGCTAAACTATGCAGCTCAATCACAACGGTGAACTCATATTTAGTACCACTATCAGTGGTACTGCTCGCTCAGCAGCAGTACCCAAAAATTATACGTAGTCGGGTTCACTCAGAAGCAATTTTGAAGGCATTGAATGGATTTGAAGGACAGTCAACTATTGACCCAATTAGCTGTTCCTTTGTGATTCCCTTCAGGCAGATGGATTGTGAAAACTGACTTGAATTGTGACTGAACAGCTGCATGTACAATGGATATAAAAAGTCTATTCACCCCTGTTCAAATGCCAGATTTTTGTGATATTAAAAATTAGACCAAGATATATCATTTCACATTTTTTTCTTCCACCATCTATCACCTGTACAACACGACTGAAAAAAAAAAACCCTTCATCATTTTGAAATGATTTCTCTTACTTTTTATATTATGAACCTGCCATATGAGCAGGTGTGTGTTGGCTTTTTATATCGAATGTATAGCAACAAGCCTTATATTTATTTGAGAGCCTCATTATTCTTCTGTATGAATCGTAATGTTCCTATGTTTGTTTTTGTCCCATTGTGAAAGGTCTGGGGGGGGGGGTTACATTAGAGCAGCTCGGTGCCTAACTAAGGAAGTGTTTAGGTTTTTTTGAATATGTTTTTTCCTGTTTTTATTTTGTAAAAAAAAATGTTTTTCTGATTTTTTTGTGTTTTGTGGAATAAATTTATTTCAGTTTTTTTATTGTTGTTGTTGAATGGAATATTCTGTTAAAAAAAAAAATTTTATTGTTTTGAATGTTTTTCTGCCATTTCCACCACTTAATAATCAGAAAACAGAAAAGAAATATTCTGAAAAAAACAACAACAAAATAAAAAAAATATTGCCCAAAACAGAAAAAACACCCAATTTTTTTTTTAAATCAAAATAAAATAACCCGATGCCCCAAAATAAATTACTTAGAAAAAAAGATTTTTATTTTCAAGTGAATGTATGTATTCATTATCGTCCATTGGAAAAATATTTCAATTAAGATGTGTGTGGGGTTTTTTCAGTTTATCATCTTCTCCACAAATGTACCTAATAAAGTGTCTGGGGAGTGAACAAAATGAAGGCCTCTTGGGGGTTGTTGTTGTTGCACAGTCTAGCGCAACCTCACAGCTGTTCACGGTGTGTCTGTCGCCCTCATTTTGGGGCCGCGGTGTGACTGCGAGGCATTGGATCTACTGTAAACTCGATCTGGTGCGGCGGAATGTTTCTAAGGTCGTGACCCTCTATTTTTTTCCACACCCACTGTAAAACTGACACTGCGAAGCGCGCGTGCTCGGTTTGGCTGCAGGATATTTAACTGTGATGGGTTGAAACGTTGCAGCAGATTTGTCCTCCTCCTTGGACGATCTCTGAATTGATTTGTTCATTAAGTTTAGTGCGCATGTGATTCACAATGGGCTCAGTTCCTTTAACCCTTTCATGCACCCTGTAAACTTGATAACATGATAAGCTATCCACTATAGTAACCGCTGTCCCTGAAAGGGTTAAAAGTGGACAGATATTCTTTCGATTTTGTGTACAACGGTGGAGTGCGAAGTGTGCCGTACTTCACATTTACATTCTTGTTCACACTTACATTGGAATTCAGCTCAGTTTTTTTTTTTCCTGTAAGTGATGCTAAAAATAAAGATCAAATGTGAAAATGTATTTTGTGATTGACAGAGTCATACTTTCCGTTTGCATTTGAGAGGAACAATTTTGAAAAAAATCCAATTACGAAATTTTTTTCCCCCTCTGAATATTACGATTTCCAGGTGATTCATTTAACTCAAACAATAAATAACTCTGCAGTAGTGTGGCATGAGGACTAGCATACATATTACAATGTTTTTAGTTCACCGGCAGGTCAAATGATGTCAATTATTTTTATGATGACTTTTTTAGAAAATCATTGGCACGTAAACAGCACAAAGTGCAAATCCCAGCGTTGACACAGCGACCTCCTCGCTAACGCAAGCTCGTTTTGCATCCACAGGGCTGCACGCATAAGGTCAAGGCCAGACGGTGCACATCGGTCGGCCCACGCGCTCTGCGAACAACGCTAACGACAGCGGCTATCTCGGCTGACCAGCATGCGGAGAAAAAGCCTTTTGTGCACACTGACAGGTGGGGGCTATAGTGTGAAAGTATTGTTCAAGGAGTGTTCAATCAACAAATATACAGACATCTTCAGGCGCAAAAAAAGATTTCACGAGCTCCCAAGCCGAGACAAATATCCTCGTCCTCGCCTGCCCGCCTCCGATGCACGCAAACAACTGCATACATTGGCTCCTTTAGTTGTGACCTGCTGTGGGCTGTTGGCTAATCAGTATTTTCACTCCTCCATGTTGCTCGTCTGTGGCATTCTGTGGGCGCTCGAGATATGGAGCAGCTACAAAAAAAAAAAGTGTTTCTATAAGGCAGAAAAATAAAATTCATCCAAACTTATGACAGAAAAAAAAATGCAGTTCAAGTGACACTTTGTGAGTCGATATTGTTCTTGCTAGGACTGTTTTCATGTTTTGTTGTTTTGGCTCCTGCTTCCACTCCTTTGACACCTAAGTAAACATGTAGACGAGTGAGGGTGGGTGGACAATAATGGCACCGCGGCTCTATTTAAAAAGAAATGTTTGCCCATGTAGGAGGCAATTATTCCTGAAACTCCCTTCAGCTGACCTGCACTTCTCATTATTTTCTAGGGATGCCACAATGTATACTCGGCAGCGCTTTCCTCTCTGCCTCGCATCGCAGGACATTCCAGGGCTTGGTCATGTATGATATGATGTTGTATCGCATTTATTTAATACAATTTGATATGTGATGCTCTTTATTGTAAGACAATAAAGCTTGAATTTCCCTTATTGAGAGCAATATAATATGGCAACAAATGCGCTCACCAATGCCTCTCTGGCCACAACTGAATTTATTCCACGAAAAAAAAAATCACGTGTAAAATGCAGCGGGTATAAGCAAAGCAGCTACTTTGGGTGATTCAATCAGAAAAGATGAGCCAGAATGCAGTTATCGTGTGTCCCGAGGCACTACAAATAGGATATTTAATTTAAATGCGTTTGCATCCAAAATGGCCAAATCGCTTCATTTGAATAACAGCGCGTGATAATGTGCAGTACTGTTTTTTTTCTCAATCTTCCGAGTGGTCGTCTCATTTGGGATTTATTTTCCGCTGCAAGAACAAGACCGTAAAAGAAACGGCTGCAAAGGAGAACGGTCCGGGAGTTCTCGTCTGCCAAAGACGATCGTGGAAGCAGTTGTGTGCGTAAATGCACTCTTGGAGCACGATGACGGCGTCGGCGAGACAATTACCAAGATTAATCGTGACCTGGCGTGAAAACAAAGTCGGGATTAGGTGCAAAATTTAGAGACTTTGCGCAACCTGTCACGTCTTTTTATCCTTGGGGGCGAAAAAACGTCCAGGGCGGAACCACACCTTTGTTGCTTTTACGTACGATAGTCGTGAATTATATGTGAAAAAAGGTTTTTGAGCATACTAGACCAATATTATTTAAGATGTTACGTGAGGTGTGGAAAAATACATTTTAATTTAGAGAAGTACAAATGCCAGGAATTAGCATAAGGCAAAAAAAAAAAAAAAAAAAAAGACATCAAGTCCTCCTAGGCAGCAGATGGCGCTACACTGCGAATCATCTACGTCAGAAACAAAGTTCATTCATCACATTTTTTTGTTGTGTCAATTTTATATATCAAAGGGGTTTTCCGTTTGGTTTTAGCTAAACAAAAAGTGTAACTTTAAAAACACTATGAGATGAAAGTGTAAAATTGGGTTAAAAAAAGCCCTCAAATATGAAACATTTTAACTTTATTATAGTTTTATTTTACAGAGTTTTAGCTTCTTTTTATGCATGTTCAACAGTTGAAAATGTTAAAACATTGCCGGCAATTTTTGTGCTTTTAGAAATTGGAGAAACCTGACTACAAGATGAAATGCGTTTTTTTTTTTTGTTTGTTTGTTTGTTTGTTTGTTTTTTTGCCATTTAACCTGACTACAAGATGAAATGCGTTTTTTTTTTTTTTGTTTGTTTGTTTTTTTGCCATTTCCGCCTGAAGCGGAAAAACACGGTGGGGTAAAAAATGTCTTTGCCAAAGAAATAAATGAATGCAATCTGGCTGATGATAAAATCTGGTTTACTGTGAATGCAGCACTGCTTTATCAGCACCACATTATAGAGACGTAGACGTTATTTATGTCTTCTCTGTTAATGAAAAAGATAAGAAACACATCGTCGGAGGTGACTTGAAAGAGTGCTTCCAGGTGGTAGAAAAATATGCATTCAGCGGCTCGGTATCTTCCCATTTGGGAGAAGAGTTACAGCCTCATTATTTTTCTCCCATGTTGCAATCTAAAGAGGAATTAGGGAGCCCTCTAATGTGAACGTGAAAATAGAAACAAAAGTCAGCTTCACCCAAGATGAGATTTGCCGTTCTGTAAATTGCTTCTCTGCATAGATTGTTGTGATGTGCGGCCAAATTTACACCAAAGGGCCCAACAACTTGCTGAATGAATTCCTTTTGCGTGGTGCATCTTGTCTCCGCAGTATTTTTGTTTGTTTTCTAATGTGGAACCTTGATTTCCCTGTGTTGCCGTTGAGTGTTATTACCCCCCCCACACACACATCCCCCCAGCAAAGGGCAGATTTCTTTGAAACGGGATCTCGTTGGGTTGCGCAGGCGGTACTGACGTCGCTGCCGCTGAGTGTTTGTTTACACTTGCTCATAAAACACTCGAGGCCGTAAAAGTCGTGAAGATAACCCGGGCTGGCGCGCGCTCATGAATGCGGCAAAAAGTTTAGGCACTAAATCAGATGATAGTGCTTAGCTTTACTTTTGTTGTTGTTGTTTTTTTTTATTTGTGACTATGTTGAAAAGCTTCGTGTTAATGATGGTCATTCTTGTTGGAATAATTGTCACAAAAGCGCTACAATCCCAAGAAAAACCAAAACATGCACACATTTTGTGCGACTTTGGTGAAAATCTTTTCACGGCTTTACCTGAACGACACCATTTTCTCGACCTAACTGAGTCCTGGCCCCTGGCCAGGAACTGCTCTCTCTTCTTTTCTGATGCAGTTGTTGAGTTTTGGGTTTTGAAACACTCTTGAGTGATGTCTGCCATGTAGCGTTGAGCCCTGTTATTGCAACTTAAAAGTACTCCAGTAAAAAAAAAAAAAAAAGTGGCATAAACACTTTTCCCCATGAAAAAGATATCTTTAAGATGAACCCAGTGAACCAGAACTGTATTTAAAAACATAGAAATAACATTGACATCAAGAGAGTAACTAGCTAGCAAGCTAGCTTAAATTGCTAATGAGGGCCAACAACTGATTTTGTCTTTCCACTCCGAAGAAAACCACGTGAACTCATCTAGACCAAAATTGGACGGAACATGTTTCCGCCTGACGCTGGCGATATGAGAGCCAGCGATTTTCTCTTTGAGAAAACGTCAAATGAAAACAAGTCAATGAGGAATCCCTGTTTGTTTGTCATCGCAGAATGCTTAAAATGTCATCCGTTTGGAACATTCCATTCAGGCGCTTTGGTCTCACCTTACCTGGCAGTTTGAATGATCACCTTGCACACCGGTGCCAAGCACTGAGTGAATTTAAGCCTTTGACGCCCGAAAGATCCAAATGAATTGTTCAAAGCCGGGGCTTGTTCTCAAGCTGCTTCGCGTGATTCCAAAATCAATCTGTCCATAAGCTAGCGGACATCTTTCAAGTTTGATGTCAAACACAGCGGGTCAATACGTCGTTCGGGATAGTCTTTGTTGGTTTTTATTTCCGTCCAACCTTCAGAAAACATTCAGCCCGTCCCTCGCCCGCTGATACATGATCTCGCCTTGACCCTCCCCTGGTTGCAGCCTGGGAGCAAACCGCACCCGGGCAGCCCCACAACAGGTGAAAGGTCTTTTATAGATGGCGCATAAAGCCCCCCCAAGGGGACAGTTGTAGCCGGATGCTAATCCCTTTCGCATCAGAGCGAAAGAATCGTTAAGAGGATCCAAAAAACTCATGGCAAGGGATGCGAGAAGCCGTCAAGGAGATTTAGATGTCACTCGCTGATGAAATGCCCTGTGTGGTCTATTATTTTTTCCCCCCTCTCTTTTCTAATAGGTGGAGGTAATTAAACTCTGTCAGGCCAGTTTGTGCCCTTGTGTGAGCGATCACTTAGCTTGTAGAGATCGATGTACAAAAGAGAGGTGGGGGGGGGGACACACAAAAAGGCAATGTTGCAAACCCTGTCGTTTTCTGCTACTGGTGGACTTTTTATCCATAATTTTAGCATGGCAATGAGGTATTGCAATCCACGTGGGAAGCATAATGAGCGTGTGCTTTTATTTTTTTTTTTTCATGTCAAAGTCCTGGACAGGACAAGGTGAGTCAGCTTGGAAGAAGTCATTAAAACTTTTAGTGGCGCTCATCAAGAGCAAACCCCCCCCCGCGCAGAAGCAAAGTAATTTTTCACGCTTGAGTGGGCAAAAAGAGTGACGGTGATGACAAGGCACCTTTACTTTTAATAGTGTAAGCTTTTGTTAAATTGTTAATTATTATTTTATGTTTGAACATTACAGTATTGTCTATGATGTTGAAGTTACCTAAATTATATTCTCTTTAATAATTTCTTAAACATGTTTTTGTTGAGAGCGTCTGATTGGCTGAAGGAAACAGGAAGTGTTTTAGTAGCCGGAAAAAGTTATGTTCTCGAACGTACTGCGGTGCCGACGTCTTTTTTTCCCCCATTTAATAAAAACTGCATTCAAAGGATTCCATATCTCCTTTTGCCCACTCTTAGAGCTTTCCACTAAAAATAAAGAACCCCTAAACTTACAATAGCATCCGTGTTAAGATGTAGGAAACCTTTTTTTTTAACCAGCCTGTCCCCGCTTTGCTAGTTGAGCTGGTTTGAGAGCATGTGCCAATTAAATTCAGGTTTATCGTTTCTAACGTATCCATCCCGAAACATTTACTCCTAATATAAAACACCGCCAAGCGTTGAAAAAAAAGAGCATCCAGCTCACATCAGGATATAATGGCCCATCATTCCCTCGGGAAAACACTGAGAGGCCGTTTATCGACCAATCGTGCAGTTGTGGAAGCCACCTCAGTTGTCTGACTCAGTCATGAGATAAAAGTACATTTTCAAGCCCTACCTCCAGTTTTTAGCCGGTGTAGATTTATAAGCTGGGCGACGAAATTGCAACGATGCACATCGAGGTAGCGACTGATGAGGATGGAGGGTTAACGCACGGGATGTTGTTGTGTTTTCATACTCGTTCACCCCAGCGACACGATGCCGCTTTGCAAAGCGATGCGATGAAAAAAATCCGCTGGAGCCTGAACGTGCCATTTGAGTCCCAGCGCCGTGCGTGGGAGTGTTGATAAAAGGCACAGTGGGAGCATTCGTATGCTAATGCGGCCTGGAAGCGACGTTTCTCTTCCACCTTGAGGTTGCATTTTAATGAGGGGGAAGAAAAAAAAAACCTTTTAACCTGAGCTGGACATGAAAGATGGTGAAAGAACTAAGTGCGCCATTGATGTGCAGATTAAAACGAATGAGTTTTTTTTTTTTAATTCCAGAAAACTTCTACTGGAGTTCTTTAGGTCACATCGTTGTGAAATAGATGCTATAATATCACGGTAAAAATGAGCAATCGTATTTAAAATGAAGAAGTACAATTTAACGATCAAAACTGTTGTTGCCTCGACTCGTAGGAGTGGAGCCATAGTGTGTGCGTGTGTGCGTGTGTGTGTGGGGGAGACATTTTTACTTCATTTATTACACTGTGCGCCACGCTTGAAGACCAGTGAATTAAGAAAATACAAGTCAATAAATCAACAGGAAGTGCCCTAAAAACAACAGGAAGTGCCCCAGGAGTAGCACAAAATCAACAGTTAAGTGATTCAGGAAGTGCTCCCACATGACAGGAAGTTACCCGGATGTGCCCCATCGCAGAAAACTATATTTTATATTTTTCATATTTGGACTTGTAAGAAGCTCTGAAGTCAAATAACGCAGATTGCAAAGCTCTTATTCTGAAGTGCTGGAAACACATTCATCGGTCATATGACAAGACGGGGCAGCGAGACTTTAAATTGTGACCTTTTGCATTCCCATGGCGGTCAGAAATGTGTAAGGCGCCACTGTGGTAAAATGTCAAGAGAAAAGGTTTCTTTGTCATTTCATCTTACCAGCCTGCTCACTCTTCAACGTGAAAAATATGACAGCCCGCAGATGCCTTGCAGCAATTTTGCCACTAAGGAGCCCCCGGCGCATGTTTGCTTTTTGCTTTCACACTAAAGGCAGTCTTTGAGCCTCTTCGTCAACATTTAGCTCCCAGTGTGCAAAGCTGCACTCTGCCTGGGCCTGTATATCAAAATCAAGTTGTTTTCCTCAGCGCTTTCTTTGATGAATGATGTTTCATTTTTATAAGTGAGGATCGGAGCAGGAGGCTGTATTTTATCCTCAATTGGAATTACTACCCATGCATAGGTTTCAACATGGTAGTGATGGCGGGAGAAACCTGAAGAAAAAAAAAACATCCAGAGGAGGTCAGCTGGAAGATTCAGCCCACACACGTACTCACATCATTAAAACATCTCTGTCAGATTTATTGCAAAAATGAACCATAACAAACCAAGAAACTAAATACAAGCAAATGGACGAGACGACGAGGCACAACTGGGCAAGCCACGAGTGACTGGAGGGAGCCGATCAACAGGAACGCGGCTGACGAGAAAAGTTAGAAAATAAGCTAACGAGTAGACATGAGATGGAAAAACACGAGTCAAAACTTAAAATCATTTTTAAAAGTCAAGAAAAACACGTGTTCATCACAAATCTTTGCATTTGACAATAATTTGCTTGAAAATCGTTTTTATCTGACCAGACCAAGTTCACTTTCCGTTAAAGACGCCACTTGTCTGTTCTTGAGAGCTTCCGGCCCGGCGCAGGTCACCTCCTCCAGATAAAAGACACTTTGAGGATGTTCATTGAGCCATCTCCACAGGTACTCCATTTTCCCATCGCACAGCCATGGGTTGATCGCTAGGATCAGCTGGAAAGACGAGTCCCTGTCATCCAGCAGGCCCGCGGGGAGATGTCGCAACCTGTTCTGGTTGAGAAGAAGTAACTGAAGTCGCCGCAGACCCGAGAGGAGGGACGGCGGAAGATCCCGGAGTTGATTCTCTTGTAGAAACAGACGCGAGATCTTCGGGTTGTGGCTGAAGGTCGTCGGCGTCAGGGCGCTCAGTTTGTTCCCGGCCAGATTAAGAACGTCCAGGTGGTGCAGGTTCTTCAAGGCATCTGGTTGCAGAGCTTCTAGTTTGTTGTCGCTCAAATCCAAATGCTCCAGATGTTGCAGCTTATGAAGAAACGACACCGGGATGTCGGATAAACGATTGCCTGATAAGTCCAACCGGGTCAGGCTGTTGTTCTCATCAAACCAACCCGCTTCCGCTTCTTCGATGCGATTGTTTTTAAGGACCAAATCGCGGAGCGACTTCTGGCGGAAGACTCCCAGAGGAAGACGGATAAGCCGGTTCCCCGTGAGATCCAATGAGCTCAGTCGGGAAGCGTTCCGCAGGAGATCCGAAGGAAGGTTGTCCAACAGGCCGGCGTACAGCTGAAGCCTGTTCAGAAAGGGCACGGCATTGAAATAACCCGCTTCTAAAGAAGAGATCTGGGCGGACCAGATGGACAACACCGTGGTGTTGGACGGTAAACCGTCGACGGGGAACGACGTCATGTTCGAGACGTCGGCGCACTCCACCTCAGAACCCGAACAGGAGCAGCGATGTGGGCAGGCATGGACACCGCGGTTACTTATTGCGCATAAAATCAGCACCAGAATCAAATTCATCTTCAACCACTGCAAACATGTACCAGGACAAGTTAAATTATTATTCATTTTTTAAAAATAAAGATTATGACGAAGATTTTTAGTCTTACCTAAAAGTGTCTGGAGAGCCGTCTGTTTATGCCGAAATGGGGTTGCTGTCTTGTGAACGAGGACAGTCAGTCGGGACAAAATGTCGCAAGAGGCAAACAGAATCAAGTCAACACTGCAGCTCATCCACGGCCGACCCATCGGGGGCGGACTTTTGACCTTTGACTTTTACCCCTTGGTGACAGTGCAATAATCCCCAGACCACCTCTGTCATAAAATAAATCCGCAATATAGAAATAATCTATTTCAGTGCTTTTACTAAATCCCGCCAGCAGTAGCTATGTTGACGATAGCTTGATATAGCATCAGCAATATTCATGAAACAAAGACTTTTTTTTTTTTTTAATCCTTTATTCAAATTTTTAGTTCAGTCTCTGTGAGTGACATCACCGAGCGACCCTTGAGAGACTGAGGACCGGAACAAATCATGGTCTCGGGTAGAAATGCTTTCTTTTGGTTGTTTTGGAGCCACTTGAGGAGGTACGCCATCTTCCCGTCGCACACCCATGGGTTGGCAGTCAGGTCCAGCCCTTCGTCCTCCAGGGCGTTCAGATGGTCGAGCAGTCCTGGAGGGACACTGCTAAGCTGGTTGTCGTCCAGACTGAGGTGTTTGAGCTGAGTAAGCTTCTGAAAAATGTTCGGGGGAAGATAAGTGAGCCTGTTCCTGGAGAGGAACAAGTAGGTGAGGTTCCGGGTGCTTTCGAATAAAGAAGCATCCAGGCTGTCCAGTTTGTTGTTCTGCAGATTTAGGCGATCAAGTTTGATGAGCGGATCCAAAGAATTTGCCAAGATCTTCACCAGATGGTTGTTGGAGAGGTCGAGGTTTTCCAGGTGGGGCATTTTTTGAAGAAAATCTCCTGAGATGTTGGTCAGATGATTCCCAGAGACGTCCAACCAGGTCAGGTCGGAGTTATCGGGAAGCCACGCGGCGTCCGCTTTCTCAACCAGGTTGTTCTTGAGCACCAGGATTTGAAGCGGGGCATGGCTGAAGACCTCTGCAGGCAAATGGCTCAGCTTGTTGCCGGTGAGGTCCAAAGTGGTGAGCAGAGGAACGCCTCTAAGGAGGTGCGAGGAGAGGTTGTTGAGGTGGTTGCTGAACAGGTGGAGCTGCTTCAGCCGGGGCGTTGCGTTGAGATCCTGCTCCGAGATGGATGTAATGTTGGTGAACTGGATGGTGAGGGTGCTGGTGTTCTCGGGGAGGCTCTCAACGGGGAATACCGTCAGGGGAACCTCATTGCAGACCACCTCTGCTCTTCGTGGGTAGCATTGGCAAAGCGCCGGGCACGCTGAAGTGGCATGGCCAAAATAGGCCAAGAAGACCAGTACTGCACCAAACACCTTCATTGCTAGGGGAGAAGAAGAAATTGCAAAAAATTCTTACTTTAACCACGGCACGGTTTATTAGAAAAACCTGATAGGTTCAAGACTTATCCATAATTGGTAAAAATTGATGTTTTAGGAATCGTTTTACTCCTCCCACTTGCTCTGAAGACATAAAAAATGGATCAGAATCACCTTTATTGACCAAGTACTGTATGTAAGATCACATCAGTAATTCGTCTTGAGTAGTTTGTGCCACAATCAACGATGACAAAAAGAACATGCAGGACGCGACTAATGAAATCACTCTCCTTCGCGCTTGTTCTCACGCTCTTGCCAATTTAAAAAAAAAAAAAAAAAGAAAAGAAAGAAAAGTCCGCTTTCTTCAAGTTTTGTCACTCCCACTTTAGTTTTACTGTAAAACTGCCAACTAAAACCAAAGAGAATTAATTTCAACACCGAAATGTTCAAATAAACCATCGAATGTTCTCCAACCGAATTCCGCTAACTTGACGCTCACATGTAACGTGAAGTACCATAGACGGGGGTGAAAGAAATTAGCATACACCTTCAAACAACTGCTACTTTAACACACAAGAGAGCCACAAACACATACAAAGAGATGTTAAAAACAATACTCACGGGTAGATATTATCTCTGCATTGAAGGAACGAATGTTAAAACGGGAAAATGTGGAAATGTACGACAAGGAAGAGGCATTTAAAAACAATACTCACGGGTAGATATTATCTCTGCACTGAAGGAACGAATGTTAAAAAGGGAAAATGTGGAAATAAATGTACTACAAGGAAGCGGCATCGTCTTCTTCTTGCTGTTAATTAAGATGCATCGCTTTCAGTTGACCTCAGTGCTGCCTGTTGTGGCATAAGATGGTACTACACTATTGGCGCGTCACCGTAAATTCAGGCCACGTAATATATATAGTTCAGTGTTCTGTTTTATGAAAGGCTACAGGCTAATTCTACCTTTTGCCACTTTGTGGATGAGCATTTAATTTCATCTGTCAGGAAACATCACTGGCTTAGACAGATGGACAAAGATAGATTGCGAGTAGTGCGAAAATAATTTCAGACTTATTTGAATGAAATTCCCAACGCATACCTGATGATCACGCACGTCACACTTACTCACTCATTATGAATCACTGCCTGAATGTAGTGATAACAAATTAGAATCCAACTTACTGTCGTTGCAGATGCTCGAAGTCGGATGAGTGAGAGTCAAGCTGCAGGATCCGCAGAACCACTGAGTCATTCGGGGAGCCCCAATCCCAAATGTAATCATTACTTAGTATGCAAACAAGCCAGTCACACAACAGTCAAGGACGGACACTTGCAGCTGACCATGTGACTTGGATGCAAACAACAGGACATAAGCTTTACTTATTGCATTTGATGATATGGCAATTTCAACATGCATGCATGCAAGCATGGTTGTTTGTCACAATGTGCCCTGTGATTGGCTGAGACTCACGCTCACCCTCGATCTATATGAGAACAAGTGCCACAGAAAATGGATAGATGTTTTGGGATGAGTTTCACTAAAAGTCCCTTTGTGTTTGCGCTTACCTGAAGTTATGAGTGTACATGTGTGTCGAGGTCAGAAGTTTAGTGGTCATTCAACCAGGGCCGAGTCATTCACACTAATCGGGAATACATTCGATGTGCAGTGTGAAGTACAATTTTTAGCAGATGGCTAACATGATGAGCTATTCCATTATGTATGATGAGTGCCAGTTGGCTTTAGGCACTTTCTGAAAAATTAATGTAAGCCCACTCCTACTACCAGAACCTTGGAAGGGAGATAAAACTATTCTGGTCAAACCCTCCCTGAGAAAAAAAAAAAAAACGCTGTAGTGTGAAGTACAGAATTTATTTCTTGTTTCTTCTGTTCTTTCATTGTACCCATGTTAATTGTTGATAAACACTGTAAGTGTGAGTGTAGGGTGTACCTTGAGAGACCTTGATGGAATGAGGACAGGAGCTATAGAAAATGGATCCATGTGTAATTTTATTGGAGCATTTGAACAAAAAAAAAAAAATTGCTTGAGTTTTCATTAAAAAGGCAACTGTCAAATGTGACCAAAAAAAAAAAAACGTAACTGGTGTCCCAATATTAATGTGCAATTTCGGTCTGTAAACTATTTCCAGACAAGCCCGTGTTGATGTGATAATACTACACGCTCAGGAAAAAAAAAATACAATCCATGTGTACTAAAGCTTCTAAGATATGTTACACAAATAGTCCTCTTCATTTGATGCACGCACCCCTTTGCACTTCAAACACAAATGTGACAGTTCGTTTTTGTTTCTAATGTCGATTTGACAAATTGCCATCATGTAAAAGATTGTGCTCTTGTTCCTTGTTTTTTTTTTTTTAAAAAAGTTCAGAGTAAAACTAATTTCCTGAAGAGTAACACGTGTTGGCACGCTGCTGTCAATCATCCGCAAGGAAGAATCCCTTTGCTGAGTCAGGGTTAACTGGAGAAGAAATAGAGAAGAAATAAAAAATTAAAATAAATAAATAAATAAATAAAAGAAAAAAACACACACACACACACACACACACACGCACACACACACACACACACACACACACACACACACACACACATGCTGCCAATGGCACACGCCCACACAACAAGCATAAATAAATAAATCAATAAATAAACAAACAAAATAAAATAAAATAAAAATAAAATAATTGTCCACTTGGAGAAATATAACACTTCATATCAAATAGACGCATCCCCGTTTCCCTCCAAGAAAAAAAACAAAAAAAACAAAAAAAACAAATGAATTAGTACCAAGCTGTGGAAAACAAATTAAAAGCCCGTTCTGGAAATGGTTATTTGTAACTCTTCTGAATTCACTGCAAGTGTCAGGCCACACACAAAGAACGTGCTTGTAATCCAGATGCAACCGTGCAGAGGCCAAGTTACCCTCCGTCCCCCCTTTGTCACTTCTTTCAGAGGAAAATATCATCATCACTGTCGGTGTCGTCCAACGACCACCTCAAGTCTTTCAGGCCAAAATCAAGCAATCTGAAACGGTAAGTCGGAGGTTCAACTAAGGGCCGTTAGCGAGCGGCGACAATACAGTAAATCGGGGGGGGGGGGTGCAGAGCTGTGAGTTGAACGATGAAGGGGTTAAATCGGTGTTGCAGCATGCGGGCCGGCAGGAGGGGGCTCCTGGGGGGGTGCATGGTAGCTCAGCTACTTACTGTCTCCCAAACATGGGAAACATTAGAATGATGTGTGAAGAGGTCAGTGGAGGATGATGCGTAGCATGGGGCCGCTGCTGAGGGGCGAGAGCCAGTTAGCGTGGGGCGAACAGTAAAAAATAAAAACAGACTGCTGACAGACTGTACGGTTGCCAATCGGCTTCATGTAAAATATCCGTTGCTCTAAAGCACAACGCTTGCTCCCGTTCAGGTGGGCATTTGTGAGCATACAGAACACATACGAACATTAATACGGTGAAGCCCATTCATTTCACGATTCAACATTTGCTATAATTCACCTAATCTTGCCTGTCCATTAATTTTTATGCTGTCTCTGTAAAGCCCGAAGACACTAAAGCGCCACGTAAGAAGAGTAGCTAGCACGAGCCACTGGCTAATAGCCAGCTAGCTTGACAGCTAACAGTAGCATGATTCCAGTCGACGTCAGACAGGCAGGTGAGCCTCCGTGGGTTTGACGTCGGAAAAAGCAGACTGGTAAACTTTTCTCGACGATGCAGTGGACATTGCGGTGCAAATTTTTGCTATTTAACGTAACTCCGATGAATAGCGGGGGTTCACTGTAATAGTGACCAAAAAATTAAATAACAGGTATTGAAGTAAAGCGGCAACATAACCGCAATTTGGATGCTAATCATCACGACTGCAGTAGCCAAGTCAAAATAACTACAAATATTTGGATGATAAACACTTACAGGCAACAAAATATGAAATATAGCAGTAACTGAGTGTGCCTTTTTGTGTCGGTCATGACGTACTCTTACGCTGCTACATGCCATTCGTAACCTGGAAATGTCTTATGTTGACATCATTGTAAACCGAGGATCCCCCACCCCCGCCGTCGCGATAATAATAAACTGTCATTTACAAAGACTACAAGGTGTCAGGACAGTGTCGGAACCCTTTACCTGGCTTTCCCGGATGGCTGCTGGTGTCTGGAGGACGAGACTCTGATCGCCCCGCGATGCGGCGAAATCTGCGGCGAGCCCCTGGGTGACGGGCGGGGCGAAGCGCGGGGGGAAGGTCGGGGCGGTGCCTCGGGTAGGTGGGCCGGAACGGCGGACTGCGGGTGTTTCCTGGGGATGCGCTTGAGGAGGTGGCTAACCCATCGCTGCTGCTCCTCCCGGCTGCCGGTCAGCAAGAGCAGCTCTTTGGCGGTGGACATGTCGTAGTTCACTGTTCACGGACAAGAAACTTATATTGAATACGTGTCAAAATGAACAAAGTGAAATAAATGGGTTACGTCCCCCCCAGCCACCCCATTTTTTCCGCGATCGACTGGTTGGACGCCCCTGGATTAAGTTCTACACTGACCTTTGCAGGGCACAATGACCTCCTCCTTCCTGTCCAGGTGGTCCTTGTGACACTTGACATGGCAGCGGCGGCACTCGAGGGCCGGCGGCGGCTTAAAGACGTGCCACAGCGGCCGAGTGCACGCCTCGCAGCTCGAGGGGAAGTGATAGAGCGTGAGGATGAACTCGTGGCCCTTGTGGCTGATGTGGGAGGGGCGCTCGCCGAAGGGCGTGGTCTCCATGACGACCTCCTGATCACGCTTGCTCTCGCCCTCGTTGGCGTACAGGATCTGGAAGGAGTTTCGGGGTTTCTTTGTTTTAATAAGTTATTTGATTCATTATGCTTGAATCGCGTGATTAATTGGTTATCGGTCTTTTAATCCGCCCAATATCAGAATCGGCCGGCCTCAAACACGTTTGAAAACAACATTGCAGTAAGCATAGCTGGCCACTAGTGGGCAATGTAACTTTGTAATGAATTTAACTGGGTTTAAAATTTGATGTACAGTAATCCTCCACATTGTCACGGTTCACACGTTTCATTTTGCTGGCTGTGAGGTGCGACAGGAGGAGAAAAAAAAAAAGTTTCATTTATATTGTATGATCGCCTTACCTGAAATATCCGTGGGATTTCTACAGCGTCTGCACGGTACACGTCAGTCTGAGTGACAGGTCGCACATGAAAGAGCTTGCTGCAGCAGGCAAGAAGAGACAATAGTTGAAAATAAACAAATGATGAATGTGGTCACAGTACACCACTTGTAGGGATTTTTTTTTTTTTTTGGCAAGTTAAAACTTTAAGATGGACCTGAAATTCGTCAAAGGCCAAAAAATAAAATGTATTGATTTTAAATGATTTCTTGTTGCTCTGCGACGGCAAATGTCCGATCGGGAGTTAGACATTGTGGTCATGTTCAAGCTATGAATCATCATCTTTTTCGGGATTCTCGTCTCTATTTCGGAGCGAGAACGTCATTAAAGTTGAATGATTCCTGGCCCCGGCGTGTTGGAGGTGGCTCGGGGCAAATCATTTAGCTCAGTCGGAAGGTGTTGTTAAAAAAAAAAAAAAACTATCGTGACAATGTTCAGTCTATCCTCAAATTGAAAATCAGGATCATCTGTTTGTTCCAATACACTTTTGGGGGGGGAAATCAGAAAAAAAATAAAATAAAATTCCACGATATCCTGTTGTAAGGATGATTTTGACTAATATGGGTGTCGATTCGTGATTTAAAAGTAGAAATTGAAGCAGACAGACTCACTCTATGTCCAAGATCATGAAAGGGTTGGCCTGTTCTCGGTCCTGCTCGCTATTGTAGAACAGAATCTTTTTACTGCTCACCACAACAAACTGTTGAAAGGAAACAAGGGTCAAATTTGGTAAAAAAAATGAAATATTTAAAAAAAAAAAAAAAAAAGGAAATTATTCGACGTGATGATGTTACCTTTTTGTCCCAGCCGAAACGCTTTGTGTGCTTGGTTGGGAGTGAAAGCCAGCCCTCGAGTCTGGAATCTAAAACGACACAAACATTTATTTATTTCATGAGGAATTTTATTTGAATACATTAAATCTCCCTCATATGTCCGTGTGTACCTAGAACCCCACACCCCCCCCCCACTATGTATTGTACATAACAAAACCACGTGTCTCTTTTGAAGTCAGAAGTCAGGCTGTGATTATGCATCAGTGGACATCAAGGATATTAAGACACAGCAGAACCCGAGTAAACAGAGTCGAGGGATTAGCTGACATCATGCTGAGCTCAACCGTGGTCAGATTTTTTTTTTTTTTTCCATGCACAGACTGAGACCAAGTTGGGTAAAAAGTTAGTCTCGAGCCCTGATGTCTTTCAATTAGCGGTAGTAGTTTGAAGCTTCAAGCCTTTCTTTAGTTTTCACCGCCATGCAGGGGGAGATACCTGCAAGATCAGGCTCAGGCTCAGGCTCAGGCTGCTGATAGGTGAGAGCCAGGGGACGCCGGCCCCGCTCCTCACTTTCAACTTTTTCTTCATCCTCCGAGTCAGAGTCAAAGAGAGAGTGCGCCGAACGGAGGTCGGGCCGGGTGTCCACGCGCACTGATTTGTGTGTGCGCTCGTAGGTGAAGGACATTGATTCGGAGGTGTGTGAGTGAGTAATGCGCACTGCGCCCAAAGGGGGAAGAGGGGGGCCGAGGGGTGCGGAAAAGTGGGGGAAGAAAAAGGTCAGAAACACCGCAGATGATGGTGCAGAATATTAAGTAAAAAGGAGATGAGACGGAAGACTTTCAAGAAGTGACGGACACTAATTGTATATGCTTCAAATGGAAGGGCTCGTCGTTACCTGGGTAGCCTTCGCCCACGTCCAGGTCGCTGCTGATGCTGGTGGTGTCCAAAGAGTGAACGCTCAGGGAGGTGAGCTGGCACCGGAGCTGCTCGATGTCGCTGTCCTTGCTGGCTAATGTCATCTGAAGCTCCTGACGCACTTGGTTCTCCTCTGCTATCACCTGTGACACAAAAAAACAAAAAACAAAAAAAAACGTGCAAGGATGAAATTTGCTTTCGCAGTCGCCAGATGAAATACCCGCCGCTCTTGAAAGGAATGGGAATGCCGTTAATCTGTTCCAGCCTCCCTAAAATACCGCAATAATTGCTTTTGTGATGTTTTTTTAAAGCACCCTAGAAACATGATCAACACATAACATAAATAAATAGAATGTAAACAATGAAACGGTGATGGTATGACTTCTTCACAACTTTTCATGAAGCTGCAGTAATGGTCAATCTTCGCAGATGATAAGGAATATATGCATGCGAGGATTGTTATATGTCTACAAACAACAGCTTTAATTCTTTTTTTTTTTTTTTTTTTTTAAGAAGGACTGTTAATGATCTGCTTAGCTACTATTTGGTGTGAGGTGAGTTGAGTTCACTGTCACCACAACACAGTAAAAAATTCTGGTCACTCCGATCTCAAGGGACCACTCTTCATGTATTAGGATGCATATCGAGCCTCGGAGTCATCGTGGGCGTACTCACCGCCTGCATTTCCGACAGCTCTCGCTGGTATTTGATAATGGTGCTGTTGAGTTTGTCCTTCTCCGATCGCAGCTCCAGTTGGAGCTTCCTGTTCTCCTTCTCCTTCTTGTGCACTTCCGTGTCGGTGCCTCGATGGCCTCCCCTCGCCGGCTCCCTCCGGTTCATCACCTCGGCGAGCTTGTTGATTGCCTGCGTGACGGGCCACACGATTTGGTGCCGTGAGTAACGTCCAGAGTGAAATCACAAGCCCGCGTGGCGCACGAGACACACCTGAATTTTGAGCGTCCTTTCAGTCTGCAGCTGCTTTTCAAAGGCCACAATGAGAGTGCTCATGTTCTGCTCCTCATCCTTTGCGTCCTGGAGCTCTGCGGTACATCAACGGTCGAAGTTGATTTGCAGAATAGATGGCAAAGCATTTTTTTTTTTCCTGGAGCTCTCACGTTGCTGCAGTTCTTTCAGCTGGTTGTTGAGCTCCTCCTTCTCGCTGGCGAGGTTGGCCACATCCACGGTCAGCGTGCGATTGGACTCTTCCAGCTGGGAATGAGACAAATCGGCTCGAACAAGTGTTCTTGAATTACTGGCCACAAATCGCAGGCCATAAATCGTAGGCCATAAATCGCACTTTGGTCAAACCCGTTTTTTTTTGTTTTGTTTTTAACATGCTCTATATATACATTTGGATGAGATTGGGGGATTCGTAGTATATGTATTTATCTACTACTATTACAAAATATTTTAGCATTAAAAGAAAAGTAAGATTTTTATCGGGTGGGGGAGCTGAATTAAAACTGATCAGACCGTTGGTTGAGATTTAGTGACACCTAGTGAAATGGCAGCAGAATGCAGCCAACTGTTGATCCCGGGTGGTAATTTATATAACCCCACTGACAATTTAACCCAAATCTAAATTGGAAATCTTTTTGGTGGCGCCTCACCGAGCTGATGGTGGCCTCCTTGTCGCCGAGCTCCTGTTTGTGTCTGGCCATCATGTCTTTGATCTCCAGCTCCTTCATGATCTTCTCCTTCTCCAGATCCGAGTACTGCTCCTCGGCGATGGAGCGCGCCAACTGCTCAGAGTCGGCCTTGGTCAGGCTGACTTCCAGCTGGGAAGTGAGCGATTCCCTGTGGTCAGGAAGAGGGGGGGGGGAGGCGGAACTCATCAATGAAAGTGGTAGGGGGGGAAAAAACCCATATGATTCTCTAACATCTGTTCTAATTCAGCATCAGCTTGAAAGGAACAACAACTCCCCTTTTTTTTAAAAATTGGAAATAAATTCAGGCGTCAAGGAGTTTTAATTTACCAACCATGTTTGTTGTCTTCTGTTTAAAAGGAAAAATACCGTCCATTCTTGTCTTTTGGGGTGAGAATATGATCGGGGAAGTTTCATTTTTTAGATGAGTCTCTTAGTTACGATGCCTATTTGCAGTAATAAGGCTGCTCTTTACGCCGCCAAGTGGCATAAAAGTAAATTGCACGAGAGTGGAAGCCCCACGGCATAAAAAAAACCTTGGTCCTCCTTTATGCCACTTGAATATTCATACGGTGCGTTACGCTTGCGCCATTACCTCTCCTCCTGGTACTCATCCAGACGCTGCTGAGCCTCTTTGTACAAGGTGCTCCTCTCATCGCACTCCTCCTTCAACTCGCGGATCTGCGTCTTGTAAAGGGTCTAACACAGAAGCAGGTTTTCCTATTCATTTCAGATCACAAAACTCGCACAGGGGTTAGCTAACTAAGCAATGCCAACTGTCAAATGCGGTGGAAAAATTCCTGAGAGCGCGCGCACAGAAAAAGGGGGAAGAAGTTCTACCGTGAAATATTGTTCCGCCTCCAGCTGGTCCTTTAAATCTTTCAGCAGGCCTTCCGACTCTTGCTTCTCCCTGCAACGGCACCATCAATCTGTCACGCCCACAACGGTTTCTTTCAATCAACATATGTGCTTTCGATCATGCACGCTCGTGTGCGGGGCGAGGGGGGGGTCTGACCTGCGCAGCTCTTGGTTTTGTTTCTCCAGGACCTGCTTCATCTCCAGCAGTTGGTTGAGCTCCTGCTTGAGCTGCTTCTCAGAGGTGTGCAGGACGGTCACCTGCTGTTTCTCCATTTTCAGGTCACTCTGGGCCAGGCTGCGCTTGTGAACCTCCTGCTCCAAACGCAGGCTCAGGTTCTTTACCTGCGTGAGGAGAGTGCCCTTATGGTGAATCACCCACTCGACTTTTAGGAATTTTACAGACGATGCTTTGTCATTTAATTAAAACAAGGGACAGGGGTGAAGCGCCGGCGTGAAGAAATCACCTACAGTTTCAACTATAAAGTGTAAAATCACTTGGGGTGTTCGATAGCACTGCAAATATTCTTTCTTTGAATACTCGCTGATACAGAGTACCGATACTTTTGATTCATTTTATATATATCAACTTTCATTTAAACACAACAACAAAAATCTGTGAACAAAGACCTTTTTAAGATGCTTTCACAGTACATTTCCACTAAAGTCGACACCGGGGGTGACGAGAAACGCCACGGCCAGTCGAGTGGAAGTCTGCCGTCAGGACAATGAATACATCGATATTATTCCAAATCAATATGAATCGGTGAAGAAATGTGGGAGGGGCAGGTTAAGCAGGAAAATGTCGGCATTCATTTGGGAATGTTTACTTTGAACATGTGGAATAATGAAAAATGTGTGAATTTGAACAAAACCCCCCCACCCCAAAAAAAAAAAAAAAAAAGTATCACTTCATCTCCCTACGCGACCCAATAACTTTGTGATAAGTCGTATAGCACCAAGCTCACATCTTCGGAAACTCTCTCCTTCAGAGAGTGCCCTTATGGTGAATCACCCACTCGACTTTTAGGAATTTTACAGACGATGCTTTGTCATTTAATTAAAACAAGGGACAGGGGTGAAGCGCCGGCGTGAAGAAATCACCTACAGTTTCAACTATAAAGTGTAAAATCACTTGGGGTGTTCGATAGCACTGCAAATATTCTTTCTTTGAATACTCGCTGATACAGAGTACCGATACTTTTGATTCATTTTATATATATCAACTTTCATTTAAACACAACAACAAAAATCTGTGAACAAAGACCTTTTTGACGCAGATGATGATTCGCCGATGTGTCAAACTGCCATAGAATGGCACAAATGAGTGCTTAATCAAAATCTGATTTATTTTTATTTTTTGCCTTAACTATCGGTGTCTGGTATCGACAATACCGATTCCGATACCTGGTATTGATACTCGCCCATTCCTAAACATTTGGTTTAAAATATTACCATTAAGAATAAATGCAATATTGATGAAGTGCACGCGTACATGCGGCGAAGACTCTCCATCCACAAAAAAAAAAAAAAAAAAGTATCACTTCATCTCCCTACGCGACCCAATAACCTTGTGATGAGTCATATAGCACCAAGCTCACATCTTCAGAAACTCTCTCCTTCAGCGCCTGCAGCTCGTCCAGTTTGTGCTGCGCCTGTTTGTAATCGCAGTCGAGCATGGAGTGATCTTTCTTCAGCTGCAGCAGCTTGGCTTCCAGCTCCTGCTTCAGAGTGCGCTCCTCCTGAAGGCTGCGCTCCATCTCTGAATGACAAAACAAACAATTTGGATGAAAAATAATTTTAAAGCAGGGCAAAGATTGTTGTCAAGATAAATTCAGAATCATTTTCAGGCAACGTTACAAGGAATGCCTTAAAAGCAATTTTGTTTTGACCCAACCGTTTACTCACCTTTTAAGGTCGCAGATTTCGCCACCTCTATCGACTGATAAATTTGGTTTTCATCCGCCAACTTGGCCTTGGTAGCTTTGTGTTCGCCTTCCTCCTGCTCCAGACTCTGTTGGAGGGACTTCAACTTGAACGTCAGCTCGATCTCTTGGTTGCTCTTTTCCTAAATGGTCAGAGTGACAGTTTACAGGTTAAAACTTTTTTAAGTTTGCGTACTATTTCCCTCAAACCATCAATACCCAAGTTCGGTAAGTCCGGTAGTTAAAACGATAAGAAGCCAACCTTCTCAAGGTTATTGAGCTTCTCCTGCAGTTGGTTCTTTTCAGTCTGGAAGTTGGATAAACATGACTTCATTTCTTTCCTCCACATTGGGCCCCAAAATAAATAATATATTTTTCACTTGTACCTATCTCCGCCCATGTGACTTTTTTTTAACCAATAAGAGAGGAAAAATGGAGTCAACGCGCAAACAGGCCACACTTTGTTCTTCAATGTCTCCAATGAGCGTTCAAAATCAAGTTTTCCAAACTGCATCACGCAAGAGGTTCTGGTGCCGCCTCAAGTTTTGGCTTCCGTGGCCCTTGCTGCAAGAAAGATGTTTCCACCCACCGATGACCGGAAAATTTCCAAAGATTTACTCCAAATAAATAATTGACTTCTTATTTGCCTGTCACAGCTCCTAGTTGCACATGAGGCGGAATTTATCACCGCAGAAGATGTAAACATAAACTTCAGTATATTTAAAAAAAAAAAAAAAAAAAAAATCATGACGTGATCCATTAAGTATTTTGGGTCATTTGATTAAGATTCAGATTATTAAAAATGGCAACATTTGTGTGCACAAAGCCCCGACATTAAGCAAACGGCTCACCCTGGAGGTCGGCGATAACATCCGTCTTGATGCTGCGCTCCCTCCTCTCAGCCTCCAGCTCGGCCCGCAGTGCCGTCAGCTGTTTCTCCAACTCCGTCTTGGCCTCCTCCAGCTGCTTGCACTTCTCGTGCGCTTCCCTGAGGCTCAACTCCAGGCCCTGGGTCTGTTTCTGCATCTCCGCCTGGTTCTTCTTTAGCTTCGTCGCTGTCTCCTGCTCCGCCTGAAGTGTCCCGGCCGCCTCCTCCAGCTGCCGATGAGAAGGAAGTGATGTGAAGTATTAACATAAATTATAATAATTAGTATAATTATTAGAACCTCTTCATCAATTTAAGTTGCATCCTTATAGTCACGTTTTGTTTTTTTTTGGTACCTCTTCTAAAATGCCGTTGCATGTCGAAGTGAGACATCTCGACTAAGAGACAATCTTTGTATGTCAGGGAGGAGCCAAGTTTAGTTTCGGTTATTAATGGCAGTTCCGAAAAGTCTTCGCCAAATGTACGCATGTACCGTTGGGGCTTTAGAACTTTTTTTTTTGTGTTGTGGTGCGTACTGAAGTAGAGGAATAAGTTTATCTCATATTCTTCGAAAACGCTCAGGGGTGAGCACTTTCTGACATCACCCTTAGTCCTCTTTCCCTCACTTGTTTCTGCAGCTGGATGTTCTTCTCACTGGAGATCTGTGAATTGTGGTTCTTCTTCTTGAGATCCTCGAATTGGTCCTTCAGGTTATTCACTACCGTGGAAATGACAGAAGTACGAGATCGATGAAGCAAAAGGTTTCATGTGACGTCATCGGTTTAAAAAGGAGCAGTGGAACACACAGAATGACGCTCGGTCCCAGTGAAATATGGCTGCTCACATTCGTTCTCCAGGCCGCGTTTCCTGTCCGTCTCAATCTCGACTTTGCGCTGGTTCTCGGTACTCTGGTGCTGCAGCAGCGCGTGCTCGCGCTCCATCTGCCTCAACGAGGCCTCCACGCGCTGTCTGCTGTTCATCTAATCAGAGAGACAAGAACACAATACACTCAGGCTAAGCGGGGTGGGGGGTGGGGGGCAAACTGTTGCCGAGCTGCAATGGCATCCATCCTCACCTCCTTGTCTAATTCCTTGACTAACTTGTCTAAACGATTGGTGGCATTTCTGTGGAGACAAAGCAGTTGTCATGACAGAATATTGAGTCCAAAAGTTTCACGTCATTTTTTTTTTTCTTTACGGAGTTCCGCTCGTACCGAAACTTGTGCTCCAGGTCGTCTTTGGCCTGCATTTCATGGTCGAGCTGCTCCTCCAGTTCATTCAGTTTTTTCTGCAGTTGCTAACAAACACCAAAGGACATTGCCACTACCTTGTCTCTATGAATTCTGTTTCACACTTGATGCGAACAAATGCTTACTTCTTTCTTGTTGTCAGAGCGCTCTTGCTTTTCCTCTCCTTTTTCCTTTTTGTTCTCCGAATCTTGCGCTGAGCTGTTTTTCTTTCCCTTCAGCAGCCTGAGAGTCAGAGAAAGAGAAGAAAGTCAAGATTCAGGAACAGTTTGTAGTTTTTGCATGTATATAAAACAACCACGTTTTTATCCTGAGGACTCTGAGAACTTCGCGCGTCTGGATTTGTTTGGATTGTGATGATCATCAGAGATGTTCCATCGTTAGCGCCGATATCTGCAAATCATTACGTGACCCCCTCAACATGGTTTTTCATGATAAACAAGGAATCGAAAGCCATTTTAGCAAGATGGGAAAATGGCTTAGGGAATATTTTCACCTGCATCCGCAGATCCTTTAGACGAGACAGCTGACGCTTATGTAAAAAAAAAAAAAAAAAAAAAGAAAAGAAAAAAAACCCTCAAGCACTCTGACAGCTTCAAACCCAAAATGGATTTTTTTTCCTGCATGCATGCATGCATGCACGAGAGCATGCAGGCTTAGGGAGCTTATGATGAGAGACGAGGGCAGTTTTGGGCCGGCTGTCAGAACAAGGCAGCACAGTGTGAAGACCGAACAAGCGTACAGTGTGTGAAATCTGGTAGGCTCTATTTAAAAAAAAAAAAAAAAAAAAGCAGCTGCCGTGGCCTCTGTTTCCTGCGTCAGAGGCCTGCATTGCCTTTGCTACACGTGAGACTCATTAAAAAAAAATAATAATAATTAATTAGCTGTCAGGATAAAAGAAAGAAAGAAGACTTACTGGTCTTCCTTGAAGTAGGTGAAGCCGACAAACGGCAGCTGGTTGCCCACAAAGGCTTTCGGCGGAGGGAAGGTCTCGGCGGCTCCTTTATCATCCTCAAAGTCGTCAAAGTTGCTGGTGTCGATGTCGCTGTTCAGCTCAGGTACGACGGGAGCGACGGCTGTTGAGAGACATTGAAACACGTTGAAGGCCTTCGAAAGTGCCCTTCACAAGTGGAGCGGGCTTTTGGCTGCAATGCTCATAGTAAAAAAAAAAAAAAAAAAAAAAGGAAAAAGAGAGAGAGAGAGAGAGAGAGAGACTTGGGCATGGCTATCGTGACCTCAGACCACTGCTCCTTTTTTCACGCACAGTGCTCACTTTGTGCGCGCACGCACGCACACGCACACATACACAGCGGCTTCCATAAATATAGCCTTTAACGCTGCTCTCTTCTCAGGGACGCACATTAAAAAAAAAAAAGAAGAAAAAATCCTGTCAAAAGATGACACATAAAGGGCAATAGGTGAAGTAAGGCCCTCTATCTTGGCTTGAAAGAAAATGATCACTTCCATTTGTAAGCTTGTTCTCCAGCACGTGTGCATTCTTAACACTTTTAAGAAAACGTGCATCAACTTTAAGTGTTCTTCCTTGACTCAAGCCAAAAGAGCTTTTGAATAATCCTAAATGTTAAGAATCACCTACGAAATTGAATTGTGCCTGTGGCGATCACTCAGCAGTGAACAAAATGTCATCCAAATCGGTTTCGGAATCTTCTTGGCAGAACATTTAAGAAGAAAAAAAAAATAAAAATAAAGTGACAAGGGCTCTTCCTCGCAATCTTAATTCATCCTCATGAAAGTCGAGCGCGGGGAATTGAAGCAAATCGGGATAAAAAAAGCCAAAACGCGGTGGCCGTTGCGGCTCCGTTTCCCAGAATGCACCCCGATAGAGGGTGGCTAATGACAGGCAGCGGAGGCCACAGTGACAGCGAGGGAGCGGGCGCAAACCCCGCTACCGGGGCATCCCTTCTCATTAGGCCCCGCCGCACGGCCGGCCCCACCCGCCCCTATGAGGACGGTGCCTCTGCCAGCCACGTCCTTCCACTCACCCGCTGGGACCAAGTCTTCGCTCGAACTTACGAGGCGCGCGGCGGTGGAGGGGGATTGTTTTTTATTTTTAAACTGGAGGTTGTTTTTTTTGTGTGCGGCGCGGCGGGGGGTTCACCCTGCAGACTTGCCAGATTCTGATCACAAGTCATAATGTGTTGTCAAAATGAAAGCCAGGTGGAGCTCAAGTGGGCTGTGTGTTGTATTAGTCACAAAGCCGAGGCTCCCTTCATACTTTCTAGTCCAATTATGAACGCTTCACAAGTTATGTTGGAGTTATTCCAAATGTACGGTCAATATTTTTTTGGAGGATGGAGGATGCCCTTAAAAAAAAATAAACATTTACGCTACTTACATTTTTAATTTTATTTTTTTTACATTTAACTAAACGGACGACTGAAGCTATAAAGTCGCCCAAGCTTGATTTCTTTTTATTGTACTGCCGCCCGCTTCTTAAAAGGTGCAATTTCTACGGCTTTGCAGGGTTATTTTTATCGTGCTCTTACTGCGATTAAACCCAAAACAAAACCGCGCGGTGCAAATGTGTCACGTGATCATCCCATGCTTGATAAAAGCCAGACCAAAATGACCTAATACTTGGCTCACACTTATCGGGGCTGCTTCAGAGATTTGCCACAACCTTTTTTTGCTTTGATTGCCGTGACTCTCCAAAGTATTCTAGTAAATTATTATTCCACTATAGACATCACAAACAGCAGATTTGCGGAGTTTTTCCTGCCTGCAGGTCTTCTGCATCGCCTCTTGAAGGATGAGCACATGGAAAGCATGTGTGCCAAACATACAAGGCATGGAAGTCCTCCGTCAACTACGGCCGGGGTCCCGTCACACCAAAATGCTCAAAACAAGAAGCAGGAACGAGCAAGCGGAAGGAAGAGAAGATTCCAAAACAGAAACTTACTCGCTCGGATGTTGTCAAAGGTCCACTGATCGCTCTTGAAGAAAGGATGGCTTTTGATCTCCTCCACTCCGGTGCGGCCCAGACGAACCTCCCTGCACACAGCGGGGGGCGTAAAACAATCGGAATGAAAACACCTCCCACCGTCAGCATCAACATCGCAGTCGCAACTGACCACTAGGCACGAACCACAGAGACCAGCATGGACAACCGCATGACCGCCGGTGGACGCGCAGCAGAACCTCCTGGGACTGCCCGAGATACTCAATTAACATTCACAGACTGAAGCGTCCCTCCCCCTTGCACCTCTCTGAAATGCAATCTACGCTCCCCCCCGCCCCCCCTTCTTCCACTGCTGGGTGCCTGAGAGGCGCGGCTGCTTGGCCTTGCCACGTGTGGGACATTCCAAACTCAGCCAAAAGGAAGAAAATGGAAGGGCGGGGAGAGGGAAAGGGAAAGGCAGCAGAGTGGGCTTAAAACTCCCGCTAACATATTTTTAAAAGATCTACGCGAGTGTCCCCAAATGTTTTTAAACGCAATGGTCAACATTCTGTCATTGGAGAAAATGGCGGTATGAAAGCAAAAAAAAAAAACGCAATGGTGAACATTCTGTCATTGGAGAAAAAGGGTGGTATGAAAGCAGAGGAGATTGGTGATAACGGGAGGATCCTGGCGTGGGGCGAGCTAAATGTTTCACCAGACAGAGCGGTGAGTGAGAAGGTAAATAAACAGGAGGGAAGAAAAGTGAAAGGCTTCTCTGTATTGAGGTAGAAAGGGTCGTGTCTGAGTCCTCTCAGGTGGGGGGTGGGGGGGGGGCAGGACTTGTAAATGTAAATAGGAAGCTGTGTCTTCTTCAGGGTCACTTAACTTTTATACCCTAACACTTTCCTTTCCGCAAAAAGCATTCTTCCCTGTTTGTAAAATGTTTTGAATGACTCACAGGGTTGAAAACCATTTCAGGTGGCAAGAATGTCATGAAAAGTCTTTTCATGACATTTTCGAAATACAATTTTGAGCTTTCCGAAAGCTTACGGCGACGAATGATTAAGTTCGCTGGTTCGTTGGTCGCTTTCGCAAGCCTCGACATAATTTGCGGCGCGGTTTTGCAAATCCGTCATTTAATTCGAGGAGCAATAATATTTGTGAAGCTATTTTTTTTTTTTGCAGGTTAATATCATAAAAAAAAAAAAGAAAATATATGGTGTCACTTCAAAGGGGTGTGAGGGTCAAGACGAGTACAAACCTGTCTGTTAGAAAGGCACAGATGAGGTTTTTGGCCTCCTGGGACATTTCCACATCATCTGGGAAGATGAGGGAACTTTTGTGGTTCATGATCTTTCCGTACGTTCCCACCAGGGAATCGGCGTAGAAAGGCGTTTCCCCTGTGCGACAAGTCATTTCACATATTCGTAACCGAATAGTAATCTGACAAAACAGAAAATGATCTCTTATCGTGGTCCAAATGTTGTGCTTGCTGGGTGCATTAGCACATTACATCCACAAGAGGTCACTCACCCACTAACAGCTCGTATAGAAAGACCCCGACAGCCCACCAGTCGCACTCCCGCCCGTAGTGACCCTCGCTTCCCTGAGACTGCAGCACCTCGGGGGAGATGTAGTCGGGCGTGCCCACGGCGGTGTCACAGTGCACCATGCCTGTCTTTTGGACGCACAGAAACACCTTGTCGATGGTTGTGCACTCTAAACGCCAGATGGGGCAATTTAGCTAGAAAAGAGTCAACCGGGATTGAGAGCAAGGTCCAAAGTGCCCAGACGCCAACTTACAGAATCCATCTTCATGCAGGTGCCGAAATCGGCCAGCTTGAGGTGCCCGTGCTGGTCGAGGAGCATGTTGTCCGGTTTGATGTCGCGGTGGATGAAGCCCATGGTGTGGATGGCGTCCAGGGCCAGCACTGCCTCGGCCGTGTAGAAGCGAGCCCACTTCTCCGGGATGTCGTAGTTCAAGGTGAGCGTGACCATGTCGCCGCCCGCCATGAACTCCATCACCATGTACAGGTGGCGGTCGTCTTGGAAGGCGCAGCACAACTATAGAGCGCACACATACGCCAGTGAACATCAGACACTTACTGAGAATGTCGACAGAGGCGCCAATGATTGAACCGTACAAGTTCGTGCTGACCACAAACACTACCGTTAAGTGTTTTTTTTAAATGATATTGTAGCTAGTTGTCTGGTTAAAAATGTGTTGCTAAAATTTATAATAACTTTTCGGGTATCATTTTTCTGCGATTGGCTGGCAACCGGTTCAGGGTGTCCCCTGCCTACTGCCGGAAGACAGCTGGGATAGACTCCAGCCCCCGCGATCCTTGTGAGGATGAAGAGGTTCAGAAAATGGATGGATGGACGTATCATTTTTGTACAGTTTTTAAATTTTTTTTTTACAGCTTCAAGAATAAAACTAGTATATATTTTAAAAATAATTTCTGACATTAAATTCTCTTACCTTTGTATTTTTTTTTTTTTTACATTTTTAACTTATGTAAATGATCAATGTCACGCGATGATGAGGGGGAATAAATATGTGGTTAAAAACATGAAACAGTTGTCCAGTTGAGTGTCAAAAAAGTTGCGCATCAAGCAGAAAACCAGAATTAAAAAGGACTTCAATGACTTGAAGGTGAGCTTGGTCATAAAATCCGCAGGTAAGTAAATTATAATGCGACGTGTCGCTTTCTTGTCCTGTAGTCAGATGAATTTTGCGGCCCCCCTCCTTAACTCATTCACTCCCAAAGACGTTTTTCAACGTCTTTTCAGACTTGGTCCAGAATTGGCTGGTACTGAATTAGTTAATATTTGCTCCTGCTTATCACCTCAAGTGAGCATAAGGCGCAACAAAGACGGGACACGCGCACACCTGGATGACCCAGGGGCTGTCGGAGAAGGCCATGATGTGACGCTCCTCCCAGAAGAAAGCCGAATCGCACCGCTTGATCATCTCAAACTTGTTGAGCTTCTTCATGGCGTAAACCTTCCGGGAAGCCTTGTGTCGGACCTGCGGCGGCAAAATTGGCACACGTAAAGCGTTAGCTCCCTTGGGAACAATAAGATATATCACGGCGTCGTGACGATGAGGATTATTGACGAGGCATGAAGCTGTAATTAAAAGGCACACGCCTGGAGAACGACATGCTCGCACATGTTGTTCAACTCCAGCAAAGCAACCGCCCGCCCCCCCCACGTTCCCTCCATCACTATCATCCCACGTGCTGCTCCTGTCCAGACAGGCTCGTCGCACAAGACTTCTCACACAAGATCCCTTCCGAGCTTGTGCCTCCAAACTCTTGAATGAATAACAAAAGGCCTCCTAGCAACGTTTATTATCATGCTTCAGTTTCATATTTTGTTGCACTCATGTTAAGTGATTTTTTTTTTAAGCAGTTTCGGTACAATGCAGACCTTTTTTGATACACCTCGGTCGATTGTGCAGGTGTACCTAACAAAGCGGCTGCCGGGTGTGCGGTTCATTGAGTTCCCGAGGCCTCTCACCAGCTGCACTTCTCCATAAGCTCCTCTTCCGATCAGCTTCACCTTTTCAAAGTCGTCGAGCTTGACCTGCAGCTCGCGCAGCTGGCTCACCGCCTTTTCGTCTGCGAAAGAGACACGTCGCCGTGGCAACACGCGGGTCAAACTTCACTCGTTCAGGGTTGAGAGGAAAGAGGGTCAGCCGGCAAACGTTGAGATCGGGGCGGGGAAGCTCCAGCCTGGGCTTCATCATACATTTTCTAGCAATTATGTAAGAATGTGTACTATCGATTACACAGTGTTGAGAATTTTAGTCAACCTTGTTTTTATGGAATTGGGGCTTACTTACTATTCACTGACTTCAAATCATCTATCTTTGTCCATCGATGCCAATACTCATCTCCATGGCAACAAGTACATAATTAACCTGTGTATGCACTCTGTGGGCTTTTTTTTTTGTCTGGTGGTGTGTCATTATTTTTTTTTCTTCTTCAAATGTAAAATATGTATCTTGGTTGCAAAAAGTTTGGAAACATTGCAGCACTCACATCGGCTGAGAAACGTTTCAATGTTCTTGTTCTTCCGCAGAGCAGGATAGTTCAAATCGTGAGCCAAGGCATTTATGGAATCCTGCAAGGGAAAGAAAATAATCATCAGCAATTACATACGGGCGATATGGGAAGTCAGGAGATGAAATGGAGAGATAATAAAATCTTTTGATAAGACGCAGAGACCAAAACAAAGAGACAAATCAGCCATTTTCATCTCAACACAGGACCCCCGCCCCCCTCCCGCCCCACCCTCGCTGTCGGGCGGACGGTTGGCTGAGCGCCACGGCCTCACTCGTGTCACTGGGCGCATCGGGTTTCAACATGGCATCAAAACGCCGCCGTGCATCTTTCGCAACCCGTTAGTGACAGCCATGTGCCTGGTTGGGCAAGGGGGGGGGGGGGGCAACCGGAACAATTCTGCGCCTTTAAATAGCAGCAGTGAGGAGAGATTCCCCCCCCCGACCCCCACCGCAGATGGGTGGAAATAGACCAGAGGCTCACATGCTATTTATTGTGCGTCAAACAGCTTATGGCTTTTGGACTGGCGTTGCCGTTATGCACACGGCGTGGAAAAAAAAAACGTCTATACGTTTTTACTTAAAATAATGTGACCAAAATAGCCTGATAACCTGTCCATTGTCCATTGTAGCGACCGCTATCCCTGAAAGGGTTAAAGTCATTTATTTCACATTTGCATGACAGTCGATGTTGTCATTAAGAGTTCTATTTGCCACGGTTGGAGCCTGAAATGTATTATTGCATTTCCATTGTTTCAGATGAAAATGCGTTTGAAATTAGATGTTGACCATTACGGCAAACAAGTTGGGCAGACAAGATTTTATCAGCCGCGTCAGGCTGATTAAATAAATTCTATTGACAATTTTGGATCAACTCGTGTTACTTTTGTGCGTTTGCGATAAATCCCTTCGACTTGACAGGCTAATTTCTTTGAATTGTTGTTTTCTGGAATCGGAGCAAATCTCAACACGATGAAGTATGTAGGTTAAAGGTGGTTTGAAATTAAGACTTTGTAGGATCCAAAATCATTGCTTAAGTTGTTTTTTTTCTTTTTTAAATCCATTGAGGTGTTTCACTTTGTTTCTCTTGCTCGGTATTTCCTGTCGCTGTGTTGATTCCTGTTGAAAGAGCAAAGAAAAGTCTCCTATTGTTAATGATTATTAATATAAGAACAATAGATTATTGACAACGTAGCGAGGCAAAAAAAAACATTCAAGTGATGTTTTGCTCTCAACCGTGACCATTCGTTGCTCATTGATAAGCACACCAAAACTGCAAACACCTGCCAAACCTTACGAGATGTCAAGTTTTGAGGGGAATTCACAAATTCAAAAACAAATCCCCTTTTTGTGAACAAAAGGGGATGGGGACAATGTGAGGTCAGAGCGGGTTATCGCCACCTCAATTCCAGGATGTGACCGCACTCTTCCTGCGTGGGAGGTGCCACAGCAGTTAGTTAGCTTAGCGGACATTGCTGTGTCCATCTGGCTGGACGCTTTAAAAAAAACAACAACAAAAAACAGGCCCGGTGGCAGTCTTTGCAATGACAAAGGCACAGTGTTATTTTCTTGAAATGACGTTGCATGATGTCATTTACAAAGTGACAAACAATTCAGAGTATGAGGAAACATTCCTTTCGGGACTACGCTGACTTTTATTTCGTTTTCTGAATGAGGTAATTAATGAATAAAATGTAGAATGTTCGGAAAACCAAATAGGAAAAGGGGTTGAACTGCTCCTCTATTCCTGATAAAAAGTGATAGGAAGCAACAGCTGGCAAGTGAACTTTGTATTTGGCACAACACAACAGTAGAAAGTCAAAGGTAGCCCAACGCTAACCGTTTATAACGTGGGTGTTTCTACGCCATTTTAAATTGAATTCCAGCGCTCTTAAAATTGAAGACATTATCCGTCCATGATTCAAGTCGCTTGTCCTTGTGGGCGTGCTGGAGCCAATCCTCAGCTGTCTTCGGGTTTCCAATCGTGGGGCGCACATCGACAAACAACCATTCACCCTCACAATCACACCTAGTGACAATTTAGAGTGATCAGTTAACCTACTATGCCTGTTTTTGGAATGTGGGAGGAAACCGGAGTACCCGGAGAAAACCCACATAGGCGCGGGGAGAACATGCAAACTCCAAGAAGGCCGCAGCCCAGAATTGAACCACAGACCTCTGGACTGTTCTGTCCTTTGAAATGTTAAAGGTGCTACTCACAACCTAACCCAACACACACACACACACACACACACACACACACACACACACACACACACACACACATACACACATTGACATTTTAGGAGTCTTTACTGAACCTAACATGCCTGTTTTTGGAATGTGGGAGGAAGCCGGAATGCGTAGAACTCTTCACACAGGAAGGGAGCTGAGATTCAAAACCCAGAACTGTTTGGAAGACGTGCAGACTACTAGTCCACCGGGCTTCGGATAATAAATGATCATCCTATGATCAGCAATAATCAGAAGTAAACCCTGAATGTGGAAGTGTAACTATTATAATCTGTCTCGTGAGTGTTTGTGTTTGCAGGTGTCAAATGAGCTGGTATAACCGGCGGCCATTAATGACGTGAGCAGAAGATGACGTTCGCACCTCTTGCCCGAGTGTCCCTTCGGTGTGTTTTTTTTCACTCACCAGCAGTGTTGCCAAGTTTAACACCGACTCCGGATTCCTCATGAGAACCTCCAGCGTATTTAGCCGGCTTTCCAGTCTGCTCTCCGCCCCGAGCATGCTTAATTCAAATCCTCTTCAGATATCATAAATAAATAAAATAAAAGCACACCGGAAGTGTGATCTTTTGTCTCCCCCTTGAAGTATCTTGGCCCGACTACTCACAAATGGCCAAGGCTGCTCGTGCCACCACTCCGGTAAATGTTCGTTACAGGTTAGCCAGGTTTATAAATTATCCACGGACAAAGTTGTACAATTGTGTCGGACTTGGTCCTTAAAAGTGTCCGCGGGCAGGTGAACCGGCGGGGTAGTCCCTTCGTGGCCGACAACAGGCGGGTTTTCCGGTGCTCAGGTGTGCCTGCGTCTTGTTCCAGGTGAAAGCCCAACAAAACTGATCCGAGTTCAGCGCGTCCAACGTGAGACACGCGCCGCCGTTAGCCGAAGTGAGACACGACACTTCCGGTAAGTACTACCAGATTAAAAGCATTCCTGTTTATTTCTTTTAAAGTGGGCTGAAAGTCATGACATGATACAGTAGCCTGGGGAAGAGTTAGACGGGTTGGGGAGACAACGGTCCTTTTTTTTTTTTTTTGCTTTGTTGTCTGATGGGTGTGGCTGTCTGTGAAGCTCCAAATAGATAAATGGTGTCTGTATGTGACAATAAAATAACAAAATACATTATGTTGTATTGAGGTGTACCCCCTGCCCCGTTTAACACCCCCCCGCCTTTTCATTCTTATGCACACAATTTAAAATACTTACAGGTGTTTCAATATCGTGTCTATGGAGAGCTTTTGTCAGAATACCCCAAGGATGAAGAATAATCAACCTATTAGCTTGCTTGTCATTGCACTCTGTCCGCTGTTATATTGCCTTTTTGTATGGTGATGTTTTGCATTCTAAGAGTGAGTGTAACCGACAACTCGCTGCTTGCCTCTACATGCAGTAGCAGAGCGCAGAGTGTGGAAAACATGCTAGCCACCATAAAGACAACAAAAGCATTCTTGTGGCGCATGGACACACGGCCAATCATGAACTGCCCCCTACCATGCCAAAAACGTTAGGGAACAATTAAACAAGTACAGTTTATAATCTCACTTAAAATGTATCACTAGTGGATGTGGAATTTCATCACCAAGCTGTTCTAAAAAACACTTATCAATTCGTGTCTCGTTTAAATGCCAAAAGGAGAATTATTTACATTTGCAACACTATCGTAGAAAGGGTTCTGTCAGTCGTCGATGGAACTTTCCTGTACGACTGAGAGCCTCCACAAGCAATTTGCAACACTATTTAATGCTTTTATTTTGAAAGTCCCAGTAGGGCTCTGTTTTGTTTAAACTCACTTGTCATCCAGCTTCCCCACTTTACATATACATTATTATTAGATAGTGTTTTCCAAGGACTTAAGCCCGCCCGATTTGTTCATCCATCCTGCCCATCGATGTTGTTCCCCCGTATCCGGATACACTTGCACAGTCCAAGCCCGCCACACACCCCTACCCTTGCCCCCACAGGCCGGAATTCCTGCCCTCTTATCTCATCAATCTGTTTCAAAGCCTCAACTCACTGACTTTCAGTATTTGAGGAATGCTGATGCGCAGCCTCACAGACATGCTGCTGCTGCTGCTAAAAATAGATTTTAGAAGCTACAATTTTGGCCGTCATATATTGTAAACAAACGTTCAAAATTCAGACACGGCACTGAAAAAAAAGCAGTTTTTGCTCTTAGAATAACTTTTATTTAACTTTACAAATAGTTCAAAGACAAACAACCTGTGATATCTATTTCGTGGGCTAAATGTGTTATAGCAACAAAACTGTGGCGCTAAAGTACTTTTTAATCCAAATTTCAGTAAGCACACATAAAGCATAAGGGTGTAAAAAAAAAACAGCCAATAGTTAAAATGTGCAACAAAATCAATATTGGCAGTCATTTGTTTGACTTTTTAATCCTATGGTGTGAGACTAGAGTTCTGTTTTTTTTTTTTTTGTGACTCACACAAGCTGTTGTCCAAGTCCCCTGGCCAGCCAAGGATGACTTCCAGTAATAATGGCGTGACCTGTGGTGGTGAGCGTGGCGGGTTGAATGAGTGTGTGTGTGTGTGTGTGGGGGGGGGGGTGATGTGACGGGGGTTGCATGCTTACACTCGGACGAGCACACATAAGTGGATGTAGTTCTGGAATGATGGCACAGGTGGGGGTCACATTTGGATATGGTTATTCTGAGTTGGCTTCTTGACCCATCAAATAGGATGACACGCTTGTGCATTTTTTTTTCTTCATGTGATAGTGCTTTATGGGTAGGATAAATAAAATAATGGCATAGCAGAAAATGTATTTGGCATGTAATGTCAGTCTGGTGGCATTTTTGACGTTCCTGGTATTGTCTCAATGTAAACAGGCAGGCATATAGTAACATTTCCAAAGCATACACTGCTCTCTAGTGGGGATGCAGTATAGAGTTAGATTACAGGAGGTCAGATTTATACGTTTGACTCAACTGCATAAACACAATGGAGATTCAATGGCTTGATAATTTGAGGAAAATCACTTTTGTTTAAACCCATGAGTCTCACCCATATGCTATTAGAACAAAAATCTTATATCTCTATGATCAGTTAGCAAAAAAAAAAAAAAAAAAAAAAAAAAAAAAGTGTTGGACATCCAGTAGCATCTAGCTCGATAAAATCTCAGGATGTGTTCCCAAAAGAGAGAACTGTAATACTGATCGCTGTGTAGTACAACATTTGATGGTTTAATATAACACCGCACTTGGTAACAATTACAAGCCTGCTATTTTCTGGAATCATCAGATAAGAGCCTTTTTTTTTTAAAGGCAGGATCTATCGCTCACTTTGTCCCATTAGGGTATTCTTAGTAGAAAAGGATGATTGATTGAATTTGATTGTTGATTATTAATCACATCTTGAGGCAAATAAGGCGAATGCATTACTTGGCTGTAACCAGCAGAGGCGCTGTGGAATCAAGTAATGAAGTGCACCAGGACATCAACTGCGGGAAGTTGAGCAACATGCGCACAGCTCCTGAAGGCAGCATTATTCTGCTCCATCCCCCCAAAAATTCTTCTGCTCCATGAACAAAAACAGTCATTATTTCCTCGGTTGTCAAGGAAGGAAATGTGGTCAAATGGACACCTAAACAAATCAGGTGAAAGTCGACGGGCCGTGTCTTTAACCCTTTCAGGGACAGCGATTACTACAGTGGACAGCTTATCATGTGATCAGGTTACAGGGTGCATGAAAGGGTAAAACAACATTTATGGACCAGCATCATCGGGACCACGAGAGTGATCACATACCATCGCAAGCTACTGTGTACCAGTAGGCAATCCCTTTCATAATCTCTGCTTTCTATACATTATTTTACAGGAGTCAAATTCAGACATCTTATCACACTGCTCAGTCATCAGTTTTAAACCCCAAATTCCTCTGTGATGATTAAAAAAAAATATCACCCCCCTCTCTGAAAGGCAGCAAGCTCAGAACTCAAATGTTAGTTTGTTTGGATTGGGTAATGAGATGGACGAGAGAAGGTTATCCTATATTTCTAGCTGTTGGTCAAAAAAAAAAAAAATTAAAAATAAAACCCTCCTCCTGAAGTCTGAGCCCACGTCGGTCAGGTAACCCAAAACCTGGATCGGGGAGTCGGTGTGGTATATGGGGAGAGGAACAATGTGGCTCTTTGTGCAAGCTGGGCAGAGAAAACAAGCCGTTTCCCCTGGAAAGAGATCATATTCAGGCTCCATCTGAGAAGACCACACAGGGCTGATCGCTGCCCTGTCTGCAGTGTGGAGCGAGGAGTCGGGAGAGGAGGGGGGGAGGGGGGTTGAGGAAGACGAGTGCACAAACATCGACACACTTTCGGGGATAGTCTAACAAGATGTCAAAAAAAGATGGTCCATATCAAACAGTCCTTGGACACAACAGAGCAAACTAGCCTTTGACATTTTTCTTTGGTCCCCGCCTCCCTCCTCCCACTCCCCCGCATGTAGACTTCGTGCGGCCATCTGGGCTTCCTGCTTTGGCTACCTGCTGGTCCACAGGCTAGGCAACACCGGTGGGCTGTGGCGAGCAGGCGGGATGGTGTTAGCACTGGCGCCGTCCACACGAGGGCGGGGTACTGAATCTGGCACTGCCATACGTTGGTGAACAGGGGTGCTCTTCATCCACTGGGGAAGGGGGAAAAAAAACAGAAGGTGGGCGGGGATGAGGAGATGTAAGAGATCCTTTAAACATATCACATGTATTTATTCACCCATGTCATATAAACACTTTGAGTCAACTCGACACTACCGATAAATTACACAATCAAACCAAGAACATCTGGCCTCTCTCTCTCTCTCTCACACACACGTGCATATTAAATGCCAACAGACGCACACTCAATGTCATATAAACACTTTGAGTCAACTCGACACTACTGATAAATTACACAATCAAACTAAGAACATCTGGCCTCTCTCTCTCTCTCACACACGTGCATATTAAATGCCAACAGGCGCACACTCGTGAAGGCAACTGTTCTATACTCCCTCCGTCTCATTGCGTTTTAGTTTCAAAAGCTCAGCGAATACTCAAAGTGGTTGGTTCGGATTACACAAGCCTATAAAATATCCCAAATAAACGCAAAGGAAATTTAGACAGAAAAAGCAACCGTTTCCTGAGCTCAAATGCGCCACCCCCCCTCCGTCGGCTGCCATTTCTGTCAAGAGCGCGAGATATTTTAAAAGACGTTCGGTCGGTAATGACAATGAGGGAGGAAGGTAATGCTGCTCTCAAAAGCGCAGAGGTGGTGAGCTAAAGCCATTCACGTAGGGCAGCGGCCAGCTCTGGTTACACACAACGGCCGGGCCATAAATCCGTCTGCACGACACAAGCAGCGCGCTGTGATTTCATATGTATCGGTTACTAAGGGAACACTGGAAACCACAACAAATGACAACACTCACTTTTCGTGAAAGGGAATCGCGCAAAATATGTGCCAAAAACCATTATTTCAAAAGACAACGGGTTCGCGCACGCTCTGTCAACAGCGTTTGAAAATAGTTTTTTTTTTTTTTAAGTTGACCGTTGACCTTTCAAGGGACAACGCAGCGGAAAAGCAGAGCGGTTGAAATGAAAAACCATGTCTGAAATATCAGCGGATTAATCTCAGGACATACGGTAACACGATCTCATTATGGCAAGATACCAGTGGGCGCGGGCGGACGGGTGGTGTTACAGCCATTTGGACTACCAAGTCGACGAGTGAAATAAAGAGGGCCCTTTGATAGGTCCAAAGTCAGGAGGCTGTTCTGCTATACTTAACATCTGGTTGGCAACGAACAGCAGTTGCCGGTGCAGACGGGGAATAAGATGATAGGAGAGCGCTTGAGTCAGCCAAGCTCGCGTGTCACAATGACGTGCTTAATTGAATCATTCTGTTCTTGTCCATATGTTTTCGAAAGAACTTCCAGAGCTGTATTCCAGCTGGGTCATACTCGTACAGTAGTACCTTGTAAGCCTTTCTGAAAATCATCTGACTTGCTGTATTGACACTGAAGCATATTTGTCTCAGTTTGATTTCAAGTTTGCCGGATCATCTCTTGCTCATCGGTCACCTGATACAAAAAAAGTGGACCAAAAATTGGTGCACCGCAAACTACCCGGGATAAAAGTGTATGTTCTACACACACGACCGAGTGGAGCCAAAGGAATTCTGGCAGGCAACCAAAGCATTGTGACTGTCAGGTTGTCGAAAGTGATCGCCTTTCAAAGTGACTCTCACTACCCGTGCCCTTCACCTCCTTCCCCCTGTTTGTAACCTTAGAGCCCCGAAGAGTGCCAGGTAACCAGGATTCTCTCCGTTCGGCGCCATGCTGTTTAGTGACCATGTGCGTGTGAAACCTGTGATTCAGTTTCCCCTACGGGAGTCTGCGCACAGACTTTCCGGCCCTTGGTCAAATGATATTTGGTATGATTGGTGGTTTTTAATTCAGAACATGGCATGTCACTTAGGAAAGGGTTGCTAAGTACTATAATGCAAGAGGCTTTATAAAACCAATAGCATTTATTACAGTAGTTTGTCCACTTTTCCTGTCATTCCCAAAGTTGTTCATTTATTTTCCAAGTCTTGGGGCTTCAGACATGCGCCAAATTGAGCATATTAAGTGTTCTCTCTGTCTCTCTCTCTCGCCTAAAACTTTCATTTCTTACCTCTTTTATTTGTTTTGATCACGGATTCGTAGGCATCTCCTCTTCAAAGCTGGCTCCATGTCTCCAGCACTGGGCATATTAGCAGGGCTCCTTAAACTACCCTTGTCCCTGAGTTTGGGCAAGAGTAGTGGGGTGGTGGTCCCACCTGTCTTTTGTGCGGTAGGTAGGGCATAGGCGTGGTCCTCGTCTGGCAAGTGTGGGTCTTCTCCTGTATCCCTACTGGCTGTTGAAGGCTCCTCTGTCTGATTAACTGGGCCCTCAACCCGTACAGAGCAGACAACTGAGCACTTGTTTTCTTTTATAGATTCCATCTCGGTTAGTGCGGGCTCTGTAGGTGCGGGTGGTCTCTGGGGTAAGGGTGAGCCCGGACTGGCTATGGATAGCACTGAGGAAATCCCATTAGGACCATGGTTCTGAGATTTCAGGACAGAAGCCTTGGCATCATATGAGTGGTTGTTCACTTTAGGGCTTGGAGTGTGTGAAGGTGAGGTGTGGCTGTCCTTATGTTGGTATACAGTGTCAAGCGAAGGGGGCTGTGTTGGTGGAGGTGGGCCTGATTTGGTACCCTGCACAGACCCTGACTCCTCTAGCCCTGAGAAGTCCACTACTGCTTTGACGTTGGGTTCTAGCTTCACCTGGGATCTCTGTAGAACCCATTGTATAACTTGTCGTTCTGAGTGCTGTTGTTGTTTGTAGTCCGTCAGTCCTTCTGAGCTGCGTGTTGAGGAGGGTGATGTGTTGTACTGGGCTCTGGGAGATAATGTTCCACTGTGGCACGTTGACGATGGGGATGAAAATGGCCTCTCTGATTTAACCCAACCGATGTCCTTGGAATTGGAGTCACTGGGTGAAGGGAGACCATGAGGCAAGTTTCCACTCAATCTGTGGTTTAACAATTGGCCGTTCCCTTCAGGGTTCCCGGGGGATGGAAACCTTGCTGGTATGGATCTACATCTGTCTGTTGCCTCTGGCACAGGCTGTATAACACCAGTGTGGTTTGGGGTTTCGTGGTTTGTTTTGGAGGGGACTGGAATTGGTATCGGAATGGGTATTGGGACAGGTAGAGGAACAATAATGGGGTACGGTACCAGGACAGTGGGCTGGGGTAGAAGAGGACTAAAGGAAGGAATGGCAAAGTTCATTAAGGGAGGCATTGGCACAGGGCCTCTGGGTAACATAAGTGGAGGAGAGTGTAAGCCAGGGTAATAGGGCCGAGGGAGAGGATGCATCAAGCCTGGGGGGTTAACGGAGGAGGGATTGGGAGGCTGCAGGTGTGGAGACTGAGGAGGTCTGTGGATAGGACTGGATGAAGAACCAGAGGGTCTTGGATGGTGGGCATTAGCTAGGGGGCTTCTGAGGCCCTGGGCATGAAGAGGAGGTCTAATGAAGGGCATTTGCATTTGAGGCATCCGCGGATGTTCTAGTGGGTGGCGTGGAAGAGGAGGAGGAATAAGTGTAGGGTGAGGTGACACCTCTAGAGCAGCAGAAGGTGGAGGAGGGTGAATGGGCCTTTCTAGAGTTCTCTGCCCAGTGACAGTAAGCTTAGAAGAAGATGATGTCTCTGATGGCGACCCGGAGGATGATTCTGATGATCCCAGGATTGGTGTCGGGCCCTTGGGAGATATGTTTCTTTGATGCGCTTCCCCTGTGGTACTCGTGTTGTTCCAAGACTCTGGCGTGAGAAGGTTTTGCCCGAGAATATTGTGGTCTGATCTCCCCTCTTGGCCAGCTCTGGCTGGGCTTGAGCATGTAAGAGCCGCTCGAGCTTCTCTGTAGAACACATCCATCTTGTACTGATTCAGGCATTTGGTGCTGCAGAACTGGAGTCGCTCTTCACCCGATCCGAAATCCAGGTATTCTTTGGTGTGGCGGACATGCTTACACCAATCGCACACCTGCAACACAGGAGAAAGAGACTGTGGAGGGTCACAAAGGTGATCCGTCATGTTATTACCGGTGTGAAACTGTTGATTAAGGATCCTCTTACTCTGACGTTGCTGTTTATCTTCATCACCAGCCTGGGTGAGTCCTCCGTATGGGAGTGCTGGGGCGATCTCTCCCCATGGAGGTCTTCATCTCTGGCCTAATTGGTAGAAACCACAATATGAAACATCCACAGATAATCAACGTCAAGCAGTTAAGCAAACTTGAGTTCACACATGTGATGGATTAACTTGAAACTGTAGCGGTGTTTTCGCTTGTAAAACACACTAGAGTGGAATCGATCTTTTGGCCAGCAAATCACATTTGAAAAACTCTGGCAACAAGCGTAAAAAAAAACAACTTGAAATGATTTGCCCTGCCATGAATGGCATCAAACCCTAAAGGTCAGTTCAGCGAAGGGAAAATCATTATGTGGTGAAATAGATACGCATATACAACCAAGCAGTGAGGTAATGCAACTGATGTACCGTCATATTAATGTTGCCAGTATTAATAAGGGAATTTGTCTGGATTTGTGTAAGACGATCTTTTTGTGGATCCGAGTGGTTCCCCGGCCCACCGAGTCGTGTTGAGTTACAACACGTGAGGCAGCTGAAGGTAAGGTATGCACTGAAAGTGGACACCTCGCCTCAGGCCTCCTGGTCTTCTTCTCAGACAAGCAGCAACAAGTCAACCACACTGCTCTCCTTCCCGCCTCTGAAAATGTAGAAGGCTTGTTGCACGCAGTCTACCCAGACCGCCGTTTGGTCCTGACACTCTTGTGAATAAACCCATCACGCTATAGACGACATCAATGGCGAAAGGGGATATCGATGCATGTCACCCCGTACCTCGAGATGGTATATCCATGTCTTAATGGAAGGTGACAAATCATGCTGTGTGCATCCGAGCGTTCCCTCCCAGTCGTTGTTGTGGTCTTTCCCCAAACACCAAAGCCACTCTAATGGGCGATCCCCCTCCATTAACGAGAAACTGATACAAAGCGTCCTGGATGACCTTTGACCTGTGTGTTTTTTTTGTGACAAATTAAGTGAAATTGAATGATTTCCCGCCGCACCCTGGGTTTGGGTTAGCGGGGATAGGTTTGCAGTGAAGGTCAGGTTAAGGTTAGTCCAGTCCTGTGATTGAGTGGCAATGTCCAAAATTGGCAGGATGAGTGGTCGAGAGATGTCTTTTGCTATCTGGTTCTACTCACGTCGCAAAGGATAACCCTCAGCTGTGTCACAACTTACTGATGTTCACAATCACTACGTTCTGCCACTGCTCACCTTATTGCGCTTGAAGTAAGCCCGTCTGCAGGCGGCGAAACACTTCTCGCTGCAGAAGCTCTTGAGCTCGGAGCCCATGCATAGAGAGTAGCGCTTGACACCTTCCTTCTGGCACCAAACACACACTATCTGCACATTCTGCACGTCATCCACTGCAAGGTAGAAGAAATCGCCGTCAAACCAGTGCAACGCGTAAAACTCAAATGTACCACAATTCTACTTTTTTGAATCAATTCAAGTGATTCTGTAATACATGTTTCAGTTGGACTGGTAAATTGGTGCTGTTGTTCAATCCGGCTTTTTTTCATCTCAGGCAGCTGGATTTAGCCAATCCTCCATTAAGCGTCTCCAGTTGGTTCATAATGCTGCTGCTCCCTTTTTGACTGGTATTCATAAGAGGGAGCACAGAACTCCCTTAGATGCCTCCCTGTGCATTTTAGACTTAAGAGTCTATTATTTTGTTGACAAATCTTTCAATGGCCTCACCCCACCTTACCTCTGTGAGCTCCTCCATCGCTATGCACCTGCCCAGTGCCTCAGGTTTGCAGACCGGACACTATTAGACGTGCCGAGGACTAAATGAAGGGTCAGAAGGCTTTGGAATGATCTCTCGCTAAACATTAGGCGAGCCCCCTCGCCGCCCCTCTTTAGAACTAGCTAATTTTTATTCTGTGGTTTTTGACCGAGCGAGGATAAACGATATGGAAGATTGCATGAAAGATCATTTTAATGCTCGCTACCTGCTGACGGCTTTATGAGCGGCACGATAACGGGCGCGCTCTTTTGCTCCATGGGCGTTCTTGAGGAGGTGTTTGTTGATGAGGAGGAAGAGGAAGACGAAGGAACGCCGAATGACTCCCTCTCAACGCTCTTCATCGCGAGGACCGAGTGACTGACTTTGCTGTCCACGTTTTTGGGTTTTGGCAATGAGTTTTCTGAAAGAGATCGCGAAAACATCTTCACCATCAACGAATTGCATCAACTTTCCAAAAGGGTGGTGAGCGATAATAGATGAATCTTGATTGAAAGATGACGCTATAAATTTGAGTGATTAAAATGTCAGTAGAACCCGCAGAACCCGTTGGCAAAGTCTTCTCTCAATTACAGTCAAGCAACTGCCCTCACCTTTCAACACGGACACATGCTGCCGCCTCTCCCTGTAATTCCTGATCTCGTTGGCCTCGGCGTCTCGGAGATCTACTTTGTCGTAGCCGTACCATCCCAGAAGCTCGTTCATCGTGCTTTCTGCAAAAGTCTACAGTGGACAAATAGGAGAAGCAGTGGCGGATTAGCATTGTTTTTCAATGTGTAAAGAATAACAGATAGAATATTGTTTATATGGTTGCGGTGGGAGTTTTTATCCAACGCTAAACATAATCAGAACTTACTACCGGCGAATGAATGAAAGGGATTCTTTCTCAGCTCCAGCCTGGTTAGAGAACTGAATCTGAGCACAGTGGAGTCCAGTATGACACTTTTTTCCATGATGTATTCATGTTGTTTACCCTTGCTAAATCTGAGACGGAAAGGTTTAAAACCCGACACCGGCGTGAGATCTATGAATCATCCTTTGTTTATCTCATCTAATTAGAAAAAAAAAGCGGGAGAAAAGAAAACGGTTTAGCTGCAGATGTGTGGTCCCCCTTTTTCTTCTTCTTCTTCTTCGTTTTTTTATTTTTTTGTGTATTTTTTTATTACGACCAGATGAAAAATAAATAAATCAAAGCACAAAGGTCTCTCTCTTTATCCACCCACCTCTCGCTGCGGTTTTGGAGGAACCGGATTGGAGGAGAAATCTGATCCAGAATGGGCAGAAATCAGAGTAGGACACCCAACACCACAGTGAGGTCCCACGCTTCTCGGAAATGCCCCGCTTTTCTTCCTTCTCCCAGCTCCCCCCCCCCCCACCTCACATCCATCCTCCCCATGTTTGCCATCCTCCCCTCCACCCCGACACCTTCCAGCCCTGACACCCGACCCAGTCCGGCCTCTCGGGTTTCACCCTTTTCCAACACAGCCAGTCTGCTGCGGCAGCGTCGAAGCGCCGTAGTACCGACAACACATTCTTTCCCTTCCTTTCGCTTTCCTCACTCCGACCTCTGCTCTGTACCGGGGCCCTCAAAAGAAATGGATCCCTCCCTTGACTTGCTCACTTTCTGCTGCGTATGTGTGCGAGCGAGAGCAGCGGTATCATATCCAGCTAAATATGCCTAACGATGATTAAAGTCAAGTATCCGGTGTCTGGTGCTACGCTCTTGGGCCTGACATGGAGGGAGTAAGTTTGAATGTGGTGTTGAAACAGATGTATTACAGAGACAACACTGGGCCGGACCTCAGCGGAATGAGAAATCTGTTCTCCTGCCTTCCAGTATGTTACCCGCTTTCCATCGTACCTCTGTTAGTTCAAGGACTCGACACATACACTCAATTGGCAGATTCTTATAGGGTCAACAGAATTGATTTCAGACAATCCAGAGCTTTAGAAATAGGAGTATAGTTGGAGTCCCTCAGGGTACAGTCAACCTGAATATCCCTCCCCGCACTGTTGTGCTACCATCCAATGTAGAGATTTGACTTGTCACCCATACAGTTATATCACACAGTACCTGTTCCAGGGAAAAATATCCAAACAGTGACTCTTCACCCCTTTTCGTGCACTGATAATGATAACCTGTCACCTGATCACATGATAAGCTGTCCACTGTAGTAGCCGCTGTCCCTGAAAGGGTTAAAGTCCAGTGATTTGCCCTTTGGGGTTCACGAGCGTAGATTGGACCCTCGGGAAAGAAGCTGAACCTCCCAAGTACACATATTACTGACACCTCATGGTATATTATTGGATTCTAATATTTCTGTTTATACCCGTTCTGTGACCCAAATGTTCTGAGGTCAAGTCTTGGGAATTGCACTCCGATGGGACAGTACTTCTATCTCTGACTGTGTCGGGACAGAAATCTGACAGAATCATGACAGTTATTGATAGCTGGAGCTTTTGTCCAAGGTAAATGTTTGCAGAACCACATATTAACCCTTTCATGTACCCTGTAACCTGATAACATGATAAGCTGTCCACTGTAGTAACCGCCGTCCCTGAAAGGGTTATTTGGAAAGCCTAACTTAAGGGACGGTATATCGGGTCCCTTAGTGGGTTACAGCGTGTACTTTTTTTCTAGACCTGTGCAATATATTACTGTAGATTTGTTGTGATTGGACAGAAATGGAGGTTTACTGTACCCCTATGTCGGATAGGTTTCATATTGGACTCTGACTTAAAACTGTTCCCGAGCACCAAAAAAGATTTTCCCAAGGTGTAAAAGCCACTTATCCAGGGTATAATTCCAGTGGCACACCCACTGTACCCCTGAAAATGATCTACTGTAATGTCAATGTATGTACAACTCTGACGTTCTTTCACCGGTTTTGTCTGTCCACCCTTCCCACAGTGTTGTTTGTGTTTCTTTTTTGGCAGTTCAGACAAACATCTGCTTTGTGAGAGTGACAGGCCGTATCCTAAACCGCAGCCAGATTTGTGTCCAAAGCCAACAAACCGGGGGCTGACCCAGAGAGCCAACCGGGGGCAAGCTTTACATCAAGCGAGGATAGCGTTTCGCATGTTTTGATTAAAATTAGTGGAGCTCGTAACACTACACCTCGTCTGGATATCAAAACTCCACAGTCCAAACCACTTAGTGAAAAAAGAGCACATTTCCTTCCCGCGCTGCCAAAATCATCCCCTCCTTCATGAAAAAAAAAAAAAAAAAATTCGATTTCCCAGGGCTGCGGGCTTGAAGGAGCCTTGGATATCCCTTACCAACACTCTCAAATAACCACTGTCCGAACCCAAACAAAGCACACAATCCTTGGATAGGTTTCCATGCAGTAATGTGTACATAATGGTGGGAGCGAATTGCGCCTTTGACTGTGATTTGACTTGTCATTAGCAGAACAAGGAGAACCTTTGAGGAGGCGAACATCTCTGATGTTCAAGTGGTGATTAAGTCATGTTTTGCCACCGAGCGTGAGGTTGACGTGAGTCCATTTGGGGATATTCATGTCCCAACCTGACCACCGCCCCCACAGTTCAACTCCAGCGGGGGCTGGGAAGAAGTGACGCACATCTGGGTCTCCAGTGGACACAACTGTGTGCACGTCGGGGCCACAGCTGGCCTGACGCCGCGTCACAAAAGGGACAACCTACTTTTTTTTTCCATCAGCTAACATCTGCAGTGGAATTACAATTTCCTGATTGGGTTAGATTAATATGTGAACACTTGTTGAAAAGAGATAGCTTGATAAGTTATGGTCTGTCACATTAAATGAATCAGAAGTGCATTCAGTATATTAGTCCTGCAGTGATTTGTGAGTGTATAACTTAAATAGGAAGAAGGGATTTTCTATTAAGTGACACAACATCCTCTCTCTCACCTTCATCTCCTGATTTATTTCCCTCTTGACGGGATGCGCGGGTTTCCTGCTGCGTTTACTTTCTGGCGGTCTCCCTTTCTCCATCTCTGGCATAGTCCCGGTCTGTGGTGGATCCGGTTCGGATTGAAGTTGGATGTGGCAAGCCGTCAGAGAAATTCGGTGGATCAATGGAGCGGGCCAGAGTGAAAGCTGTCACTCACAGTGACAGCGGCTGTCATTCCCAAACGTGGGGGCTCCTTATCTGGGGCTCCACGCAAAAAGAATCCGCGGGACATGCGTGCGCGCTCCGTGCTGGAGGCTCCACTGGCGAACCAGCGCAGCTCGCTGAGTTTTTGCGTCGTCAAGTTAGTGTTGATAGGCAAAGGGCAACTTCCGGTTAGGACTGAAAATAAAACGTTATGGTAAAATGATTTGTAAGCTGATATCGCAAGTCATTTGAGCATCTATTTGATAATTGTACACACTTTGTCCTCACTAGTAAGTAATTTTAGTACACGAGTCGGACGTTTCTTAAGAATTATTGTTTTTTTCTCCACGATTGTATTTCTGCGCACTAATAGAATAATTTGGGCGGAAAACGAAAATCTAAGGTTAACTAGTCAGTTGTTCACATGGTTGGTAGTCAGTAAAAATATGTCAATGGGAACTGGGTACTTTCAGTTCGGTCAGCATGTTAGGCAAGTGGTTTGCACGTCTGCCTCACAGTTCTGAGGTTCGGTAAATAAACCATTTACAAGTTTGTGAGACTTCAAATATTTTTTAAAAAATATGAAGATGAAAGCGATATAGTCACAATTTGCCTTCAAATACTTTATAATGCTTGTTTAAATTTCCCGTTACGGAGTACCCATTTGTTATGCTTTTATTTTGAAAGCTAAACAGCCTGCTCTTGGTTTAAATACAAATTTTTACGATGCTGCCTCCCCGCCCCTCAGGATGGAAGAGGGCAGGCTTCTGATTTGATGTAACCTAACACCGGGCACCCACCCCCGCTGCCTCCCAAATCTCACCAGATACATTTCATAAGGAATGCAAAGACTGTGTTTTATCTGAGGACACAGGACAAACACTGTCTCTTGTCCTAAAATAAGGAAGGAGATGATAAGGCCGCTGCGGGTTAAATGATACGGGGGAGTCAGTGGGGTGGGGTGGGGGGGGGGGTCTTTTTCCACTTGGCATCCTTTTGATCAGAGCATGTCCAGTGTAAAACACATGAAACATCCACAAGGTCAAGATGCGTAAAAGGTGAAAGTCAGGTGAAGTCTTGGTCTGTACGGCTTTACGCATCTGGAGGTTTTTGACGAGAAACATTAGTGCCGTGGTTATTCTGGATGTTAAAGGCCAGGCAACGAACTTGCGCCTATCGTGTTTCCCAGTCGGTGAGGAAAAGATGGGGACGATCGAGTTGCATTCGGTAACATAAACATGAGTGTCAAGCGTGTTGTGTTGCTTGAACGGAATTATTTTTACCTGATTATTTTTGCATGCGAGCTCAGAAATAGGACCGATACGGGAGGGGTACATTTCCGTTCCTTTAGTTTCACTAATGTACTCCATTGGGTGAGTTACTGGACACCATCTGTGACATTTTTGTGGAATTAATGTCTCGCGCTAAACTGACAGCGCTTATATATATATATATATATGTATATACACAAAATGTTCCCAAAAACATGGCCTGTACAGTTCATAAGTTTTATGATCACAATCTTTTGAGCCTAAAAACTTTCATCAACGGCAATACTACAGCTTCACCATACACTAAGCGCTTCTCTTAAAGTGTACTTAAAAATGGCCTTTGGGGTGTACTTTTTCGTAAGGGGAGACAGACAGGAAGACAAGCGCTTTCTTCGCTGTCTCCAGTCTTGCCCGATCTGCTCTGGTTGGAGGAATCCGGGCAGCCCGCTCATGTAAACAGAAATTTGACCCGGCGCACAGGTTTTGGGTTTCGCCCTCCTCGTAGACCCACTGATGACACTTGATCCGGCCCTGCTTTGGGAACAGGGGCTTATCTGATGCCTCACAAAAGGGCCCCTCTTTCTCCACATCTCCATAACAGTGCACATCTGGTGCCTCTGCAGGGAGTGATGGTCCTTTCTATGAGAGAAAGAGAGAGAAGGCGGGTGGGCGGTAGGGGGGGTGTTGGGAATGTTTTTTTTTTTTTTTTTAAAGCAGTGAAGCTCTGTTTCCTCAGCCATCCAATTACACAAATGACAGGGGACGCGGGGCTGTCCAAAGGGGCTAAAGTTTCAGTCGCCTAACATCTGGATTGAGTTAGAGAATGTCCGTGGATACATGATCGCAGTGAGTTTACGTTCTCAATTTGGAGGATCTGGAACATCTTGTGTAGCCTGTCCTCAGCATAAACAGTAACACACTGTAGTAAGGAGTGGTGCACAGTAACACGTATTGGGCAACAGGGAGCAATGATGACCTGATGTGATGTAAAAAAAGTTATTCAACAGGGCAGATCTGGGCAATGTACACCCAGGGGGCCACATCTGCCCCGCCCGTAGTTTCCGACTGGTCCTCATCCTCACAGTGACCCATGAAGTCAAAATAAAACATCAAATATCTAGTGCTTTTATTTTGAAAGTGGTGCTTTTATTTTATGGTCACACGTGTGGATGTCGGTAGAAGTGAGGGAGCGAGCAAGAGGTACAAATTGTTTTCTGTGGTGTTGCCGTGTTAGAATCCATTGTGTCTGTCCTCAATGTTCCACTGTGTGGCCCCTCCCTCCGTTCTGTTTTTGGTTGCCTTTCCCATAATTCAGTGTGGGTTGGGCGTCTCCCCAATCATTGCACCTGTCTCACCGACACACCTGCCAGTCTTCACCCTGTCAACCACACGCTCCTCTACTGCATAAAGGCCAGTCTGAAGAGCTGCATGTTGCCATTTTGTCCCCTAACTTGCCTGTCATCATCTCTGCTGCCCAGCTATTGTGACCTGGGCCTCCGGAACGCCTTGGTTTTGGTTTCTCTGATTGCCATTCGCTTCCTGCCTCCTGAACGCAGCCCTCTCCCCTGACAAGAAACCTGTAAGGAGTTCAGTGTGTCTACCTGTGGGTCCTGTGCATGTCTTCAGCTAAGTTTAACACAACGTAGCTACAGTTTTACAATATTTTTATAGCGCTGGTGGATGAAAGAGGGCCCAGAATTAAAACTACAACCAAACTGGAATCCAATTTAATGTAATAAGTTATTGTAATTATGACAATTATTTTTATTCATTAATTGGAAAAAAAATTACATCCAGGTAAAAGGGACAGAAGGGGGCAGCACTGCCACACTCCTTGTTTGTATTTTCAATGTACCGGTAGTCGCTTTCGCTTTGGACACTAGATGTCGCTGTTGCCATGCTTTTCATGCCCCCAGAACGGACGCGCAACAGGTCAAGTACGACACACTATCCCCCCCGTCACTGTTTTTATTTTTTTAAATCGATTAATATATTTTACAAATTATCTCGGTCACCACGCTTTTTTTTGTGGGGGGGGTGGATCCTGCTCATCATGCTCACCATTGCAACAGACGGCAGTTCGATGGGTCGTTTTCTTCCCTGAGAAAAGTAAAATCATATTAAAACTAATATGCCCAGCTGACTTCCCAATTGTCTGGAAACGTATACAATTGGTGCTTACGTCATTCTACTCTTCTGTACTCCCCTCCTACAGTCCCTATCGGTGACATCACAGCGGCTGAGGACGGTATAAAAAGGTGGTTGGGAAGCCGCTGACACCATTGGAGGCACGAGCATCGAACGGAGGGACAAAAAGCACTTGACCGCCTCCTGCACGACACTTTTCTTCGAAACCAAGTCCAACATGTGCAAAATGACCATCGTCCACCTGGGAGTGATCATTTATGCCATTTGTTTATCAACGCAGGTAGGCTTGCATTTATACTATTCTTTTTGTTTGTTGGTTTGTGTGTGATATTAAGCGTATTGCTGTCATCATATGTGGGATAGCCTTAAAGATCGGAAAGTACAGCAAAAAAAGAAATTGATGACGTCCTGATAAGACAAAAAGCCGAATTATATTGATTTCCCAATGGTGAATTAATGCGAATAAGATGGATTATGATCAAGATGCCGCTTCTACGGATGAGTTTTACTTTGCTGCCCTGACGCCTAAGACTTGATGATTCGGATGCTGTGTGACGCCCGCCCCTGTGCAAATGTGGCGAGAGCATCTAAAGTTACTTTGGGTGTCAGAAGAAACCTGACACGCGTGTGGGCTAATTGTTTGAAACGGTTGAGGAGGCTTTCTTATTAGATCAGATTGTTCACATCTGTTTGGAATATATTTTGAAATGCATTTGAATGTTGTTCCTCAAATGACTCTTCTGATTTAGAGCAGGGGTGTGGCACCTCTCGCAAATGGATACGTGCATTTGTAGTTTTAAGTGTTATATTTTTTTGTATCCAGTGATATATATATATTTTTTTTGGGCGGGGTAGTGTTTAGAATATTGTGTGGTAGATGTGTTCAAATACTGATTCAATAGGTCCCTCCCCCGCTTTGAACAGTAAATATTTGTACATGGAGTATGATACGATTGAATTCAATATGGTATATCAGTCACGTTTGTCATTTATATTATGCCACAACTCAAAGGGCCGCCAAAGCTCAAACTATGAAAATAAATTCAATGTAAAAAAAAAAACACAAATCTTCAGCAACAACAAACCCTATTTACAACTGCCATGCATGTTTCATAAAAGACGATTTGATACGGCTCTCCGTAAATCTCCATTACAGTTCGTCGATTCAAGGACGGTACACTTTAAAATGTAACAATTCAGTTCTATTAATCCAAACTGAGTTTCAGATTCAAATTGTTTTTTCCTACAACCCTAATACACGCACGCACACACACACACACACACCCACACATATGTATATATACTGTATGTTAAAAGTATCTGTCTTCATCCTGCCCCCTGGTTCCAGGTGGTCTCCCAGAACACCACAGTCGCCAGCACAGGAATGACTTCCACCTCCAACAGCAGCATGCCCACCATGGCTACAGACATGTACAGCGGCTCGACCAATTCCACCTCCTCCCCCACCGGAACAGGCTTCTCGCTGCACACCTCCGCCTGTTCCTCCGCCCTGCTCATCATCCTCGTCGGAGCGGCCTCTTTTTTGCAGAGCCTTTCTTGAAAGCTGCCCATTCCCAAAGAACCCACCCGCTCCGGCTGGACCCCCACACCCACCTCCACCACCATCAACCCTGCACCAGACGAACCGAAATGGACACCTCTAAGTAATATTCATAATCGAAATGTGTAATCAAGAAATGGGCGGGTGGGACTTCCGGCAGGTTGGTGCAGGCTGATTCCCTCAGGCCCCCTTTTTTGCACGACATGAAGAAAAATGCAGCTTGCTTCTCTTTGGCCTTTCCACCATTGCCACGCTGAAGATGCTCTGCGCTGCACTTAATGTCACGTGTTAAAATTGTGGACCACTTGGTTTATTCTATGGCTTCAACCCCACCAGGCTATCAATACTGCAATGGCTTTTGGCTCTAAAGTGTAAGAGTATATCTAGTATTTAATAACTGCATGAGCCAAATGAGTTGGTTCCCCTTTTGACTTGGCGCCTCCATCTTTCTTTAAAATGTCGGTTGTATGTAGCAATTACTCTGATGCGGGCCTCGTCCTTCTCGCCTTGTCATTTTTAAGAGTTGTGGTCTTTGTACAATTAACCCCTCTCACACACACACGCACCACTCCTTTTCCAGGCTGACCCAGGAAATGACTGACCACATGGGTGGGGTTAATGTTTGATTCCCCCTTTAAAGCTTATTTTTTGTACAAAATAAAATGTCCTGTGTATGAGTTTGATTTATGAATTCTGTACAATAAATTGTTGAAAAAGAACAAGGTTTCATTTTTCTGGTACAGGGTTGTACACTGCCTCTTACCCAAAATCTGCTGCAGGCGCAAATGAGGATCAGTCGTATAGAACATGGATGGTTGGGTGGACGACTGCTTTGACCCCCAATCATAGGAACCATTTCACAAATGCCGTAGCCCTCCATGCTATTGAATTAGTTATTTGCACATAATGATGGCCGCTACAGCTGCTTTAATAGGCTGTGGAGCTGTCTTGGCCATCAAGAAAGGGGCTGCCAGGCAGTCTAGACTGGCAGCTGGTGGACTGTAAATCCAGAGATGGATTTGGCATTCCATGAAAGCACCACTGATCTTTTGGACCAGAGCCAGAGTAATCCAACAATTGCTATGGCATTTTGGGAATACAGGCATAGTCTCAACAAATTAGCACGGGCCTTGTCTGTGTCCAACTTTGACGACTTCATTGTGTCACAGCAGAAACAAATCTGTTTTGTCATTGAGTCTGAAGGTTAAATATGCTTGTAAAAGATTGGAAGGGAATTTAAAGAACTTCGAGGGACCAAAAATTCGGTTGTCTTGTGTTTAACACTAAAACGTGTGATTTGCATGTGTATGTAAAAATAAAATAAAGGACCAAACTGAAAGGAAGGATTGAGTTTTAAACAATTTTATCACAGGATGTCAACCATGCAAAACAATTGGGTCAAACATAAATTAAAATGATTCATTTTTAACCCAGCCGCTGGGTTATTTTTGCACCAATCCAGGTCCTGAAGTACCAAAGCACCCTCAGACCATCACATTATCACCATCATGTTTGACTGTGATCATGATTTTACTTCCATAGAATGGAGTCTTAGTTTTACACCAGAAGTAATGAGCCGCGCAACTCCCAAAAAGTCCACCTTTTAATTTGTCAATTCACAGATTATTTTTCCAAAGATACTGCGGATCATCAAGATGATTTTTAGCAAATGTGAGATGAGCCTCCTTTGTCGCGCACTTGTGGGCACTCTCATTATTGGCACACCCTGATGGCCTCTCAAAAATTCCAACTTCAACTTAGTCAGTGTGAGGCCCTGCTAACAAACATAACTGGACTCTCGATGATTTTTGGAAACAAAGTTGTGGAATACATTTCCATTTTACATTTTTTAAATGTAAAACAGTCTTCGTGAAAATGTGCATTTCTCTGCTATGCCACACATAGACACGTAATTAAAATGAAATTAAGAATGCCTATAAAATTGCCCTTTCTTCTTTTAATAACTCGATAGAAGTTGACAGCGTCAGCATGTTAAAACATGTCAGACATGGTATAGTGGACACTGTGATGGCAGACCGAGGTGCGTGGTGCTCGGAAATGCCTCAGCACCAGTAAAGCCGTCCCTCATGACTCATTATCCCAACCTTTTGTCTGTCAATCCTCTGTGCACTATTCACCTCTGCACAACACCGCCAGTCTATTAAACATCCCTTTTCTGGATCCTTCCTATTTCAACTGTTAGCTCTGCGTTGTTCTCCCAAAAAAAAAAGTGTCATCCCAAAGTTGTCAATGTACTGTAGTTGTCCTGTTCAAGTGAAAATATATTTTTCCCCTTTCCTGATCTAAATTCTGAAAGCATTAATTGATGGTCGGATATTTGCCTGCAGAATATTCTTGCGGCAAGTCCTCCAGGTCCTGGAGTACTATAGCAGCCCCAAACCATTACACTTTCACCATCAGATGATGATTTTTAAAAGTTTTGGTTTATTCAAGCCTAGGACCAAGAAAGCAAGCGGTATTCCTTTAAAAGCATGCCGTCGTTTGAACTCAAGTTGAACGTGAACCTCATGAGGTGGTCGGCAAAACTTGGTCAATTAGGGTTGACCACGAAAGCAGCAATTGCTACAACAATCACATGAAGCATTTCACGGCAAACCTCTGTAGGCTGACGCAGCATATTGATTCATTTCCTGTTAGACAATCAATTCAGTTCCCTTGTGCTCTGTTCCCCCCCGAGATGACTACCACTTGTCATAATCTTATATCCTCATCGACCAGTGTGACTAACAGTCATCCCTCGTGATGTGACGCACAACACCCCCAAAAAAACCCTTTAATCATTGAGTGTCACGATGAATTATTCAGGCTGTTGCCGTGGTAACAAAGACAATGTCAACACACGTGTCCACATGTAAACTTCAGTCTCCTTATACCTACAAAGGTGTGAAAAGGGATCCAGAAGACTATTTAAACATGTCACAGTATATAAATGTGGGCAGTACTGGAGTTGTCGTTTCAAACTTCTTGGCTGCAGTCACCGACATTTGTAAATCAAGACTACATCAACTATTTCTCTATTTATCATTAAATTAAATTTCTAATTCCATATGGGCCAAACCGGAATTTAACATTTGTTGAATTTCAAGAATTTTATCTGTAGACTTCAGGTACAAGTTTGCTCGTGAGGCTCGTGAATAATTCAGATCGCAGTGTCACATGTCTGAGGTGACTCATAATTACCAAATGTAAAGATAAGTGTCTAATTTCCCCATAGGAGTTCACGCTGTGTCGCAAAACTATTCCAAGATAAGACATGTGAAAACACCGCGACAGGCATGCCAGGCTGTATGTTTTAAAGAAGTTGACCTGCTTGTCATCATTTAAATGTCCACCCCAGCAGACCCAAATTCTTTCAAATGGCTTCATGCTCCCGTGATGTCACACATGTTGACTGTGGCCATTTACACACATTTAAATCCTTGCAAACCAAATAACTCGCACATTTGCAAGGCCGCCCTCCCGTGGCAAACAACAACCACCATCGCTTTCTTTGAAACGAGAGTCTACCGAATATAAAAAGAGGGGCTTTCGGGATCATTGGTATTGTAAATGAGAGGTGAGGCTAGGATAAGGACAGTTGAATGCTCTTTCCTGCCAGATGGCCACCTGCACTTCCTGTTTGGCCCGTGCGGGTTGCTGTACCAACCGACAGTTTAAGTGCATCAGCTCTAATATAAGTTGTTTAGTTTGGTTTCAGTCGTCACAAGTGGCTCGACAATCAGACGGCAATTAGTTTGCTCATTTGCCGGCTTTGGTTTCAGGGAGTCCAATCCGGGGTTGCCGTGGAAACCAAACAAAGGAAACGACCAGTCATGGAAAGCTGCTGTATAATGGCCCTTGTCAAGTCACACTGTGAATTTATGATTTTTCTTTGTTTTTGTTTTGTTTTTTTGCCTCTTCCTGTGTCAATAGTGAACACAAACGACACATGAAGGGTTTCATAGAAATATTGAATGAATATTGACTCTGCCATGAGTGACGCTCTCCCTTTTGTGGGCTTTGTTTGGCCTGTTTAACACGTCAGGAGTGAGCTCAAAGAGCTAACCTGATTTCATAAGCAAATCAGGTTGGGTCCCCGATTTAGAGCACCGATGTCCCTCTTGCTGTCCATGGCAACCAAACTGAAGGGACCGCAGAGAGCGACTGCATAACTAGGACACCCCACCCCCTTTTGGCCCCCACTTTCGCAGAATCCTTCCATCCCTGTCTAACCTTTAGGAAGGACACCTGATGCTGTACGGTAGCACCTGTTTGTTGCATGGCAATAACCTCCGCTCGCGTGGGGGGTGCGCTGAAAGAAAGCCACATGAGAAGGCAGCGCCTTACAGTGCACATGAATAATACTGTACACAATGACTGACCATCTGCTTGGTGCACCACCCTTTTTTTTTGTCTGAACTGCATTCAGCTGTCGACAACACCCAAACATTTTAAAAAAAGCATAGTCCATACTATTTATGAAACATGGAGTGTTCCTCACACATAAAAAAATAATGAAAAGGGGGAAGCGCACTTTAAATTCCAAGGAGAGCACTTTTTAACATATATTCCGTATGAAATAAAACCAATAACAGTAACTCAATCAAAACGCCGTGCTCAAAGTTGTTGCTAAAATGGTCTTATCTCATTTGCAGCTTGACTCACTGCCCACCTGCCCAACACAGCCTCTGCTCCTTCCACCACTTCAACAGCAGGCACTGACATTTCTATCACGGATGTGGCTCATTTTCACTGTCTGCACAGCTAACGTGAAACGTAGGGCAAATGTAGTTGGGCTTTGATAAGTCTGCCTTAAATAAACTGCAAGGATTAAGAAGTACAATACACAGTATAGTATAAGAGTGCTTCATTTTAACCAGTCGGCTTAATGCTCCAACCTGACAAAGAGGTTGCTTTCGCATTGCAGTGTCAGTAAAGCAGGATTCTATTTATGTGAACATCAGTCAGGGGTGATAATTCATTAGGCAGGCCCACTGTAATGAGCCTGTGCAGACAAAGCACCCTGTTTCCAGTGCGTCCTCTTTCCCCTGGGAGCTGTGATCATAATGACAGCACTGTGTCTTGCTTGGTTTCGTGCTGAATCGACTCATTAGAATAACCAGATAATGATTGGTCAATTAGTGCCCTCTCCTGTCTTTCTCTCTCTATTTTTCGTTTAGGGTCGTGTATGATTCGGGAATACTGGATTTTTATTTTCATCTCATTTTAATGTCATTGTTTTATTTATTTTCACATTTTTTAGGTTATTGTGCACTTTTACGTTGTTTTTACTTTTTTTGTACTAACTGTTTTGTATGAATCCAATACTGTACATTGAACAGGTGTTACCGAGTGGTAGTGACGTCATTAATCGGAATATTCGCATCAAATAATATAATAAATTAAGATTGTGATGCAGCCAGAATATAGCGGGAACACTCTTGTGTTAGGTGTTGGTTTATTTATTTAGTAACACTCTCTTTAGTACTCTCGCTAGCACAACAATTTAAAGTTTAAATTGTTGTGTTTTTGTCTCATCTGTGACGGAAGGAAAATCAGTACCCAGTGGTGGTGACGTCAGGACAAGCCTCGCGACCCCATTGGTCAGAATACTAGCATCGAGAAACGTGATTCGCTGCTGCTGGGAGGTGAAAGGTTAAGTGTCATGTAGCCACCTAGCTAGCAAAAAACAATGTTTCGGTGTTTGTTTTTACCACGTTTACTCCCGCTATAGCGAAATTTCACACTCGTTCTAGCAGTTCAATTATACCCGGTTAATTTTGACCATATAAAACAATTGTCTTGACGTTCTTTCTCACTTTGAAGGGAGGACTTTATGCTACTGGATCGCAAACTGTCCCGTGTCTTCCTCCAGGCAGGCTTATGTGTCAAAAACTGACCTTGTAGCTACTGTCAGTTGAAGGACGGTTTTAAGGTTCTGTCCTTAGCAATGGCACACGCCAGGCTGCTCCCCATATTCAGAATCGCTACTGCAAGTTCGACCCAAACGCGAGTCGCCTGGGGTGGACGGTGCTTCCGAAAACATGTTAGCACTTCAGCTTCGCGAGCGCAGAGCTGCATGTCTGCCTGGGTCATCGACCAGTTTGGCACGAACGAAATGCTCAGGTACTCTGAAGATATCCCAGTGCCCACGATCACCTCGTCCAGCCAGGTGATGATCCAAGTGCACGCTGCCAGTCTCAACCCTTTGGATGTGTCCATGAGAGGTAAGCGGTCAGTTCACTAAAAAGCACGTAGACAGCAGTCTGACTTATTGTTAAGCATCACATGACTTTCTTAATTTCAGCCGGGTATGGAGCTAAATTGCTCAAGCTACGAAAGGACCCATTTTCCACAATGGACGATGGTAGTGGTTTTCCTCTGATCCTGGGTCGAGATGTGTCTGGTGTTGTGGTGGACTGCGGATCTGAGGTTGCACACTTTGTTCCAGGAGATGAGGTACATGGTGGTTCCCACTGACTAGGCGTTTGACTTTTGGCTGCTTCAAATGTGCATGAGTCATAAAATATACAGTGGAACCACTTTGCTTGAACAAAATCAGTGGCAGGATGCTGTTGGACCTCCAATTTCTTCCATCAGTTGATCTTCTGTATTGTACCACAAATTTGGATCATAGTTTGACTTTGGGTGAAAAGTCGCAATCCTGGGCTCAATTTTTTGGGGGGGATGAAGAAAGTTAAGAAAGGATAGACTTGGTCAAAAATACCATATTCGGTTTTATGATAATATTCCACCCATCAATAATGTAGAATGTGATAATATCATTTTGTGCGTGGATTAACATCCCTGTGCGGGGAGTAATTCACTTATGAGTATTCCATGCGAAGCGAATGTACAATACAATTATGCGCAAATGTTCTTTGTGTAATCTTGTTACATCATCGTAGAATTATTTCTATGGATGACTAATGAACTCTCAGCGTCAACTGATTCATGAGATTTAAAGATACAGCGGTTTGAAATTTCAAAGCGATTGTGCTTCAGGTTTGGGCTGCTGTTCCCCCGTGGAAACAAGGCAGCCTGGCAGAATTTGTCAATCTGACCGAGTTTGAGGTCAGTGCTTGGCTCCACTTTATTTTCAAGTGATTGAGAACACCATTCCGGCAGCTGTTGAAAATGCACGACGTTTGATGATCTCTTAAAGGTGTCCCACAAGCCGAAATGTTTGAGTCACATGGAGGCGGCATCCATCCCCTACGTAGCCAGCACTGCGCTGTCTGCACTCGTTAATGCGGGTGGTCTTTGCAGAGACAGCTCCTTGAATAAAAGGCAAGCTCAACTCAGTCGAACAGTGTGAAAGTCCAGAACTGCTGCTTTTAATCATGTTTTAAAAACGTAATCAACTTGTCGTTGAATGCCAAGTTCTCAATTGCTCACATTTCTTTCACCAGTCACGATTGAACATGTTTTTTTTCTTTTAGAGTTTTGATTACTGGAGGCTCAGGAGGCGTTGGGACGTTTGCAATTCAGGTGAAACGTCACAAGTTCCGATTCTGGGCTTTTTTGTGTGTGTGCGTGTGTGTGTGTGTGTGTGTCTGTGATGATTTCAGTGTTTTTTTTTCTTCTTGAATGCCAAGTTCTCAATTGCTCACATTTCTTTCACCAGTCACTATTGAACATGTTTTTTTTCTTTTAGAGTTTTGATTACTGGAGGCTCAGGAGGCGTTGGGACGTTTGCAATTCAGGTGAAACGTCACAAGTTCCGATTCTGGGCTTTTTTGTGTGTGTGTGTGTGTGTGTGTGTGTGTGTGTGTGTGTGTGTGTCTGTGTGTGTGTGTGTGTGATGATTTCAGTGTTTTCTTTCCTTCTGTGCTGACAGTTGGCAAAGGCCTGGGGTGCCCACGTTACAGTCACTTGCTCTCAGAACGCCGAGGGCCTCGTCAGAGGGCTCGGAGCCGACGAGGTGGTGGACTACACTGCGGAAGATGCGGCGGACCACCTCGAAATGATGGAGAGGTGCGTGACGTTGCTCTGATTGTGGGGGGAAAAAGAAAAGCAAATGGCTATTAACTATTGAATAGCATTGCAAATAGTAGCATAATAGTTCCTATTTAAGTGCCTTAATGTACCCTGCTGACATCTCACAGTCAACCGCATGCGCCACACTTTCCCCCTAGTTTTTCTAGTTTCCATGGATACCAAGGCTTAAGACCAGAGTGCACAATGAGTCAAGCCCGGTTGAAGCGTTGAAGATGAAACAAATGAGCATCGTGGTGGTATTTTTTTTCCCAGCCTAGCAAATTCAAAAGAAACTTCTCATGTTATTGTCTCGCATTGCCAGATTTGACGTGATTTTGGATGGCGTGGGCGGGGACACTGAGGAGTGGGCGGTGGGCTTGCTCAAACCCTGGTCTGGGGCGAAGTACGTCACGCTGGTAACCCCTTTGCTCTTCAAAACGGATTCTCTCGGCCTGGTGGATGGACTCGTTGACGCCGGATCCAACCTGGGCACCAAAGTCATACAGGTAGCGTTTTCAGATAACAAAAAAAACGAATCCAAACTCTTAACCGAAGCCAAACGTTTCCCACCGAATCCTGACATGAAACTTTGTTGGACAGATGGGGACGGATGGTGACTTAGACTTGTCCTAAGTCCACTTCCGTTATTCAGTGCTGGTCTAGCGGAGTATATGAGGAAGCGACAGTCGGAAGTGGGGGCGTTAGTGTGTGGGCGCCGAGCATGCGCCGATTGCTGAAGCAGCAGTATGCTGTGTTTGTGCAGATTGCAGCCAAATGTTAACCCACCCCCACCCCTCCACCCCACCCCCTCCCAGCAAATAGCAGTGTTTGTGTGTTTCTTGCCAAGCCTCCCGGCCCCTTTTGTCTATGGCAGGAACCAGCTGGACAGTTCAGAGGGCCTTAGCCACAGCGGTCACACCCTCACTTCACAGCTCCTCTCATAAGAGCAACATCGCAGCTCAGCTGAGCCCTCTACTGTCACCTATTGGAAGCACTCAAATCAAATAGACTGCGTGAAAGAAAAAAAAATGTGTGTGTGTGTGTGTGTGTGTGTGTGTGTGTGTGTGTGTGTGTGTGTGTGTGTGTGTGT